CACTAAAATATTCCTTTCTGTTTCAGGTATGTTTTTCACGATCTTTTTTACTATAGTAAATTCACTTAACCCAATTAAAATGATGTGAAATTACGAGCCGTCCTGTAAGCTTACAGATACGAAAAAAATGCTATAAGGCTGCTGATACGAAGCTGTCTCTTATACACATCTAGATGTGTATAAGAGACAGGTTGTAACTTTACAAAACATAGTTTTTCACCATTTTTTTCAGGAATTTTTCAAAGCAAGTAAATGTAGTATTTTTCGACTTCCTTTATACTAGATAGATAGGAAAAATTGTTACGTTTATGCCACTATTTTTAGTTTTGCAATATTCCAATTAGTTTCGCTACTACAACAGTTTTACGCCGTGTCATAGGCCTGTCCCGAATAGCCCCGCCTGTCCCGAATAGCCCCGGTTGACGGTACCTGAAATACAAAATCAAGAAGAAATAATTTTTATCTCATTGTCTTTATTATTTTTATTGCCACAACATATCTCTACCATCTTTCAAATTGTAAGGCATGATAAAAAATTTATAAAATGTCCCTCAGGGGGAGTATTTGTCACCAGAAGCTGATAATATACATCACTCACAAGCAGGGTTGGTGATTTTTTTTATTTAAAAAAATCAAAAAAATAAAAAATCAATTACCGTAAAATGGGGTAACTTAGACCACTTTTTTTTTTATAAATGATGCCATTTTTTTACTAGCTAAATTAAACTTGAATTGAAACATGCAAAATACAGGTCTATACCTGTCTCTTATACACATCTAGATGTGTATAAGAGACTGGAGCAGAACCGATTGAGCAGTTTTGAGGTAAAATAAAAGAGTAATGGAGGTACATAAAGAAGAAAGTTTATTTTCCTAGAGGTTAGCATAACATACCATTTAGAATACTTATGTTTTGAAAACAATATCTGGAAGATGGGGGCTGTTAGCTGTAACACACTATTGGAGTCGTTCTCAGAGGAGGGAGTAACCATGACAGTGAATTCCGATTGCTATGCTGCAATGTTGCAAATTTCTTGCAGCCCAGGATGGAAAACATTGTTGAAAATTAATCATTGTGAGACGTGTGGTTCCAGCAGGATGGGGCTACAGCTCACACAGCTCGAATGTCACTCATGTTTTGAAACGCATGTTTCCCGGAGGTCTGGTGTCTCTGAGGGGTGATTTACAGTGGCCTGCAAAGTCACCTGATTTGAGCATTTACGATTTCTTTCTTTGGGGACATCTAAAAGAAAGGATGTTCAGAAGTTGCCCTCACTCCATACCACAGCTAAGGGGTCAGATTATTGCAGAGGTTATGGCCATACCTTGCCATATGTGTGAATGTGCTGTAGGAAACTTCTGAGAACGACTCCAACAGTGTGTTGCAGCTAACAGACACCATCTTCCTGATATTGTTTTCAAAACATAAGTATTTTAAATGGTATGTTATGCTAATCTTAAGGAAAATAAACTTTCTTTTTTATGTACCTCCATTACTCTTATTTCGCCTCAAAACTGTGCAATCAGTTCTGCCCCACTCTGTATAAGCTAGCTAACACATTTAAATTGTATATTGTAATCAATATATAACAAATAGTCATATAGTTAGACTTAGACTACTTATAGGTATGTCTTATAGCCTTATAAGAATTAGCTAAGCTGCTTGCTATGTACAATGTATTGCACACTTGATGCCTCTGTACCAAAAACATTCCATTTATTGGAACCTAATACACACTAAAGGCAACAAGTTTATATACCAATTTGTCATTCATAGTAAATTTATACTAAACCATGAATAACAATACCTCAATATAAATTAAAGACTGCCACTCAATATTTTTAAATATATGAAAAAATCGAAAAAATCAAAAAATCATGATTTTTTATAAAAAATCAAGTGATTTAATCACATGATTTAATCATTTTGATTTAATCATTGCCAAACCTGCTCACAAGGAGACTCGTGCAAATATATTAGAAATTATTTTCTATTATGAACATGCTTGGTATAAAATGAGGACAATAAACAATCAGGTAACAAAACAAATTTACTGTACCAAGATTCAACAATTTGAAAAATCTACTGCAGTTTTCACTCCCGTTATTAGTAAATTCACATTGAAAGTTTCCATTCATTTTCTGTCATTAGAATGATCATTGTTGAAAATATCTGGCCATAAGGAGAATGAACATTTGAATTGGTTTTATAAGTATACCTATATACAAATTATATTTTAACTTTATATGACCCATGAGATTTTCATAGAACAATAATTAAAATTTATACATGTTATCATTTAAAAATGATGAATTCATTTGGAAATGCAGGTAATCATCATATTGTTTCATATAAATCTCGTGCAATATAATCTCATGATGTTTATTTATTCTAAGCAACACAATTAGAACAGTGAAGTGCCTGGTGTTCCCTCTCACTGACATACAATAAACAGTTCAAACAAATTCATTACAGAGTTGAAGGAGAAACCAAAATTATTTAACTTAAAAGTTATATTGCTGGTTATTGACATAGGTATGGCAGTAGAGGATTAAATACTTTACCAGACTGGAAAACATTAGGTATATTTTTGAGAAACTAAAGAACTCTTGGGCTATCATGCTACGTAACAGACTGTAAAGTTGGGCCTTTTTGGTCAAGATGTCAGCATCTTTTTAAGCTTTCCATCAATCAACATTGACTTTGAATTGGCACCTGTGCTTAGTTATAGGTTGGATCAAAAAAATCTCTCAATCCCCCATCAGTATCTTTCACTAGCATCTAGTGCAGTGGTTCCCAAAGTGGGCGATATCGCCCCCCTAGGGGCGGTGGAAAGATTTTGGGGGGCGGTATGGAAGAAGAGGGCCATAGTGGGGCGGCAGTCCGAAGTCGAAGTCAGAAGTTTGAGCGTTTGTTTGACAATTTATACACAACACTTGCAGCACAGGACTCCCAGCGATGTTTTTTTTTCACTCAGATCTGTTTTTTAACCTCCCCTGGGTTTGCGTCTTGGACAAATTAACGGCCGGACTCGCAGCCGGTCTCACGGCCAATTTCCAAAATCAACAAACGATCAAGGAATATCTCTCAAACTAATGAACGTAACTCGATGAAACTTGGTACCTACACGTATTCATTAGGACCTAATGGTAATGTGTAGCACGTGAAATTATTTTTAATTTTGCGTTCATTTGTGAGTTATATGACGATACGAGCCGAAATTCACAGCGATCAAGGAGTTTCTTTCAAACTACTGAACAGATTCGAACGAAATTTTAAATTTACAGTCCTAACTACCGAACAGTAATGTTTTGCTCCTGAAATTTTTTTTTTATTTTGCCTTCGTTCGCGAGTGTTTTTTCAATTTCACCTACATTCGTGATTTAAACGGCAATACGTGCTTAGATTCGCAGTAATCAAGAAATTTCTTCCAAACTACTGAACAGATTTGAACGAAACTTAGTATTTCAAAACCTAACCTCAACAACAATGATATTTAGCTTGTTACAATTTTTTTTTCGATTTTGTCTCCGTTTGCGAGTTATATGGCTATACGTATACGGCTATATACGTAAACAGCTCTTGGTTAAACCGGCCGGTAGAAAAGCCGGTCGTTTCTCCTATATCTGTATAACTCGATAATGATAGCAAATTATAAAAACTGTTACAAGCTAAACATCACCGCTGGGAAGTAAGGTATTTACATACAAAATTTTGTTGAAATCTCTTCAGTAGTTTATAAGAAATTTCTTGATCACTGCGAATTTAAGCGACAAAATACCCAGCGATGCAAGGCAAATATAAGGAAGTGTGAAATCAAGAATGACGGTGAAATGAAAAAAACTCGCAAACGAAGGCAAAATCAAAAAGTTTATTGACAGTTGAACAAAAAATAAAATTCCCGTTTTGTAGTTAGGAATATATATACAAAATTTTGTTCAAATTTTTTCAGTAGTTAGGAAGAAATTCTTTGATCACTGCGAATTTCGGCCTGTATCGCAATATAACTCACGAATGAAGGTGAAATGCAACAAATTTTCACGAGCTAAACATCACCGTTAGGTTCTGATGAATACTTGTTCCAAGTTTCATTGAGCTGCGTTCATTAGTTTGGGAGATATTCGTGGTCACTGAATTTGGAGATTGGCAGGGAGACCGGCCACGAGTCCGGCCGTAAATTTGCCCAAGACGTCCTAGGTTTCTAGTTCTGAAACAGTTGAAGCAGCTGAAATACATAATGGTTTGCTAAATGGGGTTCTATTTGTGAAATACACATTTGTGTTTAGCCATTATGTTTTAAAATTACAGCGTACTAAATTTCAAGAAAGAGGCTTATGTTTTTATATGTCGGTGGGGGGCGCTAGAAATTCACTATGGAGCCAAAGGGGGCGCCAGCCTGAAAAAAGTTTGGGAACCACTGATCTAGTGTAATGTGTGCTATGTTTGTATTGATCATTTGCCTTTGGCCATATTGATTGTAAGCCGCAAAGGAGGAGCCAAATTGTGACTGTCATATGCCACAATCCTACCTGGCCAATGAATTTTGTGTTCTTGGCCAATGTCCTGCCTCAATTTACACTCTTGACTACTTATAGTGGTAAAATAGAGAAAACTTGAAAGCATTTAATAATGAGTGCTGCAAGTGATCATATTACAGGAGGTTGAACTGGACTATAGACAATCTAGAAACCAAAAGTACCAAACTTTAAATGTAAATAGCCAAAGCAAATGATATGATAGGACTCAATAGCTTCGATGAACATTAGAAGAAATTTGAAAATAACTATGATGAAAAATGAAATAAAATGAAGTAAGTTGGAAAACTAAACTGGTAAAAAATTGAATGAATAAGTACAAAAGGCAAACAAGGAATCACCTAAAGATCCAATAACCTCAAATATTCTACATTCCCACAAATAATTATATCAAAATTAACCAGTAGGATGTGGGAATAATTTGTTGTACATTTCCTATAACCTAATTAATATTTATTTTTCAGACTGCAGTCTTGAAGCGGCGTAACAACTTGAAGGAAACTGTCAATGGACACGAAAGCCCTACAAAGCGGGCAAAAGTTGATGATGACTCTGCAGCGGAGTCTGTTGCAGAAGGAAGCTTGTTAACCCAAGAAGTATCACTCCTGTCATCACAAAGCCTTCCTGATTGTGGCAGAATTGAGAAGATTTCCCTAAGGAACTTCATGTGCCACAGCAATTTGGAGTTCAACTTAACTCCCCACATTAATTTAATCCAAGGAAGAAACGGATCTGGCAAAAGTGCCGTCCTTACGGCTGTTGTTGTGGGTCTAGGAGGCACCAGCAGAGCCACCAACAGAGCTGCTAACTTGAAAGGTTTGCTCAATCTGCATTCTTCTATACTTATTTAGTATATAAATACCTCTTGAAACTAGTCTTTAAAAATCATTTCTGATTTGCTACAAAATGCTTGATAAAATATATATTTTCTTAGTGGTTTAAAATTTCCTTGATGAGAAATATATCATTGCATATTATATCAGTGTTCAAATTAACTTTTTGCTACGTATTTTAATTAGTGCAAATTCCTATATCTTGCATTGATGTCAAACTGTGAGCTCTTGTTTTGGTCAATTTTGCTAACTTATTATCTCTCTTCAGGCTTGATCCAGTATGGACGACAGATGGCAACCATCGAAGTGACACTTTCCAATGAAGGAGCAAATTCCTACAAGTTTAGCGAATTTGGCCCTTCAATAAAAATAGAAAGGAGGATATCATCAAATGGAACTACTCAGTACAGGATTAAGGATCATCGAGGTTAGACTGATATTAATTAGAATCCTTGAAGAATCATGTTGACATTTTCTTAAACAGATTTCAAATTTCATGCTGCAGTGGCAACCACCTGTTATTGAAGTGTGGTAATACTTCATCAGGTTTGGCTTTGAACTCTCTGCAATTCAGTGGAGCTTTCCAAGCTAATTTCATCCCAATGAAAGGTTAATGTATTGTATACCTATAAAAAAAAACTGATTTCTGTGCAATGATATGGGAAGTTTTTTTTTTAATGATTAAGTTTCAGTTTCACTTATTCTTCTCATTGAATTTGATTTGGCCAGAAATAAGGCATTGTGCTTGTTAGCCATGTCATTGCGGTTTCTTTCTGTAGTAGTAGTGGGCATGAGGGATATTTGTTTTGATATACATCATTGTTTGTGTTGAAATGTATGTTTAAATCAAACCATTTTTTTCTTGTTTGTAGGTAATGTTAAGTCAACCAAAAAAGAGCATCTTATGAGGATCCGAGATGTGTTTAATCTGCAAGTTGAGAATCCCATAGTCATCCTCAACCAAGATAAAGCCAAAGAATTTTTACCGAAAGAGGTCAGTTATAAAGTAAATTTAAAATTATATTTAAAGAAGCTTCCTTACGTAGGCAATAACAACTAAAAAACTTTGTAAATATCTGATACTTTTTTTAATAAATCATAACTAACGTTTATCTAAATATCATGCAAGCCATCTAACTGAAAATAATTCATAGCAATGCAGTTGGTACAATCACAAGTTTGTTGGAGATATGTGCATGTCATGTTGTGTTATGGTTCAAACTTACGGTGCCGGAGAAGCAGAAAGAAATACAGACAAGTTTTTGTTGAGCAACCTATGTGGTAATTTTCTCACAATAAACTTACATTCTAAGTAACTTGAAAATTCTTTATTTTGTACATTTATATTTGATTCGTCAATATCTGGAGATCACATATGACTCCAAGTAACCTGATAATGAATGATTTATAATGTATCTGCTAGGTTTGATTGATGATTTTAATTTGACTTTATTGCAGTTTCCATCCTTGTAGGCCTATTCTTGAAACTTTTTTAATACCCAAATGCATCTTCCTTCCTCTGACTTGTACAGTGGGGGGAAATAAATATTTGTACACTTGAAAAATCGTATTTTAATGTATGTAAGTACACAAACTTAACAGGAAAAGTGATTTAAATTATGTATAGAGATGCATAGTACTCACTCACTCACTCACTCACTCACTCACTCACTCACTCACTCACACCAAACTCACTCACTCACTGACTGGTGTCTGTTGAGCTGAATAAAGGGTATTCAACCAAGTATTAAATTAAAATAATGCGGATTTATTGTTTTGTACGAATACTTTTTTCACCCCGAAAAGTGAACATGTTGCATTGTTTTTTGTTGCATTGAGATTTAATTTCTTTTGATAGTATTTTTGAATGTTATGCGTCTCTATACATAATTTAAATCACTTTTCCTGTTAAGTTTGTGTACTTACATACATTAAAATACGATTTTTCAAGTGTACGAATATTTATTTCCCCCCACTGTATGTATGCATTTTAGATTATTGATTGATATTATGTTCAATTTTCAGACTCCAAAAACTATGTACAAATTATTCATGGAAGCAACGCAAATGCAGTGTGTTCGGGATGACTACGATTTACTGAAGAATAATGTTGCCACTTCTAAACAAATAGTCGAGGATAGACGCAAGGTTTGTTTCTGAATGCCGTGTAGCTGGGCCTGAGGGTAGGATTGTACTATGAAATTTATGTGTATTTCAGTAGATTATTTGGATTTTAGGCTTTTTGAGTTGTATTAGATTTCGTTTTGGGGAAACACAAACTGAACAGAGTATTTTTTTCAAATAGTATTTTTGTAATTGTAGAATAATAAAATGCTAGGTTTGAGGAAATTTTCAAGCTAAATTATAATAGTTATATTGATATTATTTTTATTCAGAAACGACTGAACTTAGACTAGTGAAATTCAAATAGTATTATTATATATATTTTGTTTGTGAATAGGACTGAATATATTCATTCATAATGTGCATAATTTTCGGCTTGAAATATTTTCATACACCTGGTGCTTAGAAGTTATTGATACAGATTTAGTTTTATTTTTAACATATCCATTACATTTATATTTTTGATGAAGTTATATAATTTATTGTATATAGCTAGTTTATATCTGACAAAAGTCTATTCTCATTGGTTGCTGATGCTCTTGATGCCTTCCAAATGAACTAATTTTTTCTGTATATTTAAGCCTTCAAAATAAGCTAATTTTTTTCTGTATATTTTAAATTGATGTAACCATTAATGTTTCGGTTCATCAGAACCTACCTAAGCTGGAGAGGGAAATGCTGGAGTGGAAGAAGAAGAAAGAATTCTTAGTATCCCTTGAAGAAAAGAGAAATGAGGAGAAGAGATTACGGAGTGAGCTGTGTTGGACTCTGGTGAGTCATGAGTCGGGGAGATGATGAGTTGCGTACACGAACTGTTATGTGCACATTTTGTTGAGGGTCTGAAAGAAATTTTCAATTTTTGTAAATGGCTTTAATTTTGATTAGGAGATATATTAGGTTCCCATGGGACATTTTGTTTTATTTTTATAAGGCTTTGAAAATCAATCTTAATCAAGTAATATGGTTTTGCAATGCTTAAAGAGATTTTGAAATTATATGAAAAGGGCACCTCAGCTTCAAGACGGCAGTACATATATACAAGTTAACAGTAAAAAATCAGAAATATTATCCCTTGATTTAGTGTTACTTAGCTTATCATTTATATTTTTAAAATTGAGATGTTGAAAGTTTAAATGCAGAGTTATTTTCAATAAAATATCACATGAATTTGTCAAGCTAGGAGACAATTGAGTGTATTGTTTCTCTAATATTATCCATTTTCAATATTACTAATTCATTCATTATAGTGCAGAGAATTTTAATGTTTATTCATCAAATTTTCAATCTCACAAGGAAACAGTGTCAAAAATTTTATAATTTAATTACTTATAAACATGTTTAAGTGCATTTTAAATGTTGCAGGTGGCAGAGGCTGAGCAAGATGCTGAGACCCAGAAAAGCAAGCACACTAATATCAAGAAAACCAAACAGAAAATAACGGATGGCTTGGCTGAGATTGCCAAAGAAATTCGTGCTGGGAGAAAAGAGAACAAGTGAGTTAAATTGTGAAATTTAATCCAAGTACAGGAACAGGCTTTGGCATATATAAACAAATTGACTACTTCGAGTTGTGCAAATAGCTTGTTCTTATACGTATCTATAATAAAGTTTTCTCCAATTTTAGTTAAATCCACCCAAAAGTTTTGCACGATTCTATTTATTGTGTTTTTTGAGAAACACTTGCTCAAATTTTGTCATAAGAGGATGTATTAAAAAAATCTACTGATGAACATTTTATGAATGTATTTTTTGTTGTTGTTGATTATGGAAAGGCAGCTGATGTGTTTAGCTTAGTGTTTCAAATACCTACCTGATACAACTACAAGTTAACGTTTGTTTTTGTGATGATTTTAGAACGTGAAAAGCTCAAACAAATGGATAAACTTAATTCGCATGTTGCTTATATGTGCAGTGACCTGCAGAAAGATATCGAGGTGGTCGGGGACGAATTAAAGACAGAAGAAGAAGCCCGTAAAAAAGAGTCTGATTCTTACGTTCTCCAGCGACGGCTTTACAATGATCATCAATCAAAAAAGAAGATGCTAAAAGATCAGATCAATAAACTGAAGGAGGAAGAGAGACTTCTGAAGAAAGCCCTCAGCAAAGATCATAATGCGTGAGTGCTCGCGATTTGCTCTTGTATTGTTATTGTCTTGACATGCCTTCAATTATGATCGAAATTCTTAAATTAAAATCGAATTTCTTTAAATCTGTCCGAAGTTTTTATGTACAACTTATGCACTGGCTTATAGAAACCTTTCCATTTCGGCTGCTGGAGACCAATCTGACCTTAGTGTTCCCAACAGCCCTTAGTCTAACCCAGCAGCCCTTAGTGTTCCCAGCAGCACTTAGTGTAGCAGAGTCAGTCTGCTGCGTTTTATTAAATTCCAGTAATTACCGTGAATAAAATTATCATTAAAAATGCCACCAGGAGAAGTCCTGTGTCGTCAGTTTACCATTAATTTACGTTCGTGATAATTACTGCACTTGTTGCGTGTATGATTGCCATGAGAGACCGCGCTAGAATGTGCAATAAAATAATTTAAGATTAAGTTGTGCCCCTCAACAAGTTTCTATTAATATATTATCTTGACAAATGTTTCCAGTATTTCATCCCCTTGTCTTGATCCACCATCAATTTATGTCCCTGCAATGACGAGTTTTTTTCATGAGGATGTCTTGCTTACAAGCCACCTGGCATCTGACGTCAAAACAACGATGTTTCAACTAAATATACTCATTATCAACATCGTTTCAACGAAATCTAATCTTAAACAACATTGTTTGAATAAAATCAAGTCGTAATCAACATTGTTTTGATAAAATTAACTGAAAATCAAAGTTATTTCACGGCCATTTTTGTGTTGTGCAGCGACCATCGCGCCTGGGAGGCGAAAAACAGCGCGCGGCTGGCCGAGATAGCGGCGGTCGAGGCGCAGATGAAGCAGTGCGAGGAGGCGAGTGCAGCCGCGGACGAGGAGTGCAACGAGCACAACAAGCTGATCATGGACCTCAGGGAGCAGCTGCAGGACCTCAAGTGCGAGGAAAAAGGATACGAACAGCAAACAAGTGAGTGCTCTGGCCGCTTTCGGTTCTAAGAAGGATACTTGTTAAGAATTGCTATAGGAGAGTCCTCGTGATGGACTACCTACCTCATAACACTTTTCTGGTGGATGTGAGCTGATGATTTTAATGTGGCTTATCACTCTCGAATGTTTATTGGTGTCTATTACTATTTCTACGACTGTATGAATGTATAAATTACTCTGTATGAATGTATGGACCACTATATGAAAGTATGAAATATTCGGGATGCATACATAAATTACTCAGGTCTAGTGCGCATGCCGCCATTCTTCTATTTTACTGAAGGCCGCCAACATGTTGGTAAATCTGCTTGTTGACGTTATTCTAGTATCTTATATGCATTTTATTTTACATTTAGAGGATGGCAGCTGTGGTCTGCACAGCATCTGATTTAATTTCGTTCAATAATCTTTTATTCTGTATATACTGTGAAATATCATCTGAATTTTTTTTTGCAGGATCTTTAAAAGATAACATTAAGAATGCACAAAACAAAAAGGTCAGCAAATATACGGTTTTTGGCGCTTGGGTGCCTGGGGCTCTCGCAGACATTGAAAAAGCCAACAAACTCGGGAAGTTTGAGAAGAAGCCAATCGGACCTCTAGGTGAGCTTGACTAGCTGCTTGTGCTCTCTAGTTATGTCAATTGCGCTCAATAGTTATGTCAATTGTGCTCTCTAATTATGTCAATTGTGCTCTCTAATCATGTCAATTGTGCTCTCTAGTTATGTCAATTGTGCTCTCTAGTTATGTCAATTGTGCTCTCTAGTTATGTCAATTGTGCTCTCTAGTTATGTCAATTGTGCTCTTTAATTATGTCAATTGTGCTCTCTAGTTATGTTACATGTGCTCTCTAATTATGTTACATGTGCTCTCTAATTATGTCAATTGTGCTCTCTAATTATTTTACATGTGCTCTCTAATTATGTTACATGTGCCCTCTAATTATGTTACATGTGCTCTCTAATTATGTCAATTGTGCTCTGCTAGTGACCTCTAATCATGTCAATTGCGTTCTGCTTGTGATCGCTATTCATGTCAATTAACTGACATGAATAGATATTTTTTTACCATGTGTTGACATGAATTTATCGCTTGTTGATGTTTTTCTTTCATGATAATGCGGTACATATAATTTTTTTTGTATCATTGTATCATGCATTCTCAATTTTACATGTCAATCTCGTCTTATGTGTAAGATTTTGTTGTTTTTCATAATGGTTTACCGATAGATTTTACCGTATGTTCGCTCGTGTTCAAAGCTGCCTTGCTAACCGTTAAGAAATATCATTCCCACAGGTGCCTTCATCGAGGTGAGAGACCCCGCCTGGGCGCACATAGCAGAGAAAGCTCTGGGCAATTACTGCAATTCCTTTCGCTGTCACTCGTGGCAAGACTGCAACTTACTCAAAACTATTCTGGCCAAACACGTCGATCGCATACCAAATATCAGCTGCGGCAGATTCTCTGATAAGGTTGGTGCTCCATTTGCATAAAGTCTAGCCTTCTTCATGAATCTCTGAATGGTGAAGTCATGCAGTCTGTTAGCGGTGTCAGCCTATGTGAAATTTTGATGTGCAAATTAATGTTAGTGACTCATGAATTTCATAACTACTATTGAACAATGTTTAATTTCTGTTGGTATATAAAACCGTCAGTAAACGCGTTGCAATGTGCGAAAGAAAATGGTCATGTGCTGTACATTGTGAAAGCTGCATAAATTTTATTACATCCTTTTCTCTGACACTTTAAGTGAAATAATTACTGAAGTAATGCATAATTGGCAACATTTGAAATAACAAAATGGTTATTATTTATTTTAACATTGTTATTGCAGGTTCACGACGTAGCTCCACACGAGACGTACAGCCCAGAGCATGGCTACAGGTCGCTGTGGTCTATACTGAAGTTCTCACACCCAGTGGTGGCCAATGCAGTCATTGACAGCTGTTCTGTGGAGAGTACCCTACTCGTGCCCACTGCTGAAGAGGCTGGTGCAATCCTTAAAAACCGATACACGTGAGTTGAGAGTCATTCTCTTAATAATTTATCTTCCAGAGTGCGTTTTCTTTTCCGAAAGTATCTTCTTTAGCCAAACTTATGTTCATTTGTAATATTTTCACATTGTAGCAGTTACTTTATTTACATGCTAGCAAGCCTCAGAGCTCTCCTTTTTATCGCATTTCCTGTTCGTAGTTAAACTGTGCTAATGTTATTGTGAAAGATATTAGTTAGAATCTATTTCTTTGAGAAAAGCTGCTGATATTTTTTATGCATTAAAATCTATTTACTTGAGAGAAGCTGCTGATATTTTCTATGCGTTAGAATCTATTAACTTGAGAAAAGCTGCTGATATTTTTTATGTATTAGAATCTATTGACTTGAGAGAAGCTGCTGATATTTTTTATGCATTAGAATCTATTTATTTGAGAGAGGCTGCTGATATTTTTTATGTGTTCATTTGTTTTAGGGTTCCTAGAAATTGCCGAGTGGCATACACCTTGAACGGCGACAAGTACTTGCCAGACCCGAACTTCAAGGTATACGGCGGTCAGGGCAAGAATCCTGCCCGCTACCTCCAGGTCTCCGTTCAGGACCACATCTTGTAAGACCTTCGGCCCTTCTCCATCCTCTAAACTGTACCAAGATTACTAATGAACTCTGAATTTACTACTCAGAGGGTAGTAAATTATTCCTCACTGCTCATAAATTTTGTTGGGGAGAATGGTGCGTCATTCATCTTCTGAACTCGGCGGTTTCCTGATGGGTGACAAATTAACCATTGCTGAATGTTTTGTTTGAATGTTATGTTAATTTTTTTTTCGAGTATAATGGAGAGGTGAGGTCCCTAATTTAGTATACTTGATATGATCTCTAACTGAAGAAATTGGTATATTGAAGCATGTTATTTTGGATTTGGATTGCGAAAGTTTGCGGGCCTCTAAAGTTTATGAGGTTCCATGTAAGGAGCCTCTGATCTGCGTATAATTTCATAGCAATCTAGGTATGTGTTAAATCTGGAATCTTATTGTAGCTGCATATATTTGTTAAAAGTTTAAATTGAGAGTGATTCTAAAACTAATGGATAACAAATTTTACTTCGGGAGGGGGATGTGCAATTTTCGCCTATATAAGCTCATAGAAAAATTACCAGTTATTAGTTGAAAATTCGTGTGGAATTTCAGGCGCGAAGTGAAAGGAGAGTTTTATTTCTAGTGAGGCTTTTGCTGTTTTCAATGTTTTGTTTGATCGTTTTTCTAAATGGCCTTAAAGTTGCTACTGTATCAAACGTTCTGTGTGAGTGAAAGTAATTATACACGTAAAATGCACGCCCTATTCGTTTTAGAGTGGGTGTTGTGTCAAGCTGGTAATTTTTTGGTCCATTACTGTATAAAGATCAGTGTGGTTCTCTGTAAATTTAGTCATTGACCTCCCAACAATATTTTGTTTTAAACTTGGAATTATCACGAGGTTCAGACTCTGAGTTTACTCTTCAAATGGAGATACTGCAGCTGGAATTAAAATGTACTTTTATCCATCAGGGATTTGGAGAACGGACTTCGATCGTGTCAGCAAGAGCTCGAGAAGATGCGAGAGGAGATGAGAGGCAAGCAGAGGGAGATGAATACTCTTGAATCCGAGCAACGCAGAATCCAGGACAATCTTAACAATTGGCGGAAAAGGGTATGTCTCATGGCGTTGATGCCGTCTTCTGTTATTTGCCTGTAGTAATTAAGTCGTGTGATCAATTTTAATTATCTTGTGATCGATTCTTATGGGTTGAGTTGCATCTGAAAAATTAACTGAAAATGTTGCGAACGCACTCCATCATTTTCGTTGGCGGTTTGCCTGCTGAGAAGTCAGCATTTTATTCGAATTCAATTGTAATATTTACTAGTACACGCCAACAAAATTTCATATTTAATGAAATTTTATCATTTAGATTTGTCCATTTTAAATATATCGCAGCACACGTCTTGCTATTTCATTCTCAATTATTTTTTAAACTTTTTATCTGATGGTAACTAGTATTTGGCCTCCAGAAACCAGAAGCTTTGAGACTATTAATGTATCTGTAAACACAGTGTTTAATCTTTATCCAAGTGTATTCCATTACCGTGAATAAAGCGTCGTTTGTGGCTAATGTTGGTGGTCGTAAATTAATATTGCATAGGTGTGACCTTCACTGTTGTAGGTTAGTGATGATCTAAGTCTAATATAGGTATGCTTCGCAATTATGTCAATGGTTCGTAGTTCATCGCGGTCATTGTGACTAGAATCCGCCGGCCTATGGCCATGGCCGTTGGGCACATTTATGGTACTGCAGATTGCGACTCCGGCGGTCAAACTTTGAATTTCAATTCATAAATTTGAAAATTTATTTAGGTTCTCTTAAAATACACCCTATTCAACCCATCTTCAGAGTACAGAAAACATCAGCAACGGTTAATGTATCTTTACTATAAGGGTTCCAGGTAATGATATCAGTGACGCCGGCTAATACTTTTCTGTTCATTTATTTTATGTATTTGTGTTCAGATGGTCGGCTTGCGGAGCACACTGACGAGGCTGCAGAATGACGTCACTGACGAGCCGCTGCCGCCCGATTTGAACCATCTGCAGGAAGAACTTGCAAGCGTCTTGGAGAGGCAGCAGCAGCTTGAGCAGGAGTACAAGGTAAGAGCAGTACATGGTGAGATCAGTACATGGTGAGAGCAGTACGCGGTGAGAGCAGTACACGGTGAGAGCAGTACACGGTGAGAGCAGTACACGGTGAGAGCAGTACACGGTGAGAGCAGTACGCGGTGAGAGCAGTACACGGTGAGAGCAGTACACGGTGAGAGCAGTACACGGTGAGAGCAGTACACGGTGAGAGCAGTACATGGTGAGAGCAGTAAACGGTGAGAGCAGTACACGATGAGAGCAGTACACGGTGAGAGCAGTAAACGGTGAGAGCAGTACACGATGAGAGCAGTACTTGGTGAGAGCAGTACATGGTGAGAGCAGTACATGGTGAGAGCAGTACATGGTAAGATTAGTACGAGGTAGGAAATTGTTGAGATGGTATGATCTCTTGGCTTTTATCATTGACGGAAAGTTTATACTTGTTTCTGTCAGCGGACCATAGATCTGTGAGGAATCTCTGAACAAGTCAGCAAATATTACAACAAATATTATAACATGACCACAAAATGAATTAAAACCACATGTTTGTTTTCATTATGGTGATATTTTCCCTCAGCCCTCAGGTCATGCAACTAGCGTAACTTCAAACTTATGCTATGTTGTCATAAAGCAATTCTAATTGGCGCTTTTATTAGTGTTGTACGGTACTTGAATAATTTTCGTGCCAAAAAATTGTGTTTTATTTGTATGTAGAATATTTTTTGTTAGTTAATATAGTTTGGATATCCACGGACCACGAATGGATAATGATATAAATGTTCTGACACAAACAAATAGTTCTGATTCCGTAACAAAATAAGCTAATATTACGTATGAATGTTACAGTCTGCCGAAACCGAAGCCGCTGCGCAACAGAAGCTCATGGCTGCTGCTCAGGCCGCCGCAAAAGAAGCCATGTGCAAAGTGAATGCCTGCAAAGACCGCATCAGCAACATCAAAGTAAGTTTTCCCTACAATTCTAAGTTTCAATAAAACAACTCGAAAGACATGAAATAGTTTTAATAAGACTAATAATTTAAATTAATTATATTATCAAACCATATCTTACATATTTAAAATTTTTTATCGTTTGTATTTTCTATTTTGCTTTGTTTTTTGCAGAAATGATTCTTCATCATAGTATTTTTGAATTTAGGAAAAAATGGGCAATATTAGTTGAAGTGGTTACCTTGACATATTCAAGCCAATCCCGATTCTAATGCGTTAAGTATAAAATAAATTAGATCATTTACATATTCCTGTGCATGTTAATTCAAATTCTCTTTACCTGGTTAAATTATGACAAAAAAATACTTCCCCGTGCTAACATCCTGCTGCATTAATGCATATATAAATTTGCTTCTCTGTCTACCTCTACTAATCAGAGGCTAATATTTTAATTAATGTGACTAACTAATCATCATAAATATTTACGAGCCAATCACTGGCGGCATTTAAAGCTAAGCAAACACAATTATCATGAACAATAAATCTGTGTTTGAAGAAAGAAATCAAGCCATTGTAGTGAATGTAAGAAAATTCCAATATCATTAGAACCCATGCTTTTTTCATGGAGGCGCATATGGTAAGCATTTCCATCGGTCCAACTTCCTACTACATCCTACTCCAACTAATATTTTCATTATACTAACCATGTGTTCTAAGGCAGGATTTGCGCTATTCAAAACGTGGCAAATTATATAATTTGCCACGTTTACAACCTGTATAGTTTAGATAGTTGTGATTATTATTGTGATTAAAACATTGTAATTAAAATGTGATTACAACTGTAAATGTGATTACACCTGTAAATGTGATTACAACCTCTAAATGTGATTACACCTGTAATTGCGATTACAACCTGTAAATGAGATGACACCTGTATATGTGATTACAACCTGTAAATGTGATTACACGTGTAAATGTGATTACACCGTTAAATGTGATTACAACCTGTAAATGTGATTACATCCTGTAAATGTGATTACAACATTTATAATTTCTTACGTTACCTGTAGCTCTACCTGTCACGTCCACCAATGCCAGGATAAATAATATTGAACGTCTAACAAGTAAGAGTGATGAATGAATTCCATGAGAAATGAATGAATTCCAAGTAAGAGTGTTTATGAATTCCATGAGAAATTCCAACTTCAAGTAACTTTGTCTTAACAATCTCGGATAAACTGAGGGGGACTGATTTCAATGACAAGCGAAGAATGATTGCATGTAATTTGAAGAATAAAACATTAATCACTACGGATGACTAAGAAGGGCTTTTGTCACTGACTGTCAAATAAGTTTAGGACTCCATATAAGTATTCGCCGCTCATTGACATATGGAAAAAAACCCGTTGCTTTCAAATAGCGTTCCAATAGAAATATATTAGGATTAATAACGAGATCTAATGTGAATGAAGAACAAGCTCCGTAGTGAGCATGGTTTTACAGCGCGATGCCGATCAAGCCGCTAACGCTCTTCCTGGTGCGGTAATGACCAAAATGTTGAAGTCTTGTTCTTGTATTACACTAGGCATTTATATACTCAAAAATATAAAAGAATCGTAGTGTCCAAATAGTGAGCACTTTCTAAACACGGCACGAAGAGAAGGCGGACGTAGCACTGATATGATATCTCTGTTGGTCATGCCGAATTGCGCCAGCATGACACACAATAAGGATAAGTGTACCTCTTAATTTTGAAAAGTCCCGCTCATTTCTCTGAGAGGCGACGATCCATCGTTGCCTGGGACTGCTACGACCGAAACGAATACTCGGGATAAAGTGTACGTTGATTTCCATTTGTTACAGAATGAGATGTTGACGGGCATGGAAGAAGTCAATCAGCTACTCAAAAAAGAAGAGGCGCTAAAACAAAAACTACACAAAACAGAAAATGACCTCCGAGAACAGCAGAAGTTGGTGGAGATTGCCTTAGGCAAAGTTGAAGAGACGATAGCGGCCGCAGAAAAGATCGAACCAGTGAGAGTGCCCGTCAAAAGGTATACATTTTCTTCCAATAATAATAATTAATGTGATATCTGTCGCTGCCAGGCTAAGTTGAATTCTTGAGTTGGTCCATTCATATGTAATGTTTTAGTATGATTCTTTTCATTGTGGTTTTGAATAGAAATTGAACGATTTCCAGCAATTTCATTTGTTGAGAAGAATCCATTCCATTTATCTCTGGCTAGTTTGGTTAGAAAATAATACGGTAGGTATGCGGTTAAAAATTACTTTTTAAAAGACAACACTTCTAAAGATTCTAGTGTCTCCGATGTTAAACATGTACAATGAATTTCTAATTTTATCTTCAAATATCGAAAAAAAATTAGTTCTCAAATTATTTTCAAATTTTTTTTAATATTTAAAATTTTGTACATTTTCAAAATTATTTATTCTGTCAAATGATTCATTTATTGCCTCTGACTTTGTGCAAGTGTGCAAAATTTCAGATAGATTGGACATGTAGAAGTGTGTTAATTATCGATTATAAGATTTGTAGCAGACCGACAAACAAACAAACAAACAACAAGAAATGAAGTTGAAGTGGTGTTGTAAAAAGAACTTCAATTGTGTGTTAAGACGAAGATTCATGTATTTCCTCATATTTTGGCGTTCATAAGTCCTAGAATATATTTCAGTGTTCTCATTCTATCTACATTTATTGTATGTTCTCATAATATTTCAAATTTCTACTGCTAACTGACCAGATCGAGCAAAGAAGTCGACAAGAAGCTAGTGTCGCTTTCAGCGCGTCTGAGTGAAGAAAACAAAAAGATCGGGTCGGTTGAGGAGGTGACAACGATGTACAAAGAGAAGTACAAATTACATCACAAAGCCAAGACAGAAATTGCGAAACAAAGCAACTTTCTAACGGTACGGCTTTGATGTGTTTGGATATAATATTCTGTAACTTGGATTATGATCATTGATGTTTTTGTAACTTGGATTTTCAATGTGACCGACGATTAAACTTTACATGTCCAATGTGGATGAATTTCAATGCAGGTACGATGGTTCTGAGGTGCTTATAAGCTGACAGCTATCAATAAATTTCTAATTGGAATAATCATCTGATCAGTAATTAGTACATATCTAATTAGAATAATCAATTTAAAAAACATTTCCTTGTTAACGCGTGTCTCTACTATTGGTTTTCCTCCATATACAGAATCATGAACTGTATCTTGTGTAGGTATTTGTATCAAATTAGTATTAGCTTCTGACCGGTTGGAAGTCTAAGAAAGAATAGCACTCGTCGAGTGAAGTTCAAGTATATTCTAACTGCACAGCTGTCAGATATTCTACAGATATTCACAGCTATAATTACTGTGAACACTGCTGCAAAAATAACTCGAAATGTTTTCCTTTGCGCTGTGTTTATTGCTGATGTTCTCTCTACTACTTGATAGGTTCTATGGTTCTTTTGAACGTGAGATGATCTATATTAATATCTCGAATTTTATTTACTTAATTTTTGTTCGTGTTTCGTTGAATAGAAACTTCAGGAAGGTTACGAGAAACGTGAAGCTAATTTTGTTGACATCTGCAAGTACCACAGCATTTACCTTCAGCATCACTTCGCCAGGTCGCTACGGAACAGAAACATAGACGTGAGTGTCATCACCATTATAAAATAAAAATTAATGAAATTCAATTAATACGATCTCATTTTGAATTGTTGTTTGTGAAACGCGTAGCTGGCAGATTTACATTGTTATGTCAAAACAACTTTTATGACCATTAACGCTCACTGCATTTTTGCCTCAATTGAAGGGTGTTCTAGACGTCGATCATGATAAGAAGCTCCTCACAATCAACACGTGTAAGAGTTCGTCATCTAAAGTTACCCCCACGTGAGTTTACTCGTCAACAGATGCCTGTTGATTTTTCCTCACTCATAAATTTCTGTGCGCTTCTTTTTTTCTTCATTTTGAATATTTGTGTAAGAACGTAGCTGGTTTAAATAGCTGTGCACATAAGTGATTGTTATGATTCTCACTAAAAAATTAACTTGAACTGAAGAGTTTTTTTTAGTAGTTGCGACTATGTGCGATAAATAATATTTTGTTGTTACAGTAAAGGCAAGAAGAGCAATCTTGCCATGATGTCGGGCGGAGAGCGCTCATTCATCACTGTTTCCTTCATGTTGGCACTTTGGGAAACGGTCTTCAGTCCTATCCGCATGTTGGATGAATTCGACGTTTTCATGGTGAGTGGGAAACGGTCTTCAGTCCTGTCCGCATGTTGGATGAATTCAACGTTTTCATGGTGAGTGAGAAACGGTCTTCAGTTCTGTCCGCATGTTGGATGAATTCGACGTTTTCATGGTGAGTGAGAAACGGTCTTCAGTCCTGTCCGCATGTTGGATGAATTCAATGTTTTCATGGTGAATGTGAAATGGTCTTCAGTCCTGTCCGCATGTTGAATGAATTAGATGTTTTCATGGCGAATGAGAAATAGTCTTCAGTCCGATCCGCATGTTGGATAAATTTATTTACATCTATTTGCCAGAACTGTTTCTAGTGTAGATTTATTAATGCTTTTGTGTGGGTTTTTTGAAGCCAATTTGCTATTGCGGACAGAACAAACATGCTTTCACTCTGTTAACTCGAAGATTGGATTAAAATTGGAATCATTTCATTTATTTGAACGTGCAAGATTGAAATCGATGAATTTAATTATTTATTGTGCAAAAAAAAGTGTCACTGATCATTTTTTGTCACTTTATGAATAAAGAACAAACATGAATTCGGGAAGCCGCTAATTATTTCGTTCGATTTCGTGACTTAATTTTATTTTTTCATCTATGTTGTTTAAGCTATTGTGAATATCTACTTACAGTCATTGTTATCTTGCAGGACATCGTTTCTCGGAACCAAAGCATGGACATGATGATCCAAGCGTCGAGACCTCAGACTCAGTACCTCTACCTCACGCCTCTGGACGTCAAGAAGCGTTATGACAAGAAAATTGCCATCTTCCGGTGAGTTAAATAATTATTATCTCTATGTCAAATTTCGTATTCTGCGAGCCAAGACACCGAGAGCTGTCTGAGAGACTTTGCGCTTAAAGACCACAGGCCGTACTGTCAAAACCTGCCTAGGTAAACGTGGCCGATTTCTCTTCTGTGATTGGCGGGTTTAGCTTGAAAAGCTGTTGTTGATTTGCTGATGGAGTTGAGAATTCGATCTTTTTTCATAGTGCTGCCCCAGGCGCACTGCGTGTTTAAGATGTTCATGTTATCAACCGCGATATCGCGATCGCTTCAACCCGATTTCTGTCGGGGTGATGTTTGGAATCGTCGGGCGGTTTTTAGGTGGTCGATGAATGGCCAGTTGACTAGCTCCCATAAGCGATTTGGCCTGCAGCAACCTCGTATGTCGAGGCTAAGCACCGGACACTCACACTTGAGGCCACGTCCAGAGTTACTCGTGACTGTCACTCCAGAGTGACTCGTGATTGTCACTCCAGAGTGACTTATGACTGTCACTTCAGAGTGACTCATGACTATCACTCCAGAGTGACTCATGACTGTCATTCCAAGCGACTCATGACTGTCACTCCAGAGTGACTCATGACTGTCATTCCAGAGTGACTCGTGATTTTCACTCCAGAGTGACTTATGACTGTCAATTTAGAGTGATATCCCTTCCTCTTAATAAATTACCTTACCGTTAGTCGAAGGAAGCAACTCTTCTTTATAGGGTGCATTTGTGTTTAACAATTGTATGGTAATAACAAGTATTTGCAGCAAGCACACGCTGATTCGCAAATGCCTGTTGTACCAATCACTGCAGAATAAATATTGACATCCGTGATCATCCTAAAAAGTATATAAACTACACACTTCATGAACATTTATGTGCCAAAAATGTCTTCAGTGTTACAAATTCTTATTGCTCAGCAAAAATTGCAAGTAAATTGTCGAATAAAGATGATAAAATTCAGAGTGTTATCTAATTTATGAGTGTAGTAAGGGTGAAGCCACTGAATCAAGATATGCCTTTCGTAACCGCCAAGCTTGTCTGAAGTCTCGCGACGGTGAACCTGGGGTCGCAAAATTGAAAGTTGCTCAACTTCACAAAGCGCCAGATTTCTCGTCTGTGATTGATGGGTTCAGCTTGAGAAGTCGCTTGTCATTAGCTGATTGGGTTCAGAACTAATGAATTTTCCTGATAATTTGGCCCTAGGGTTCTAATCTGATGATCTTTATTGCAGGATGCCTGATCCGGACCGCAACGCCCCGCCACCTGAAGAATGATTCTGATCATACCTGGAAGTGAAGCGACTGATCATACTTGAAATTGGAAAAGTTTATTTTTTTAGATGTTTTTCTGTTTTCCCATAACATTAGTCAAGCGGAAACTAGTTGGTCCCAATGGATATTGGATTGAAACGGTTTTATTTGAGTATACAGTTGAAAACATCGCGGTTTAATAACTATCCCTCCAGTAATCAGTAATACTGTTAAAAGTGAAACTTCACATATTTCTTTTGTAGCGCTAAACTTCGGACATCGACTGTGAGATAAACGATTCAGTCTGACTCTCTGTATACTCAACTTATTTTCAATCTTAGTATTCCAATACTCGTCGTGCAATGAGATTTTTTACCGTTCATGTCGATGGATTTTCATTTCCGGAAATGCCTTTAAGGTAGTTTGACTGTTCTACTTTTCTTGAAAGGAGTTTTATTTTCACATCTGAGTTAATTTCACTTTTCTTCCCTGTCATTGTGAATGAGTTGTGCTCACTTATTTTTCAGACGCATTCTCTATTCAGCTACTCCTTTTGCCCCGGTGAAATGATTCCCAGATTTTATAGTCATCAAAATTATTACATGAGGAACAAGTGGAAATGCATTTTGTTGACCGCACCGTCTGATATTCCCAACATGCTTTCTCGAGCCGATCCTACCGGTCAACGAAAGTTCGAGTCGTTTGAAGTTTACATGAGAATGAATTTTTGTCCTAATCCATTATCAGCAAACTTTTATACTCTTTTCATTTAGTTTTCTTCTCATTGTATTCAATCTTTATGTTCATTAGGATTCCTCCTTTCATAGGATTCCTTTAAGCTTTTTTTGTTCTTGACGCTTTTCTACTTTTATTTTATGTATTAGTTTTCATGTACTCTAACTGTACAGAAAGAGGAACTTACATTAAATTTTGTAACGCCTATATCCTCTCATTCAACCGGGTCCAGCCCATTACAGAGACGCCGTTAATTTATAATCAATATTTCATGCAAAATGTAACATTTATTTGAGTTATCCTAGAAGCTTATGCCTTTGGATATCAATGTTGGAAACATTAGTGATATAATATACAGTGGGGGGGAAATGAATATTCGTACACTTGAAAAATCGTATTTTAATGTATGTAAGTACACAAACTTTGAGATTTAATTTCTTTTGATAGTATTTTTGAATACTATGCGTCTCTATACATAATTTAAATCACTTTTCCTGTTAAGTTTGTGTACTTCCATACATTAAAATACGATTTTTCAAGTGTACGAATATTTATTTCCCCCCACTGTAGTACTTACTAAGGTGTGCTCATTGAAGTAAGTAACGAGAACATTTTGTGAATCCCTGCATTGAAATCTCAAATATGACACGTTGATAGCATTCATGTACAGGGCAGCAAATAACGAGACCAGACCACCTCGTCAACATTCATTATACAGTAAAAAACTAATATGCGTTATTGAAGATGTCTGTACAAATTTCCTTTATACCAACATAATAAATTGATCAACCCTCAGACACCGTACAATATAATAAAAACTCAGTAGTCATAAAGTTCGCTTTGACGCTCGAACGAACTCAACCATTCTTGGTAGAAATTACCTGGAGGGCACTTCCAACCACATGAAAATTATTTAATGATTGTAATCAGAGGTTTGCGCTTGGCAATGAACTTATAATAATAAGTGATTGTAGACAACGCACTGGCATTTCTCAACGTAATACAAGCATAAAAAGAATATCACTGGCACGCCGGTACAAAATATTCCAGTATCCGCAAGAAGAAGCGAACCGTGAAATTTGAATGTTCGCCCATAAATGTTATTATAGAATGATTTTAACCATCACAAGTCGTAGAAAACCTTTATAATAATTAAAATGACCGCCAGCTAATCATTTCGTTGAGTTAAACAAGCAATTACACACAGCATATTGAAATATAATACTTAGTTATCGAAAGTTAAACTCGTCATTATCATTGATCTGATCACTAATCGGAATATGAAGAGGAATGCAAATTCACTACTCAGGAATCGTTTTAGCAGTCACTTCCTTGCGCGTTTCTGCTTCGGTTCCATTGGCAACTTTTTTGACAATATCCGCATTTGATGATTTGCTCCCACTTGTTGATGCTATTTTTATGTCTTTGCTGACGACGGCAGTTTCGTTGCCTGTGGTCGTCGCTTTGACCAGAGCCGTGCTACCTGCTGGCAGAACAATTATCTGTGTGGGTGCGCCACTCTTGCTAGCTGAGGTGCTTGAAATCACTACAGTCCTAGCACCAGAGACATTTACTGAACTTTTGGACCTGTCACTGCTCTGACTTTTTTCGGATACGGCCACAGCAACACCCTTTAAGCTTGAAGAATCAGATTTCTTGGTTTTGGTGGATTCAGTGTTTTTATAACTGTCTTCTTCATGCTGGGCTTCGATAATTTCTTTCGACGGTGACGCAATCTCAGCTTCAGATTCAACCTCGCACTTGATTTCATGTGGAGCTTTTTTTGCGGCCAAAGGAGCAGGCGAATTCAAACTGGCATCAGTATCCTCGTCTTCATTCTGAATCTCGTCTTGCATCTCTTCTTCCGGATCATCTTCCTCTTCCTCAGGTTGGTCAGCAACATCGGCTTCGATCGTGTACATTTCCCCGCCATGTTCGTCACCCGTCACTTGTGTATATATTACCTCCGACTGCTCGTCGTCTGCAGGTATCACTTCGTGGGCTTGGATGGTGGGAAGAGTGTCCAAGACTTGCAGGGTAAAACCTTCAGTCTCGGCCTCCTCCATCTCCATTTTCCTCACCAGTTCCCTGAGCTTTATGTTAGACCCAACAGCGAACCTGTTATACTCGGGTATGGACATAGCATACACATACATGATTCTGTCTTTGGTCTGGACGCGTTCGCGAGGACATTTAGATTTCAGTTTATTCTGGAATGCAGTACGTGCATGCTCGCTCTTCCGACGACTGAAGCAGTTGGTGAGATGGTCAATGACAACCAGAGTGTCTCCGTACGGCGCGGCTCTCAACAGCTCCGAGTGTATATTTTCATCACTTTCATGGATCAGCGTCGAGTACCGGAACCCGAACTTCTCAACTGATCTTGACCAGATCTTCTTGGCTACGAAACACTCCAAGTACTTGGGCTCGATATCCTTCACTCCTTCCTCGGCGTCGTGATCCAACTCATCACACCACTCACGAATCTCACAGGAGCTCTGATGTTTATTGAACCATTCGGTCATTTCTGTTGGGGTCATCGATATGATTCTCTTGGCATTAATCTTGCACACGTGGCAATACATGTTTGCAACATCGTAGTCCAGCACAAGGCCGGTCTGCAGTTCAATAACAGCGCCAGCAACGAGGCAGAAATCACTGCCCCATTGATGGTAGGTTGTGGTGAACGAGACCGTGATGTCAAGAATCTCATCAACGCCTGCATCGTACACTCTTCGTACAATGCGAGCATTCGATTGCAAGTTGTCTTCTGTGTCATTCACAACATCTTGGATGACTTGCCGAGCATACACAATAAACGTAGCTTCATTGAGGCACCTGGCATTGAAGTATTTACAGTAATGGCGGAGGCCGCTGTAACCCAATCCATTGTCAAGGAAGGCGGCCACGTGTGCATAGTTTATGTTCTCTGTTTTCTGCAGCACAAGGTTCTTGACTTCCCTCTTGCGTTTGCGCTCTCTTACGAGGTTGGGTGTGATTGTGACTTTCTTGGACTCGCAAACGGTGCACGTCACGACGAACTCGGAGATCATACCTTTGGTTGTGGGACGGACGGAGATCGAGACGCTTTCGCCGCAGTCTTTACACGCCACTAAATGTGAGAGAGCCTTTACCTGCGAAATAAATGGCATGCACTCTATGAAAGAAGCTAACTAAATTTGTGCACAACAATTGTGTGAGTGGATTTGTAACATATATCATAGCTTAACTACAGTTTAGAAATAAAATATTTTTATTAATTTTTTAGTATCTTGAAATGAATCAAATATGTACAAGCAAATGTTACACTTTTTCTCGACGTCTAGCAGAATAAGTTGAAGTGAGGGTTAATGAGCTTGAACATTACTAACCTGAACAGTAGACATATGCAGGCCACAAGCCTGCTCTTCTTCCAGTACAGGCACCGTGACGCTGCTCTCCCCAGCTTCTTGCACCTCTACCTCCTCCTCCTCTTCCTCCTCATAATCGTCATCTGAGAGAGGAGGCAGCTGAGACTTGCGAGGACGGCCTGATGTCCTCCTGCCACCTCGTCCGCGTTTGGAGAGTCGTGGTTTTGCCTGCGTTAGTCAATGACAAGACATCCAAATATTATATGATTACTTGACATACGTTAAGGTATATATTATTAGCATTTGACATATTAATAGGAAGACATGCAAATGTTGAAATATTATGCAATTACCGATATGAAATAGATATTTTTATTAGTTGACATAGAGATGACATATGAATAACAATATTGTTTGATTACTTGACTTTGAAAGTCTTGTTGTGGACAAGAAGTAACAAGCACAAACCAAACATCTTTTTGACATACAAAGAAAGTATAAATACATGCAACAGCTTCAAATACTCAGATCCAAAATGAACAATAATATTAACAATTTTTGTTTTTTTGAGTGTCTAACATGCACCTTGAGAAAGAATGGCTGTCTGTCTCTCGGCGTGTTGCTCTTTTCAACAGACTTTCGCGAACCAATTTGAGCATTTCATGCAATAACCATGCTATCTGACTTAATATATCATAACATAGCAGTAAATTTATTGACACTGGATAATTTTTTCACCAATAAATATGCGACACAGGATTTTACTCTAAAATCTAGAAAAAATTACCGGTCCATTTTCTTCCTCTTGAAAATCCTCACTGGGTTCATCATCCAGCTCAACTTTAGCAGGTAGGTTATCAGCATCATCGACACGAGGTGGTCGGCCTGCGCGGCGCTTCTTAGGCTTTGGCTCATCGTCTGTAGCTGGAGACGACACAGCAGGCTCAGATGTACGTGGACGTCCACGTTTGCCAGTACCTTAAGAAATATAACCTTTGAATTAGAAACTTGATGGGAAGTTGTTTTTCTAGTATCATGACAGCTCCAGCAACAAGAATATTGGAAAATTTCATGATTTCCTTTCAGAAGTCTTAAAACCATGCAGTTCTACTGGTTACACAAATAGGAAAATGTGTTTGTCTGAATATTGATCAAATAAGCGTACTGAAAAAACTTTCATTTGAAGTGCACTTCAAAGTTTCTTCCTGGTACTATTGTTAACATTGTAAAAGTAATTTTACAAAGTAATTTTGTTGTTATGCTTTCAGTTAAGTTGCGTAGTTCCCAAAGTGGCTCAGTCTTGCTTGGCTCATTCTTTGCAAAAAGACAACCATTCCATTGCCTTCCAAGTTCAGCTTTGTCAAGAAGAGACACAATACACACAAATAATACTAGTATTCCAAATTTCCAATATTTTAGCTAAACTAGTTCTCATATACCTATATAATCAACCACACACATAGCACAAACAGTATCCTGATTAAAAGAAATAGTACTGTTTTGCAGATTGGAAGATCAATAAGGAGACTAACAATATCAACTGAATGACTACTATCTAAGGCCCATAAATTGTACATATATTTTGATGCAAGGTTTACAATGTAATTTTGAATACTGGTACCTATAATGTACTCTTAACTGCTGTACGTATGTAAACTTGAAAATGTATATATTAAAGGAAACTAGAATTGTATAGGTATATAGGAAATAGAAATGTGTGAAGAATTGTTTGACTCTCTGATAATTTAATTCAACAAGGTCTCTGATCATTAATTGCGCATGTTTAAAGATAACATTAGCAAAGCAATGCTTTGTTCATTGTACTGATTTCTTTCTCAGACAGACAAATAGCTAAATCACCAAAGTGAGGAAAACTTTAAAACCAATTTTAAACAGCTCAAAATTTCCTGTACAGTTCTACCTAATGCTCCTTATAGCTCCAACATGATTATATTCATCCAAATAAATTAAAATAAAAAATTCCTCCTACATAAATTACCTGTAAATTCATATTCCACATCTTCAACAATTTGTGAAAATTGGTTATTTTAACCCAAAAATCTAAAATTTATGAAAAAAAATTGTATTCTACATAAGAAATGATAATACTGGATATTCATCCACCTTAATAATAAAAATAAACAATGAATATGGCTAGTTATTTTAATACAGTGGAAATCTAGAAATTTCTGGCTTCACTGCATGATAGCACATAGCCTAGTAGTTGCATTCTGGTGCAGTGATGCAGCCTTTTAAGCATCTTTCACTAATTTTGGCATATGATGTAGGTATGACAAGTTTTCATGCACAGCAAGGATTAGAAAATGGCTGTTCAAAATCCAAAGCATCCAGCCCCACCTATATCTTAGATAGCTTAGGCATCATGTCCTAACAAGAAATAAGGAACAAATTACTCAAGGCAAGTGGGCGTAACACACCATGTTGAGCAATGTAAAGTGTGATGTCTGACAGAAAGCTCCCAAACTCTCTTGTCATAACTGATGGTCTGTGCAGCATTGAAGGATTTTGCATCCAATGTAAGGAAGATATTTTACTGCTCAATTCTTTATTTTTTAACTTACTTTATGAACTGCAATTTGTATAGGTTGCATTGAATATGTTTACATTCTATTGTATGGTTCAGCCAAGTGAGCCAACTTGACTGGTGATGACTTCACCATTTTTGGTACTTTGATATTGACATTGGATAGTTATAACGGTACTTCATTCCAACTATGAAATCTCAAAAAATAATTAACTTTTATATTATTTAATAGAAGTTACCTTTACATAGAATAGAAAAATTTTTGGTGATTATATGCTTTTGATCTAAAATTAAATTATTTAAATTCCTAATTTGGGTTTGTCAGAAGTTTGGTCTCAAGATGCCAAGATCACTGTGACACAACCCCCTGGTCTTGGAGGGATAGAGTAAGCAAAGACTGGGCACCCTTTGCCAGGACCAATAAGTACTACCAAACACCAATCCTAGAATTGCACTGTGGTGGTAATGCTTTACATATATACCCATATGTGCATGGCCAGGAGGAACAAAGATATGACAGCACAGCTGCCGCTGTAGGTAGGAGCCGGCATCCAACATTTAAATTGACAGGTAGATGAGTAGTACATATATGTTCATATAGAAGCAATGAGAGGAACTGATTGCATCCTTTCACAGCCACAGCAGCTGCCACTGTTGATAGCATCAGGCATCCAATGTATTTATATTCAATAGTAGTCCATGTACTTTCATACAGAGGTGGTGAGAGGATATGAAATCTTGTGGCATCTTACAGCCACAGCTGCTGCCAGTGCCACTGTTGACAGCAACAGGCATCCAACATATTTAAGATGACTAGTACATGTACATTCATATAGAGGTGGTGAGAGGATATGATTTAGTCATCTCACAGTGGCAGCTGCAGCCACTTGAGGTAGCAGCATGAAACCGGTGTATTTATATTTACTAGCATATGTACATTCATTTGCATGTAGAGGTGGTGAGATGTGAGAGGGTATGATTGCATCATTGTATAGCTGCAGCTGCTGGCTGAGGAAGCCATTGAGCTACATACAGTTGCCAATTAATATACAAGCTATGAGCCTGGACATACGCAGGGTTAAGAAGATACGATCCTGTCAAACTGTACACAACTATATATATGGTTATTAATCAAGATATCTATATGCTTAAGTGCTATGTATATTGCTGTGTGGCAGTGTTGTTGTTGCCCTGCATCAAGCGCAAGCAAGTTCAAACTAATTTTAGTGACAGAGCAGGGCACATTTTTTCTATACATATTACCATGCACTGCACAGATTGAAAAAAATTAAACTCCAATTCCCGCGCACATGGCACATCTTCATGGCAATGGGTTGGCCTTCATCAAGTTCATTTTTGAGTAGGTAGTAAAAGTAGATCAGTTAGTGTATTGGATACCAGCATGCAGCATTATCATACACAAGAAATTGATTAAAATACTTAGTGAATGAGGTCATGAGGAAATTAGAAATTACCAGATTCTAAAACCAGATTCTGCCACTATTGCTCCAGCCTTTAGTTGTAGTTTGAATAGTAGATATGTTCTATGCCAGCCTGCCAGAAGTGCAGACTTTGGCCACTCTGCTCAGTTTGCCGAGTGGTGACTGGTGACTTGATGGGCAAATTGTTCTTTAATCCTTAAAAGCTCATTTAATTTTATATCAAGCCAAAATTGCCCAAAACATACCTGATTGCTCTCTACTGGTAAGCATTGAAATTTTCAACCAACATTAAGCATTTGCTTTAATGTTTCGATTTATTCAATACAAATTTGTACCTTTTTAAAAATTATTTATAGTTATTTCAGGTCAGTGGTTGACTTAATTCAGGACTGGTAGAAGTTACATAGATACTACTTATGGAATGAAATGAGGTTCAATTACTTCAGTTTTCAAACTTTTATTACATAATAACTAAAATGTAAATATAATAGAAAGCAGATAAATTATATTAAAATTGTTTTAGAACAGCTGGATACAAACGATAGGCTACTCACAAAACAGTATTCATTAGGGAAAATTTTGAATTTTCATACTGTGAGCTTAGGTAAGATGATTTCATGGAGAGGTAAATGAAAACAAGTATGTAATGCTGCATTTTCCTAACAAATTCGAAGCGAATTTCAACTATAATTTTGAGATCTCTAATGCGAGTAACAAGGCCACTTTGAATTTAACTTGACAAATTCATTCTAAATAGTAACCGCTAGAATTTTCATTAGAACCCAAAAAATCGAACGGAGAATTGCACAGTGACGGAGGGACATTAATAAATTCGATACAAACACTCAAATATCACTACATGAGCAACAATATGACGTTGAAGTACAATCAACTTCTTCTACAGTGAACATAAAGGAATCTTTTCTTACCTCGTCCTCTTCCTCGTGGCATTTCTCATGTAAATATCGAAGTTTCCACGTAACCACGGACAAGACACAATGGCTGACTGAGCTAACTCTGCACGCAGTAAAAATGGCGAAGTGACTAAATTGTTGCTATTATCCCTCGGAAACGCTGAGCGAAGTGTGTAAGTATTACTGTGTTTCAATTTTCTCTTGATTTTTAGTGCAATATGATTTCTATTTTGAAGTTCGCTGTAAATTTTTATTGAATTTCTACAGTTGCCGCTTGAGAAATTATTCCACTTTTCATTTCAACAAGAGTTGTAAGAAGCCTTCTGATTGGTCAATAGAGCCGGAGCTGTTTCTCAAAGCCAATAGCATTACTCGTTCATAATTTAAAAACTTCTTATTTTTTTCCTCAACCAGAGACTTAAATATTTTTATTTTTGTGCTTCCAATCGAAACAAAACACGAAATTTGAACATTTGCTTGAATATTTTCTCAGCATTAGTGACGAAATTTTTTAATATCTTCTTCGCGTGCAAGGGAGAGTAATTAAACAGGAACCACCTAATTCCTTTGCGCACCTATGTTTAAAAGTTTTTGAATAGAATAAGTTTTGCATAGTTGTTTCATTGCCTAAAATAATTGTTCAGCAGATGCCAACATACTCATCACTCGTTAAAATAGGGATAATTATTCCTTCTGAATTTATGCATTGGATAATAACATTCTAAAAGCCTCTAAATGTTATTCCGAGTACCTAAGAGTTTTGTCTCTTACTAAATATATTAACGCTCTTGGAACCAAATTTACCATTTTGACTTTTTAGATACTTATATCGCGTACTGTAGAGATGTTGTTGTTGTTGTTGTTGTTGTTGTTGACCCTCCCCGCCTCGCTTCATGGCGCGAGGCGGGGCCTAGACCCAGTTCTGGGGCCAGCCAAGTCGGTCGCCCCAGCGGGCCAGCAGCCCTGCAGCGTTTACAGGGTCCGACCAAAGGTCACCCACCGACAGGGATGTTGATGTCGATGTCATGTTGTTTTGTGGTTAGTTTGAGGTCTTCTATTTTGTTTGTGAGGCCATTTGTATTTATTTGCATTATCTTGATATCAGAGGGCGTTTTTCGGAGTCTGATTGGTGGAGATAGGGGTTGTGTGGGATTGTTAGGTGTTGTGACTGGTGGGGGGAACGGAGGTTGGGGTGCAGTGGCTGGGTTTGGAACAAGTTGCAATGCTGGTGGTGGCTCTGTATCAGGCCTGGGAGGGAATGGTGGAGTGTGTTGGGGACAGGTCCAAGACTTTGTGTATTGACGGAGTGTTATGTTTGTAGAGATGTCTGCAATTCAATTGGAGCTCGGGCAACTATACAACAAGGGCTTCCTGTGCTTATTGGAATTGATGCCCGCTCTGGGGAATTTCAGCCTTATACGAAATTTTTTGACCTGCTGCGCGTGTCGGACCGGTCTGCGCTTACAGTGATTTTTTGCAACACTTCTCTTTAACTTCACTTCTTGTTTGTCTGTCTGTCTGCTACAAATCTTGTAATCGAAATTTAACACATTTCTACTTTTCCTATCGATCTGAAATTTTGCACACTTGCGTAAAGTTGAAGACAATGCATGAACCAAATGACAAAATAAATAATTTAAATTTTTTTTGTTTTCAATATTATAAAAACTGAAAAAAATAATTTTGTCTGCTATAAATCTTATAATCAATATTTAACACACTTCTAGCTGTCCAATCTATCTGAAATTTTGCAAACTTGCGTAAAGTCGGAGACAATGCGTGAATCAATTGACAGAATAAATAAATTTGAAAATTTAAAATCTTTTATGTATTAAAATAATTATAAAATAATTTTTTTAATATTCGAAATTAAAATTAGGAATTCATTGTACATGTTTTACATTGGAGACACTGAACTTTTTAGAAGTGTTGTCCTTGAAAATTAGTTTTTAAACGTAGATTTTAATGGCTCATATTTTATCAGTTTATTATTCTAAACCAAAAATAGCAAGTAAAATATCACCAGTATCAGAGTTGCCTTGCTAAATTCGTTAATTTGAAACCCCCAATGTACTATTCTTTTTTACAATATTGTTCCTCGGTCTGTACAAGAGGAGCGCTCCAGTTAGACAGATCCGCTCCACCGAGTCGATGTCTAATGATTGCTGGGACTCAATTTTAATGTCGTTCGGCAATTTTTGGCAATGTCGTTCGAAAAAAAAATCATTTTAACAGCGTCAAAATCAAAACAACGGAAATACTTCTGCCATAATTTTCCCGTAAAATCTTCACGCTAACAAATAATAGGCAGGCAATGGTGATGTTATTCGCTGTTTTCCTGCGTGATTTATTATTCCATGAGCACTTGACACGTCGATAGTAAATTATTGTCTAACATTTTATGATTAAAAATATTTAGCTATTTTCTTGTTTCTAACAAATTTTGATACCCACTAATACTAGTGCTGGATGTGCACTTCTACGCTTTATAAATCGCATAACATGGAAACGGAAAACTTAAAATATTGACGTCGTTAAAAATTACAAAAAAATTCGTCGATATTGTGGTGGGAAGTGAGGTGCTATAGAAATTGAATTAAATGTAAAATGAGAGTTCAATTCAAATTAATGCCCTTTCAAGGCATTAATTGAAGTTATCGTGACCCAAAATGAAATCAGTGCAAAAAAAAAAAAACAGTCACCCTTTCAGAAATAAAAACAATTTTCAGATTTTTTTCAGATCCGTGTAATCAAAGTTAAACTTGTAAGAAAAGCAGACTGGGTTATCAGTTTTTCCCGGTGCTTTTTTGCGGTCGTTCCTGAGTGACGGATAAATGATCGTTATACGTGTACGGTTGTATGTGGCAAATAGTTGATTGATTGGCGAATAGTTGACGAATAATTGATCGTTTGCAGGAGGCGAATAGTCGATCGTACATGTATGGCGAATAACTAATCAAATGCACGTTGCGAATAAGTGATCACTCGCACGTGGCGAATAATTGATCGCATGTGTATGGCGAATAATTAATCGTGTGCATGTGGCGAATAGGTGATCGCTCACACTTGGCGAATAAGTGATCGTTTGCCCATAGTGAATAATTAATCGTATGTGATGCGAATAATTAATCGTGTGCATGTGGCGAATACGTGATCGGTTACATGTGGCGAACACGTGATCGGTCGCTTGTGGCGAATAAACGATCGTTTTCTTGTGACGAAAAAATGACTTGTATGATTGATCTAGCATGCATATGACTGATCGTTTGCATCTGGTGAATGTCGTATGTATGTCGTGTATGACTGTATGTGAGGCTCCGCTAATTTTGTTTATAGAGACCCAATCGGGTCGCCTGCCGATCGAAGACCACAACTGCCCTGGATATAATGGACCATCATGATTCCTGCCTTCCGGAACGTAGCCTTCAACCCTTCAAGCCGTCCGTATCTAGGCCGTGGGTCGAACCAGCCCTCGGTCGAACGGCCACTTGTCGAAGGACGATAAATTTTGGAACAGAACTATGCTATCTGAAACCTAACCTCAGATGTGGTGAACGTAAAGTTACTTAATTCAACGATGCCCGGAAGTCAGATTCGATCCGCGGCCTGGTGGTGCACGGCAGGCGGTGGTCAAGGCCGGAGGAGGACAAAGCCGAGTGGTGCACGGCTGATTGGTGGATATCCGGAGAGATCCAAGGCGTTCGATTCAGGGCTTATTGGTGCACAAAATTGGTGGTGCACGGCTGCGCTCCCGACCCAATCTACATGCGGTGGACGACGTCTGAGTTGCCCATCCTTTGGTGCGGAATTAAGATTCGGTGTCACCATCAAAATGAGGGTACCATCACATTAGGGCAAAAAGTGTTCTTTTCTTTACATGAATTTAGAACACATTTTAAAAATCAGTATAGCGCATATCCAATCATTTTAATCAACGTGGAAACTATTTAGCCATCTTTTCGATCGATATATAGGAAATGCATTTAGATGAAAATGTATTCTATGTTTTATCTATCCGAAAATCAGCCTACGGCTTTCTACAAAAAAAAATCCGAGCTGAGAATTAGACTTTCCTCAGTTGGACTCATACAGCATTAATTATTGTTAGAAGAAATGCAGTAATGAAGGTTTGGTCAATGCATTTATCCTCGTTAGATGTTTTATGAAAATTTGCGTCAAATTCTGTATGAATTCCAAAATTCCAAATTGTCATAGTTAGATAAAGTGTGGGTTGTTTTTAAATTTATATGCAAAGTCAATTCTACTTTAGATTAGGAAATGACGGATTCGTTGCAACTTGTCATATAAACTTAGCATTTAAATAAAAAAAAACGCCAAAAATTCATTTGGTCTGCAGTGAAAACTTATCGGAGTCCAGCTCCTGTTAGAAATTTCCACATTCCTTAGGATATAAATTTGTTCTTTTTCTTCATACCTTTGTTGGTATGAATTTGTAAATAGTAAGAGTTGGCTGTAAGACTTGGTGGTGAAAACATCACATTAATGTTGCTCCGTTAGGAGTGTATAAAGCCATTCCTTCCTAATTTGCTATTTATTATTTTGAGTGATCACTCTTTGTTTTTCGTTTTATTTATTTACGTTGATTATGCATGTTCGCGCTTTCTTTGATTAGGAAAGGGCGGACTCCAGTGCTAAATTTGGGCTTGGCCTTTTCTTGTGGCTCGACCACCTTAGCTTTGAGCTTCGACTTTCTACTCTGATAAGTATAATATTTGTTCCTAACTTATTGGGGAAGCTTGGTGCTTTCCTAAGCTTAAATTACTTGTTTATTTTGGAGTCTGCCCTCTCTCTTTCTTCTACTTTCATTATTTCCCTTTACATGGCCTCACAAGCCTCTTAAAAGTTACAGCTTAACCGCTTGGTGGCTAAAGATTTTAAGGTGGGTCCGAGGCTGTTATAGTGACATATTGCGTCTTACATTTATGTTCATAGAACTTATGATTTAATTACCAACTATCTAACGGCTATTTATTCCTTCTATTCGATAGAATAACTGCATATCCGGTGAGAATCAACCTTCGATCTTTTTTATGAGGACTTTCAGCGGCACTGTTTGCGATAGAAAGAGCCTTCCGTTTACCATGGTGTGTAAGCCGTGTAATGCTTTGCTGATATGAATGTATTTGAAACTTCCGATATTGGAATACTACTACTGGAATGCAGAATTGTAAAATTTATGAGATATTTCTTGCTTCTACAGTTATGTTGGGCCGGGTTTATTCGTCGGCATAACGGCGATAAACTGTATTGGAACCGCTGCCAAGCGTCATTTTTCGTGACTTCGTTCAATCCTAGATTTTTGTGAATACGTCTGCTTTCTCAAGATTTGGACCAGTCATCTCTGAAATAAAAGTTCCATTTTGTTTACTGTTTTTTGTATCAAGCCTAACACTCCATCATCAGTACAAAAACTCCATTAATACGATTTTGACCAAAATAGGACCTACAAATTGCCTAAGGAATGCAAAACCTATTGCATAGGTTTCAACGGTTTCAAGTGGATCCGAACTCATATGTCATAACATCGTTTACTCAGGTGACGTCATAGTTAAAAGAAGATGAGAGAGTACCACGGGTAGCTATCGCTATAAAAGTTTCATCACGATGGTATGCTGCTAATCTATCCACCGCAGCTATATATAACCGTCTAATTGTCAAACTCCGAAGAAGAGGATCAACAATGATTGAACCGTAACCGATGACGTGAGCTCTAGAATAGAAGTGTCGGCGTTGAAGAAACAGGCCCATGGCCTATTTCTTCAACGCCGACACTTCTATTCTAGAGCTAGGTAAAAGAGCAGCCACTTAAAGACGTTAAAGTGCTACTTTCGAGGTGCTACTTCAAGATCCCGAATAAATTTATCGAACTGAAACTTTAAACGCGTGCTGCGTCTAAGCTTTTCCAGGATTTCTAAGTAGAAGCCGAGCCAACTGCCACAACCAAACAGGGTGACCCAGTGGTTACAGTTCTGCCAGAGTACCAGGATTGGCGCAGGAAGGCGCGGGTTCGATCCCAGCTCTGCGCGCCAGTTTCTGGTCAGAATCGGCGAGGAGGCCGGGCGGTTAAGCACAACAAAATTGGAGCAGTGAGTTGCGAGTTCGAGACCGCAATAAGCTGTGAATATTCTGCGATGTTAAGAATCGGCGACAGGCCCACGGCCTAGTAAAGACTGAAACCGCTATTATTATTATTATTATTATATGATTGAAGCTGCATCTTTCCATCACATAAGGCCCGGTGCAGTAGTCAATAGTAGCTCTATCGTCCCCTAGATAATATAATTATTAGAAATGATACATGAACGTGCGTTGATGTATACAATGGCATGTGCGGATCCTAGGCCATCAAAGTTCGTTGATGCATCATGGCTAAACAAACAGTTTTTGTATTCGTCAGAGTTCATCTTATTAACAAATAATCTATATACTCAATGAATCGACACTGAACTTTTTTCACCGCGACATTGACAAATATACACGGCCAACTGTTTAAACGTTATTAAGGCGTCAGCAAACTTCATTACTTTTAAAAATGTTGCGAACTTGTTCAGTCGGAAGTAATTAGAATAGAATAGAAGTGTCGGCGTTGAAGAAATAGGCTCATGGCCTGTTGCCTATTCTTGAACTTTTCGTGACTTTATTCACAAGGGATCCGGCCTTTGGAACCCGATCTTTCCATAGCTGACGATTGATTGAGATAGCTGCTGGACTTATTGCCTGGTCCGTAATTTGCTAGGCATTTTAAGACTGAACACGTGCTCCTGCATAGCTTCGTCTAGTCTGTTTTTGAAGATGTTCATACTCGGAGCGTCAACGATGCTATCAAGGAGGCTGTTCCACATGTCGGTGACTCGAAGCGAGAAGAAATGTTGTCGCATGGATGTGTTCCAACGCTGTTTTTTTAGTTTATAGCCGTGGCCCCTGGTGTTGGTTCTTGTTTCAAATTCTAGCTGTCTCTTATACACATCTAGATGTGTATAAGAGACAGCAGTTAATCAACTCAGTGAATTCTCGCTGTGAACTTAATCAGTCAATCAACTCAGTGAATTCTCGCTGTGAACTTAATCAGTCAACCAACTCAGTGAATTCTCGCTGTGAACTTAATCAGTCAACCAACTCAGTGAATTCTCGCTGTGAACGTAATCAGTTAATCAACTCAGTAAATTCTTGCTGTGTACCTATTACGTTGACTGATATCATGTGAACTCAGTTAGAGAACTTTCGCTAGAGACACTCTGTGAGCTATAGGCACAACGAGCACGTCCAGTAAAGTATATAGTGTGTGAGCTTTCTACGTGCACGCTCAGTTAACTTCGTCAACCTCACAACGTGCATCGAATAACCTCCCCAACGTCTCGCCACTCAACCACGTGTATATCAACGCAACAACCCAACAACGGTGGCCCGTGGACCCGCATCAACCTCCTGCATCAAAACGAGCAGGTCACGTGAGCTGAGCTGATAAATAACCTAACAATTTATTGTGTGTTCATTTCTCCCAACCAAATTCGTCCTGCCGATCTCTATGTTTCTGTCCGTGCCTTGGTGAATAATTCAAGTTAACTAGCTAGGCCGGTCAATTCTCTGATTGGAGTTTATAACTTAACGTGGAGTGGTAAATGAAAACCCCCACACAGGATCTCCGGGCAATAAAGCCATGTTGACAGTCTGATAGGAGATTATTAGCAGTCAGATGATCTATCAATCGATTCCTCACAACAGATTCCATTACCTTGCAAACGACACTTGTCAAACTGACAGGGGCGATAGTTGCCCGGGCAGCTTTTGTCACCTTTTTTGAACAATGGTGTCACTTCACACTTGAGCTTCTTTCCAGTCAGCCGGCAAAATTCCTTCGTTCAAAGTTTTTCGAAAAAGTGACGTCAGAGGGCCGGCTAGGACAGTTGCTAAGTCTTTGAGTAATCTGGGGTGGAAGCCGTCTGGTCCACGTGACTTGTTTGGATTTACAGCGATAAGGCGCTTGAGAACCTCTTCTTCTTGTACTTCAAAGCTTGTTTATTTAGAGCCGACTGGGCGCTCCTCTATAGCTGGAATACTGTTCAAGTCCTCTTCAGTGAATACGCTATTGAAGAAATGATTAAGTACGTTAGCTTTGCCCTCATCAGAGGATATCTTTCGCTGATCTACTTTCAAATCAGAAATACCGTCCTTCATCTTGCACTTCGAGCTAGCATACAAAAAGAAGGCTTTCGTTTTTTTTTGCATTTTTAGCAATACTTTTTTTCGAGGGTTTTTACTGCGGTGCGACAGCTTTCTTTAGCTTGATTTCGAGTTCTTGCGTATAGGTTATAGTCAGCATCGCTGCGAGTCTGTAAATAACGCTGGTATGCTTCCTTCTTTGTTTTCAGCTTAGCTAAAACTGCACTGTTCATCCACCTAGTTTTTTTGGCTCCACCAAGCTTAATTTTAGGTACACACGCATCAACTGCAGACATAACCATGTCCTTGAGAAGTGATCATGACTCAGCCACATTCATGTCCTTAATACAGTTCGAAATATTCACTGCATTCACTGCTTCACGGACAATATTCATGTCCTTAATACAGTTCGAAATATTCACTGCATTCACTGCTTCACGGAGTTTATCATAGTCGCCTTTCGCAAAATTCAAACGCTCACGCTTCCGAGGCGTCTTTTCTGTACAGCACTTAAGTCTGAAAAACAAAGATTGGTCATGGCTTTTGCCCAACGGAGCCTCGTGACGAAGCTCATCCAACATTGATTCATCACGGGTAAACACCAGGTCTAGTATATTGGGAGTCTGTTTACTTTTATAATGGGTTGGTTTAGTAACGTGCTGGACTAGGAAGGAGTCTCTTACTGACTCCATGAACAAGGATGCTGGGTGATTCTCTTCCCTTGGAGAGGATCCATCTATCCAGTCTAGCTCTGGATTAAAATCACCAACGATCAACGTGTGTGACCTACGGAAAGTCATGCTCGGTAAAAGACTGTTTAGTACTTTATCGTTATGGCTGCGCAGCCCTACACCACAAATTTAGCTCGTAAACAAGCCCTGGCGCCAACGCCTACCCTATAATGCAATAACTAAACTCAGCTCACACCCAATAAGCTGTAGGTAACTGAGTCATCTCCCCACACCAACTTTAAGCAACACCTACCTCACTCCACAGCCTGCTGAATCAAATAGTCAATTGTCAACAGGTCCTACTCCACAGAATTTTACCCCATACTATCACTTGTTACACACGCCGTAAGCCTTACTGGCCGCAGACACGCCGGATCAAAGTAAACCTGCTCTGCTATTTGCAGGACTGGCGTAATCCCGCTGCACTCCACGGGCAGAAGCGCAAACCGCCGTCCCTATAACGACATGCCCCGACTCTCCCCCTTCGCATCCATAAGGCTTTCTTCAATTGCTGATCAGTTGTGCGCTAGGATAGGTTAGGTTATGTTAGGTCCCTCCATCGCGCCAGGCGCATTACTGATCGGGCAACGAGAAAAGCCTTCTGCTGGCTGCGAAGGGGGAGAGCCGGGGCATGGCGTTATAGGGACGGCGGTTTGCGCTTTAGCCTGTGGAGTAGAGCGCTATGAAGCAGTGGCTGTGACGTAACGGCGCTGTTATGTCAGGCGCTTACTTTCAAAAGCCGCGAATACGCCAGGCTGTGTTTAATACAAGCACGCAACAGTTCGGCTATTTGCTCACGGCTGTTGCTTCGGTGGCTTGATGTTATCTGGCTGATTGATTCATATCCAGGAAAGGGGGACGACTGAAATAACCCAGCATTGCCCAATACCAGCATAATTTTCATACATCACCCCGTGCGCAAGCATGCTGCAGAGCAAATTAGCCAACATGATTACTTGCTGAAAGCCAAGTATCAGTTTGTGGGATGAGGCATTGCTTGTTTCAAGCTGGTGTGGCGAGATGAGGCAAGTAAGAACAGCTGCATAGGTATTAGACTGACTATTTCTATTGCATGTAGAGGGTTGGCATTGGCTTTTGGGCTGATTTAAGAGTCAAATTTTTGGGCTACGGCAGCGCTTCCCAGGAAAGGAAATGACGCCTATGGCTTTAGGCACTTAATCACACAGGCTAATATGCCCTCTAGCGTGATTACGAGCGGAAAGGAATAGATATTGAACTGTGGGCAAGGGCTATGTAGCGGTCTATACTGCGTCCCGCCTCCTCATAGGCGTCGTGTATAGATCACCAAACCGTTCTTCTGATAACGATGGGACGCAGTATAGACCGCTACATAGCCCTTGCCCACAGTTCAATATCTATTCCTTTCCGCTCGTAATCACGCTAGAGGGCATATTAGCCTGTGTGATTAAGTGCCTAAAGCAATAGGCGTCATTTCCTTTCCTGGATATGAATCAATCAGCCAGATAACATCAAGCCACCGAAGCAACAGCCGTGAGCAAATAGCCGAACTGTTGCGTGCTTGTATTAAACACAGCCTGGCGTATTCGCGGCTTTTGAAAGTAAGCGCCTGACATAACAGCGCCGTTACGTCACAGCCACTGCTTCATAGCGCTCTACTCCACAGGCTAATTAAAGCGCAAACCGCCGTCCCTATAACGCCATGCCCCGGCTCTCCCCCTTCGCAGCCAGCAGAAGGCTTTTCTCGTTGCCCGATCAGTAATGCGCCTGGCGCGATGGAGGGACCTAACATAACCTATCCTATCCTGGCGCACATCTGATCAGCAATTGAAGAAAGCCTTATGGCTGCGAAGGGGGAGAGTCGGGGCATGTCGTTATAGGGACGGCGGTTTGCGCTTCTGCCCGTGGAGTGCAGCGGGATTACGCCAGTCCTGCAAATAGCAGAGCAGGTTTACGGTGATCCGGCGTGTCTGCGGCCAGTAAGGCTTACGGCGTGTGTAACAAGTGATAGTATGGGGTAAAATTATGTGGAGTAGGACCTGTTGACAATTGACTATTTGATTCAGCAGGCTGTGGAGTGAGGTAGGTGTTGCTTAAAGTTGGTGTGGGGAGATGACTCAGTTACCTACAGCTTATTGGGTGTGAGCTGAGTTTAGTTATTGCATTATAGGGTAGGCGTTGGCGCCAGGGCTTGTTTACGAGTTAAATTTGTGGTGTAGGGCTGCGCAGCCATTCTACATACGTAGTTATCTTCGAACAGGCATACACAACAACATATATGCTTCCGATTAGGTATTTGAGTCGATGCTGCGGTCGTGAATAAAAATTTATGACGATGAACTAGTAGTCGATCAATAATAATAAAATTAGTCATTCATTAAAATTTGAGGTATATTTTACTGTTTTAGGGCAATAATCAACGTGTGTACTACAGTGTGCCTGTGCGGCTGTGCCATGCTTCTGTCAGTTTAGGTCAACTTTCATAAGCCATGAATATGCCCATGGCCATGATCATGATGAAGAGATTGTTTGAGACATCTGACTGAATGAAGAAAGGTTTGCGACTTTGCGTTGCTGAAAAGTTGAATAACGTGTTGGTTTGATGTAATTGCTCAGAAAAGTTGGTTAGCTGTAATTAGTCTGGCAGGGATTTTTGACTAGGTACACAAATCTTGAACTTGAACTACTTTAGAAATATCGGGTAACAATATTAGTGTGTCGTGTCGTGAGGTTTTCTTCAAAATCTTGACCGCTCATTTCACAAACGTAACGATATTGACCTACTGTGTAAAAGGTTCACTGAATAACCATGGATTGCAAGGTTAGTAGGTACAGTGTAAGTGCTAGCTACGTAACTACGTAAGTATTGGTAAATTTTTTGAATCGGAGAAAATTGTCTTTGCGATGTGTTGAAAATAACTAAAACTGTAGGTACCTAACTGTTGCCGGTATTATTGCACTAATTGCAGATTAACTACATCCAAAAAAAAGGGTGTTTTTTTTTTAATTATATGTTTTTTGGGGTGTAGATGGTATTATTGCAGATTAACTACATCCAAAAAAAAGGGTGTTTTTTTTTTAATTATATGTTTTTTGGGGTGTAGATTACGAATCTGAAATCCATTTTTGGCGGTCGGCATCGGAAAACCGATTTTTTTCGCGACTTACTAACATGGGGGTTACGTAACTTTCGTTACCCACTCACCTTTATTTACTAACATGGGGGTTACGTAACTTACGTTACCCACTCACCTTTATATAAAGGGTCGGATCATAGTGGCAAACTAGAGCTTTTTTAGAATCAGTTCATTTTAATATCCTCATTTACTGAAGATTTAAACCAATTTCTTATGTATGATAATGCTGGTATCCAGGATACTTTATTGGTCTACTTATAGGACTCAAAAATGAACTTGAGGGAGAGTCTAAAAAACTCTCTGCTTTGCCACTATGGGTCGGATTGTTCATCGAAATTTTAATGGGTCACATTTTTAATTTTTTAACCTATTAGATATGCAAACTTTTCAAATCTTTCTATTGTGTTATGTGGCCTCAGTATTAGGCCTTTAATGCCCATTGACAAAATTTTTCTATGTCAAATAGTTTTTGAGTTGTGGGGGTTTTTGTTAAAAAAACGAAAAGTGGTCTAAGTTACTCCGCCGGACTAAGTTACCCCATTTTACGGTAGACCAAAAAAGTATCATAGATCCCAGCTTTTTCATACACAAGAAATTCATTAACATTGGTACGGTATTACTTTAGATTAAGTGCATCCAAAAAAAGGGTGTTTTTTTTTATTTAATTATATGTTTTTTTGGGGTGTTGACATAGAATCTGAAATCCATTTTTGGTGGTCGGCATCGTAAAACCGATTTTTATATATGCCAATTTTTATAGAATTTCTAATGTAAAATGCAAGTTAAATCTTGGCCCCAATATTCATGGATTTATAGTGTTTTTAACTTAGCCTCGGTGACCCATATACCCACTGTGCAGAGAGTGGATGAATATTGCAAGATCTTTGGCAATGCTTCAGTAGCAAAATTTATGCCTTCAGAAGATCTTGCTGACACATTTAGATTGAAATTCCTTCATTTAATATATTTGTCAGTCTTCGGCCAACTATTTAAAAAAAGTAAGGTTGCTGGTATGTTGGATTGATTAGTATGCAGTGAAGCTTGTCTGCATCCGGAAATCAGTTGCGATGAGTTCCCACCAAAAGAATGTAAACATCAAGTTTACGATTACGTAGTTGCAGTCACAGTAGAGTGGTCAGACTGCATTATCACATGTTCAGTTGACACTAGCTGTACAATCAGACTGTTTTTAGGGTAAAATTAGTTATTTGGGGTAACACGTGCATGCAACCTTGTAAATAAGTTTGTGGCTTGTAAATAGTTTTTCATTGCTCAGCGTAAATGGCTTTTCATTAAAATTACCTGGCAACGCATCTTAAAATTACCCGGCGATGCTTGGGGCTTAAAAACCCATATATTGGCAACGCTGCATCCACCCTCTGCACCTTGGCAATATACTCTTGCAACCATGACATTGCAGACAACCATGACGTTGCAACCATGGTTAGGTTAGGTTAGTTTTTTTTTGCCGATTTTACCAATTTTTGCCCGATTTTTTTTTGAGAAATTAGAGCCTTGGCGGTGGGGGGGGGGGGAATCGGTTTTCCGATGCTGACCGCCACAAACGGATTTCAGATTCTTAATCTACACCCCCATAAAATCTAATTAAAAAAACACCCTTTTTTTTGGATGCACTTAATCTAAAGTTTTACCTTAACATTTTGAGTTGATGAGAAAAAATAATACCTACCGTAAAATGGGGTAACTTAGACCGGCGGGGTAACTTAGACCACTTTTTGTTTTTTTAACGAAAACCCCCACAACTCAAACACTATTTGACATAGAAAAATTTTGTCAATGGGCATTAAAGGCCTAATACTGAGGCTACATAACACAATAGAAAAAGATAAAAAGTTTGCATATCTAATAGGTTAAAAAATTAAAAATGTGACCCATGAAAAAAAGCTATTATTTAAAGCCTGTCAGAGTACACCCTCCAATTTTTTTATTTTTTGGTTAAATAACTCCAGATTTTGATGCATTGTAGTAGAACTCTTCTAGTTACATATGCAAATGACAAATTTTAGGAAAGTGTCATAGTTTGCAAATGGGGGAGTAACAAAGACCATCACTTTTTTTGAAATTACATAAAGACTATGAGAGGCAGGAGCCAGCAATTTATGGTGAGTGAAGCTAGAGTATAGACCTGTATTTTGCATGTTTCAATTTAAGTTTAATTTAGCTAGTAAAAAAATGGCATCATTGATAAGAAAAAAAGTGGTCTAAGTTACCCCATTTTACGGTATGCTTTTAATATGCTTTTTTAAAATTTTAATACTTTTTAAGGACAACACTTCAAAAGATGCCAGTGTCTCCAATGTTGCACCTGTAGCCTACAATCTACAATGAATTTCTTATTTTATTTTTAAACATAAAAAACAAATTTTTTTAATTTTTTAAATCTAAAATTTTTTTTAAATGTATTGAATAATTTATTCTGTCAATTGATTCAAGCATTGTCTCTATCTTTCATGCAAGTGTGCAGAATTTCAGATCAATTGGACAGATATTAAATATCGCAGGCAAGATTGGAATTTTCCTACTTGTTTCTGAAATCTTACGGCTCCAATGTGATGAAGTTTTAATACAATTGCAATCTTGTGGCCCGATCGTGCACTTATGGTAATAATTAGATACCAGGGTGCAGAAGGTGGAAGCAGCGTTGCCAATATATGGGTTTTGAAGGCCCAAAGCGTTGCTGACCATTTTCAAAATGCGTCGCCGGGTAATTTTTAATGATAAGCCCTTTACGCTGAGTAATGAAAAACTATTTACAAGCCACAAACTTATTTACAAAAATTACCTCCTATCTAATTTAGATAGGAGGTAATTCATCTGGCTGTAATCTTGCAGTTCCGGAAATAGCCGGAAAGCTTTAGTCGCGGCCCTAAGCCCCTAAAGGTAGATGTTTATCATGCTTGATCACAGCCTCATTCACAGGTGTGTTAAGTATTGATTGTAAGATTTGTAGCAGAGTAGCAGACAAATAAACAACAAGTGAATAAACAAACAAGAAGTGAAATTAAAGGGAAGGTTTGTAATAAAATGAAATGATTTTAAAATATCTCATGTTTGACAGCTGTCACTATGCCTTAAAATTGAAGCAACTAAACATATTGCAGAATGTGACTAGGTATGTCTGTGCCATGGTCAGGAAGATGGGCCAGATGCATGGGAATTTATATCGTCATTTTATCACTCTGCAATAAATTCAGTGTGGAATTCTAGATGGATATTAAATTAACCAGTACAGATAGCATATTGGGAAGCAGGACCTGAAAGCTTGGAAATGCAAGGAACTTTCATTCTATTATATACATATCCTATCCTTTCCAGCTGTGATTGGTTGTGCCCAAAAGCCCTGCCCCCTACTATGGTATGTGTACTACAGTACTGGTTAACTTAATATTTAAACTAACTTGACTTAATACTGAACTTAAACTCAATCATTATTAATTGCAAACAAAGGGCCTGGAATTGAAAATTGGAAAATTTTCAGAAAATCCATTAAATAAAATAAAAATAAAAAAATCAATCAAATAAGAGACAACTAAATGATTCGATAATAAATCTGAGGGACCATCAAGTGGTGTAATAGGGGACGGACAGGGTAATTAGGGACAGTCCACCAACATTTTGTAGAAATGTTGTAGCAGCCAAACTAATTGAAATATTGCAAAACAAAAAATAGTGGCATAAAAAAAATTTACTACCTCAAAAAATTCAGTGAAAAAAATGTGATAAGTGAGATTTTAGAAAATTACTTCTGCTAAGGTCTGTAGCAAAAAAATATATATTTGCAGTATTAAAAAATTTTACTTGCTTAAAAGTTACACACTGGTGTTGGCTTAAAAGTGTGACTGGTAGAATTTGCATAGCTCATTTAAAAAAATGGTGGCCATTTCCACATGACGGGGTAACAAGGGACATCCACCCCCGGGGTAATAAGGGACACCCCTAAAAACACATTTACAGTAGAACCTCAGTTAGCAAAGGCTCCAGTTAACAAAAAAATAACAATTAACAAAAAAGAATTTATATAACATTTACCATGCTAGGTGAACAAAATTTCCCTTAACAAAAAATTAATGCACCATTGGTCATCACAAAATTGTGCATAGAATGTCATAGATAGAATTGTGCACCAGGCAACATAGAATGAAAAGTAATTAACCTAAACTATAATTTATTTCTCCAAAAAATATGATGGTTGCACTAAAATATCCCTTCTGTTTCACATGTTTTTATGATTTTTCTTATAGTGAATTCACTTGACCCAATTAAAATGGTGCAAAACCACAAGCCATCCTGTAAGCTTACAGATACAGAAGAAATGCTATTGGTACAGCAGCTGATACGAAGCTTGCAGTGGACAAGGTTGTTGTAAATGCTCAATGGCATGTCCATGGATACGGTAATATCACGTCAATAATACGGTAATGTGTGGATATGGTAATATCTTATCAATAAAGGAAAAATGAGTAAAAATCAGAGAAAGTGTCATTTATTCTACATCTGCATCATCTCATCATCTACAAGTAAAGAGGAGGACTTCAGAGCACTGGTAGAAATGAATGAGTACACTCTGCATGTATACAACGTTTTAAAATTAAGTTTTATTTCAATTGTCCTGGATTACCCCTTTCCAAGGGTAATTTGGGATGCTTTTATTATGCATCAGCACCTCCTTACAAATAGCACGTGGAATTTTTCTGGAGATCCCATACAATAGCCCTCGCAAAGGCCTTTAAAATGAGCCCAACTCATTTATGAAATGTGTCATGGTAAGAAGTTATTAACAAAAAACACTCACTCAAAACCATCCCTTATTACCCTGTTTGACAGTAGTTTCCAGTTATGGAGCTGGAGGGAGTTTTGAGAGCTGTATTGAGTTTGACTGAAAAATGGGTAAAAATTCCTTTGGAAACAATTCACAGTTTGTATGAATCAATACCTCTGAGAATTGAGGCTGTAATTGCCGCACCATACTAAAATGTTTATGTTTAAAATGAAAATACTCAAATTTTTTCCAAATATCTTAAACATTAATCAATGATTGACAAGATTGGTCATTCTTGGATGTATGAATTTGTTTGACACATTTGTTGGTATGTTTGTACAAATTGCAAACCAAACCAACAAGTAAAAATATAAAAAAGCATTGAAATATAAACTATGGAAAATTTTTAGTAATATCAATCCATGTTAAGACATTTATCATGTTTATTGCCTTTGCACAATTCATAAATTAGAATTTTTTCTGAAATTTTTTATCTTTGAACAAATTTGCTTTGCAGATATGTATTACTTATAATTGAACAATATGATACTAGTGCAGAATCAGCCTGAATGACTGATTCAAAGTAGTGAATTAATTTCCAATTATTTTTCTTCTACAGGATTTGGCAGTGCTAGATGCTGTGTTAAGCAGCCAAGCATTTATTTTTGGCTCTGAGGCAACTTTTGCTGACAGTCTTGTGTACTCTGCTTTGACGGATAAGCTTCCAAACACACCGGCTAATGTGGTGCGCTGGGCTCAACACATGGCTGCCCTCAGCCCCCAGCAACGCCAAGCCTTGCCTCAAAACACTAATCTTGCTTGTGGTCAGACACAGGTAACTAATGCTTTTCAAGCCTGCCTTTGGCCACTCAGATCTTCCAACATATTTTGGATGAGTCTCACATGGGAGTTTGTTCAAACCTGTCTACTGAGGATTACTCAGGGCTTTCTCAATTTTAGTAGGTATTTATATTCTGCTGTGAAAATGTTATTTTGCTGGCTCTTTGTGGTTTTATCTTGTTCATTAATAAATGTTGGAATTTTTATCAAGGCAAGGCTTCTAGGTTCTCATCCATGACCTTATATGGATCTTTCAATGTATGTATACTGTACCTATATACTGCTAGAATTCTTCAAAGTTTCTTGGGATTTTCATTTATCAGTTGCAGGGACTACACAAGCCTATAACTTTTTGTTTTTATGGGCAGCTTTAACATGCTTCTGAAACAATATAGTCTTGGACATGATATGACAAATGATGTTCAAATACCATAGTTTACCAAATTGTGATATCAGTTTCTATGGTTGCAGTGAGGTAGTAGCAGTGGTAACAATCTGTCTCTAAACTCATGCACTCAATGACTTGCAAGCCTTGTTCACTATGGAACATCTAAGGGTAGCTGCTGCTAGAATTACCAGGTTCTCTGCTGCTACTCTCTACTGCAAAAATTTCAAGGTACTTTGATATATATTTGTTTAGCAACTTCAGTTAGTTCTGGATCACTTTTTCATGGCCAGCTATTTAGGCTTAGAAATATTTACACTTGTTGTTCCCAAATTTAATAATTAATTTTTCAATGCTTGTACCTACTAATGATTGGTATCTACTTAAATAGGTTTGCATGTTGAATATTATGAATCTTGCTTTAAATACTTGGGTAAATTTTCTTTAAATAATTCCTTTTTATCAAGCTTGTTCTGCATTTAACATGTGCGTGCATTCTAACTACCTAAAACCAAAATCAATACAATTGAATATTTGAATTTGTTTCAGATTGATGGAAAATTGAGTTTGCTGCTTCAGAAAACCTCCATCGATGGGCATAGTATCTCCGAGAACTCGAGAAATGCATCTTCCATACCTCCAACACTTTCCCTGTCACCAAAGAAATGTGTGAGTCTCTTTTGTTCAAGTTATGTACTCCATTCACAAGATCTTGAAATTTTGATACATTGTAAGTTCAGAATTTTTTTACTTTTTTATTCAATGGACCTTGCTCTCACCAAAGGGAGCAATGTTGTCCATAAAGCTCCAAGTCAAATCAAGATTCTAATTATAATGCCACAAATTTGAACTAAAGAAACTTATTTTGACAACATTGACATGAAGTAAAATGGCTTTTTCATTTCCTGGTTCAGATGTATACTGGTATACCTACCTGTTCTTGTGGCTCATTATTTTAAAGATTAGGAAATATATCTCTTGCCTAAATTTCAGCAAGCCCCCTTAAAATTTCAATTAGATGTAGGAAGATGATGAAGGTACCCATCAAAAGCATATTCTAACTTCTAGGAATAATTTTAAATTTTTTTCAATTACTTTTGTTTGTGAAAAATATTTTGTTCTTTCCAATTCAAAATTAAAACAAAGTTTTAATTTAAGTGGAAATCAATTACTTTTGTTTGTGAAAAATATTTTGTTCTTTCCAATTCAAAATCAAAACAAAGTTGTAATTTAAGTGAAAATTTACCACACTTGCCTTTTGTCTCTGGCTAGCTGAAGGCAAGTCCAGCAAGACCAGGCCAGAAAAGTATCGGAAGCAACTGCAAAGGCACGAAGCTCATCTTGAAAACACCCAAGGGGACACGTGACTACCACCCACCCGAGATGACTGTCAGGAGAAAGGTGACTTTCTGTTTAGAAATTGATATTTTAGAAGTATTGCAGAATTCGCTGGTTCGTATTTGCACGAGGGCTGCAGTGGAATGTAACAGGCAGTACGTGGGCACACCACAAAAAGAAAATGCCATTTAAGTACATTTTACTAACACTGTTGCTGCAGTACAATGGTAAAATTAAGTTTTTATGATTATTAATTACATTCAGTGTAGTTTACTCTCCCTCGCGCAGTTTGCCGGACAATCTAGCATAATGTTCTTGATGCAATTATTTTGACGTATGGTATGCTGTATTCCTTTGGACATGATAACTAAGTTAGGTGTGTATCAAAGATCAATAAATGATTATTTTAAACATTTTTATATGTAGTGGTATTCTCTTCGAACCTGCAAGCTCTTTCCTCTGCCTCCCTTCAACCCCTTGCATTCATCGAACAATGGTATATATTTGTCTCAAGATTGATTATGTAGCTGATTGTATTGTTACTCATATCACATAAACTTTTTCATTTTCGTGCAGGTGTTTGACAAAATCTTGGACGTTTTCCACATGCATGGCGCAGTAGAAATAGAGACTCCTGTTTTTGAATTGAAGGTTAGTATTTGTGCTTGTTGAGTTGCATCTATCTTTTATAAGAAATATTTGTCGATATAAATCTCTAAGGTTAAAAAATGGATAGATCAATAAAAGCAATGAATTATAATGTTTTAACTCACCAAAACACAACATGGTAGTACTATTGAAGAAAATGTTTCCTGCAGGAAGTTTTGACTGGCAAGTATGGAGAAGATTCCAAGTTGATATATGACTTGGAAGACCAAGGAGGAGAGATCCTCTCATTGCGCTATGACCTGACAGTTCCCTTTGCTCGCTATGTTGCCCAGAACAGGATTGGGAACATTAGCCGCTATCACATTGCTCGCGTGTATCGCCGTGACAACCCAGCCATGACCAAAGGTTGTATTATGAGCAATTTTCTTTTGTGACCCATCTTTACTTCATTTTGTGACCCATCTTTACCACATTTTGTGACCCATCTTTACCACATTTTGTGATCCATCTTTACCACATNCCACATATTCTGACCCATCTTTACCACATATTCTGACCCATCTTTAACACATTTTGTGACCCATTTTAACGCATTTTGGGACCCATCTTTACCACATTTTGGGACCTATCTTACCACACCTTTCTTATCAATATGAAACAGTTTTGCTGAGAAAAAGAGCTTCACCATTGGTGTAAATTGCAATTTGTTCCGATGTCATGACACTTTCTATTTAAAAGAGTATTATATATACTTTCCTCTCTTCATGAATATGCTAATTGCTGTCAAAAATCTTCTCCAGTAAATACTGAATTGATTTTGTAGTCGTAAAATTGTTTAGTACTAAATTTGTATGATTTGCTCTCATTTCGGTAGCATACAGTTAACTTTTGATTTTTTCTAATATTTTCAGGACGGTATCGCGAATTTTATCAATGTGACTTCGATATTGCGGGCTCCTATGACCAGATGTTGCCTGATGCTGAGTGTGTGCAAGTCATCCATCAGGTTCTGTCCAGTCTTGACCTGGGCGACTTTGTGATCAAGGTGAGATCTTGTTCCAGCAAATACTATATTTTCTTCAAAATGACGATGTAAACGAATGTTGTCTCTAATTTCACTAATTTTGAATGCAATTAGTGGCAATCTGACGATTTTAGTCTGACTTCTATTCTGAATTTGTTTCAGTATTTAATGTACAAATGGCGCATTTTCGACCTCTATATTTGGTTTGCCTTTTGGCTCTCAATGAAAAGGTGTTCACGTATGTATGTCAAATGTTTTTTCCAATTATTCATGTATATTTTTAAAAGTGCATTTAAGCATAAATGATTTCCATAGTGTGAAGCCCTGTTCTTACATTTTCACATGTATTTGTTGCATATTTTGCTATTGATTATCATGTTTCTTTCCATTAACTCTGATAAGGTTGCGTTTTTATAGTGTTGGGTAACTGGAAAGTCATTATGCTAAATAGAAAATGGTTTTAGTTTGGTCAGGCTTTTACAAATGTATCATGCTAGCTATTATATCGCTTGTGCTTTTTTAGGTTGATGAACCTATTTATATTTTGCTATGTTAGAATATCACTTCTTTTTTGACAGAACAATCTACATTTACTTACATTGCCAACCCGTTATTCGTTTTCTTTTGTTTGATCTTTATTTTTCTTAAGGTTTAAAAATGAAGTTAATGTTTGGGCAGGTAAACCACCGTAAGTTGTTGGATGGAGTGTTTGGAGCGTGTGGCGTGCCGAGTGACAAATTCCGTCCCATCTGCTCTGCTGTAGACAAGCTCGACAAGAGCCCCTGGTCTGAGGTCAGGAGGGAGATGGTCGATGAGAAAGGCCTGGAGGCTGATGTTGCTGACAGGATCGGCGAATATGTCAAGCTTAATGGCAAGCAGGACATGCTTGACGCGCTCAAGAGTGATGAGCGTTTGAAGAATAATGAAGATGCACAGGTGAGTGGTGAGAAAATCCCTACATAATAATTTGAGGATTATTATGGGTATGGCTTTATAATGGTAACATTTCGTAAGGAATCGTACAATGGCAGTTAAAGGCGAGTCTTTACTGAAAGGCGCCGCTTGAGTTATTGTTTGCTTTTAGTTAGTGAAGGTTTCTAGAAAAACATTTTGCAATTGCTTACTACTTTACTACTTTGAAATTAACATTTTTGAGGATGAAAATTTTTTCTACTCTGGTTCTCTTTAGAAATAACTCTTGCACAGTTCACTGAAAATTGCTTCCTATATACCCGTATTCGTGTGAAATATTATTTAATGGAAATAATTTTTGTGCGTGTCGGCAGGCAGCCATCAAGGAGCTAGAGCTGTTGCTGCACTACACATCATTGCTGGAATGCGACGCCAGCTTGCTGCTCGACATGAGCTTGGCGCGAGGACTCGACTACTACACAGGTGCGTGTCTGCTCGCTTGCCCTCACTCATGGCGGCTTTAAGCATGGCTTGTTTCCTTTTTTTAAGAACAACTTCAGCTGCCTCCATAGACTTAGCAGCTGGTATCTTGGAAACAATTACTCTACCATTAGATCATGGTTTTGATTGCCTCATTTTTAGAGTGACTTCAGTTCCCTTCCCGCTATTGCTCGGACCTCGGTATTTAAAAATTCTTATACCGTACGAGTACCATGTTCCTAAGTTAGTGGGTGGATATTTGCATTTATGAGCAAATCAACTATTTATTTTGTATTTATATTTATTTTTTTTATTTAAATTTTATTATTCACCATTTATAAGGTAGTGGGTGGATATTTGCATTTAAGTTTCATTCAGGGCTTTTTACTCTGGCTCATTTCTCCAATAAGTTCCAGGTTGTGGTATTCAACTAAGAATTGTCGAATTTTTAAATCGGTGTTTAATGGTGTAGAAGCAAGCTATGAACATTCACCATTGCACTATGTCGAGTCCAAGTTTGTTCAGGTTATTAAATGTTTTCGTGTTAGATTACTTCCAGTTACTAGAGTTTTTCAATTAATTTTCTGCGCTAAAATTTTAGCATATTCGATAGGTGTCAAATCTAAATGCTCTAAAGTCATTATTTTTCCTCAAAGCATATTCTTCTCATATTCTGTTTTGGTTATAATTGCCTCAATCTCTTGGCAGGTGTGATTTACGAAGCAATACTGAAGGAGAACCAGAATGGGGAGGATGCAGACTCTGGTCCCACCAGTAAGAAGATCAAAAAGAAGCAGGAAGGCGAGGAGGAAGATGAAGAGGGAGGGGCAGTGGGCAGCGTGGCAGGTGGTGGTCGCTATGACAACCTCGTGGGTATGTTCGATGCCAAGAAGAGAACCGTGCCCTGTGTCGGCGTCAGTTTCGGCATTGAAAGACTCTTCACTATTCAAGAACGCAAAATAAGACAGCAGGGGATCAAGGTCAGTAGCCGATCAAAAATAGGCCGGGGACGTATGTGTTTTTTTTTTGTTGTAACCCAGGCCTATTGCTATAACCTGGGCTCCTGGGGCTGTACAATCAATACTTCCTTGCGTACACGCCAGCGTCATAAGTATACGTTGCGGCCGATTTCTTGTCTATGATTGATTGATTGGTGGATTTAGCTTGAATGGCCATCAGTGATTGGCAAACGGAGTTAGGAACTCGTAACTATTTTTTGAAAGTTTGGCTCTAAGAAAACTTTTACGTCACATGATTCATAACTTGTATTTCATTAATTAAGACAAAATTGAATTGATGGAATTCTGAGAAGTACCTACTACTGTCGATGCTAATTTCCAGTACCCAAATCTTACCTGCTTACGTGTCCAGAATCGTGAGTTAGAATTTCGTCTTTTTCTTCAATTATTTGTTATTTTATTTTTAATTTTTACAACGTCCTTTTGTGAGGAATTTTTTGGTGCTAAGTTTGGTTCCAGCTTTTAATACACTTTAATTTAGTTTGATGAGATAATGACATCAGATCGCGATGATATCAGTTCACTGGTTCCCAGATACGCTCGAGCTGCACAAGCGTGCTGGTCGTCGGCGCCGGCAAGGGGATGCTGGAGCCGCGGCTCGCTCTGTGCGCTCTCCTGCACAAGTCCGGCATCAGGGCTGAAACTTCGCGAAAAATGAACCCCAAGTTCCTCGGTCAACTGCAGGCAAGTCCGGCAATTGACGACCAGTCTGCTTCAAATTTATCTAAAATCTGTACTCGGCGGCACTTTTCCTTAACTGAGAATTGTTAAGATGTACGCAGAAATAAGATTTATTTTAGCCCAAGTCTACCTTAAAGAGAATGTAACTTTTAAGTTTTTATTGAGACAAGATGCCAGCCACTATTCTGAAAACCGTTCCAAGAGCCATAACAGTCCCTGAAACCTCTGACGCTATCTGGCACAATGTAACTCGCTTCAAAAGGTACTAGATAATACCTATTTGATAGTGACTCCAGGCTACATTTAAGCCTAAAGATAAGCTTAACTTCGCTTCCTACGTTGCCAATAAATCATAGCGACCACAAGTGTGACCTGCAAACGCTTAACTGACCAACAGAGAATGTCTGAGGTAAATATTGTCATGATAAAAAATAAAATTGGGATTGGACTATCTGCGTCATAGTGGAACCCGATAATGGCTCATTGTAATCCTTCCAGTTTTTCTGAAGTGATTGTAGACTTTCAACTTCATGCTAAAAAAATAAGTTCGAGGTGACATGTTCTTTTAATTTGTTCATTATTTCGCCTCCAGAAAATCACGGTTAAATTATGATTGTTTTAAACGAGCAGCACGCAGAAGAACATGGCATCCCGGTGGTGGTGGGGGTGGGAGAGAGCGAAGTGCAGGAAGGAGTTGTGAACGTTCGCTGCACCGCCACTCGACAGGAGACCCAGGTGCCTCGCGTCCAACTTGTTGCTCATCTCCAGCAGCTGCTTCCTACCCTTGAAAAATTGTAACTTTTGCCCCCTGAAATAGTTTTTTTTTTCAAATGGGAAATCGTCTGCTCTCAACTCTCGTACTATAATAATAACTACGTACACTGTCTCTGCCTCTGTAATATAGAGGTTCTCCATGAACGTTTCAGTTGGTATATTTTTCTCCTGACTCGCCTAACTGTTGTTAGAAAATTCTTGCCCTGTCTAACATCAACAATTTCACGACGGTAGGTAGTACTTGAGTTGAAATAAATTTTCGTCAACTTCCATACAGAAGGTCTTGCTGAGAAAGTTTTTCCAACTTATCGTTCACGATTCTTTCAATTCACTCAAAAAGTTATTTATCTAAATTTCTAACACAAGGCAGCGGGAATATCAGGTTTGATCTGCTACTGATCGAAATGTTTTACCATTCCAATAACCGTTGGTCGCAATCGTGTCATCTTTTTGCTTACATTGTGTGTCTTGTGCAAGTTTTATTTAATTACTCTTCTCGAATGTGAAATTTACCATGCGTTCAAAAAACATCTATAAGAAAGTGAGAACTCTGTATACAGCCTGTATGGCTGTATCAATTATTTAATATCTTCATTTTAAAATTTTGCAAGATCAGGCATCTGCACGTCTTGAAATGTGTGTTTAGCGATTCTGCGTCACTGTAAAAATCAGATTGTGAAAATCGAATTAGTTTGGTGTTCGGAATCGTAAGAAGTGTGACCGTCGCCATAATTATGAGAGGGTTGGCTTGCTGAGTTGCTGTTAACTTTTGTTATGAATTAAAATCATCACTGTATAAGGAAGTAATCGGTTCTGTTTTCTTGAAATTATCAATTGCACCTGTACAATTTGTTCCACATCCTCAACTCCTGACGACTCTACTCAAATGCCTTGTAGTGATTACCTCTCCCTGTGCTTCCACCTAGTTGAATTCTGTTGAAGCTCCGAGGAATGAAAATACTGATTTACAAATACCAAAAGGTTTATGAATTATTTTGGTATTTGGGGGTGGAACACAGACTCGGTTGCGGAAATCAGTTGTAGGTAATTTTGATGACAAATTAATTCAGAATTTTTTTTGCCTTGATCACATTTTGTACGCAATTCCTCGAATCAAAATGAATATCTCTCTTCCTGGCCAGCAATCGCTCTAGACACTCGAATCAGCTTAGTAATAAGAACGGGAATTATTTGGTCTCCTAGTGCTGTGCGTAGTGTATTTCCGAATAGATCTTGGTTCAACATCATTCTGATGGGGTTGTAGCGTTATAGTATCGTACGTAGGAGACTTGGTAAATACTAGGTTTTTTGACTGCAGAAAAGCAAACCATTTTAAGGTTATGTACTTATTATACATCAAAAAACTGTTGAGTAGACTGCGCATCCCTGCGGATGGGCCTGTAGCGATAGTCGAGTCGTTTTTCTATCAAGTTGGTTTCTTTGCGGCATGACACCGTTCACAAATTTAGAAAACTTCTATTTTTCGGTATAGGTATTATCAAGTCATGATAGTCTCATGCCAAAGTTCATATTCCTAATCCTCTGTGGTTTCTTGTAATTATGGAATAAATGAATATTTCTGGGCGTACTCAGTCTCCTAAATAAGGTTGGCAATATTTCAATTAACTTGCCAAAATACGTTTACCAAGGTAGTATTCATCATCCAATTGGTAATAATTGGTGTTTGTTTGTCTGTCTGCTGCAATCTTATAATCAATATTTAACATACTTATAACTGTCCAATTGATCTGAAATTTTGCACACTGCATAAAGCTGGAGACAATGCATGAATCAATTGACAGAATAAAAAAAACACATTTGCAATCTTGAAAATACGTGACACCGTTCACAAATTTAGAAAACTTCTATTTTTCTGTATATTCTCAAATCATGATAGTCTCATGCCTAAGTTCATATTCCTAATCCTCTGTGGTTTCTTGCAATTATGGAATAAAATGAATATTGATGGGCGTACTCAGTCTCCCAAATAAGGTTGGCAATATTTCAATTAACTTGCCAAAATACGTTTAGTATTCATCGTCCGATTGGTAGCGAGTAATAGCGTGCTTTTCGATATTAATATATTACGACTCGTCAGAAAGTGGGCTTAGTCTGGCATTATAAATAAAAGTAAGACCCAAATTAAATAATTGAAATCAGGCAATGTCATCTTAACATGATATCTAGTCATTGTTACAGTTGGCGCCCAAATTGAATGTATGGTCGCTTGTTATTGTTTTCAGTCTGGAGTGATGAAATTAGGTACTTCGTTCCTGGGGACTCCGAAGATCGGGTCATTGGGTTTGGGGACTGGGGTAGTAGGAAAAATTAACATGTCATTAAATTGTCTACTTTTATTGTAGATGCGTTAATTTTCTCACTTGACTATGACGAGAATAGATATCTCGAACCCGGTGGAAGTCCAGTAGCTATTTCAAACTATCGTCAGTCATGAAAAAAAGATCCTGTCAAATGACACGATTTTAGATCTTCCAGACTTCTGTGAAGTGTGAACAAGGCACGAAAATTAAAAGAATCAGCGACAGGCCACAGCAGGCCTACACCTTAGCGCTGACCACTATGTTATGTTATGTTTTCTGGTTTACGTCAGTAAGTTAGTTACCTTTCCTTACCTACTGGCTAGTACATAGTGGCAAACCAGAGATTTTTTAGAATCAGTGCATTTTTAATTTCCTCAATTACTCAATATTTAAACCAATTTCTTACGTATGATAATGCTGGTATCCATGATACTTTACTCAAGTTTACTGGTCTACTTATAGTAATCAAAATTGAACTTGTGGGAGAGTCTAAAAAACTCTCTGCTTTGCCACTATGGCCGCTAGTAGCTACTCGCTAGTAGTGGCTACCTTCCCTTGGCCCTTGGGCAAATAATGGGCAGTTGGGCTTGGAGTATGGAGTGTGCCAATGTGGGACTCAAAAAGTGATAATTCTAGATAGAAAATAATGGAGTCTGTACCTGTACTCCTGTAGAAATACCTAGTTGAGCAACAAGAGGGCTGAGGGGGTAGGGTAAACGCGGTATATTCCGACACATTAAGGACGCATCGAGAAATGAAAAACTATAAAAAAACGTATGCATTACGTACGTTCTGTTGCCTTCACATGACTCTCAAAACACTTCACTAGGGTAAACGCGGTATATTCCGACACCGAGATCGTAGGTAATTCCGTCACCTCTCCAGCTTTTCCTTTATATTAAGCTTTGTTTTAGTTCCATGCGTTCATTGATGGTTGAAATGGTGACGTCATACATTTGTGTGTCGAAATACTGCAAAAACAAATACAAGTATACTTAAAGGATTCCTAATATATTCACAGACGTATTTAAAAGTCTCAAACCATAATATTCATCCTATAAAATCAGTTATTCACTATTTGGTAGAGCCATGTCAACTGTCAAATTTGACACATTTTTCGATGATCTCACCAGGTGGCATGCATTGTCTCTCTTTGGATCTCAATATTTTCCCACTAGATGGCCAAGACCTAGTGTTTTTGCAGTATTTCGACATGCAAATGTATGACGTCACCATTTCAACCGTCAATGAACGCATGGAACTAAATCAAAGCTTAATATAAAGGAAAAGCTGGAGAGGTGACGGAATTACCTACAATGTCGGAATATACCACGTTTACCCTACTGCCGTACTGGGTAGGTAGGATTATAAGGTATATATTGTATCATTTTGTATGGGTACAAAATTTGTGCCATTTTTGCAAGACTTCTCTTTAACTTCACTTCTTGTTTGTTTGTCTGTCTGCTACAATCTTATAATCAATATTTAACATACTTATATTTGTCCAAATAGACAGAGAGCAATAGATAGAGAGAGAGAATGAGAGAGACAGAGATAACGCGCCTGTCCAATTGATCTGAAATTTTGCACAATTTCAGATCAATTTTTGAATTTTTTGCAAAATTTAAAAATAAAAATTTCTGCTATAAATCTTATAATTGTAATTTGACAACTTCTACCTGTCCAATCATAATCAATTTGAAATTTTGCACACAGCACACTTGCATAAAGTTGGAGACAATACATAAATCAATTGACAGAATAAATAATTACTACCGTAAAATGGGGTTACTTTGACCGGCGGGGTAACTTTGACCACTTTTCGTTTTTTTAACAAAAACCCCCAAAACTCAAAAACGATTTGAAATAGAAAAATTTTGTCGATGGTTATCAAAGGCCTAATACTGAGGCTACGTAACACAATAGGAAGATTGAAAAAGTTTGCATATCTAATAGGTTAAAAAATTGAAAATGTGACCCACGAAAAAGAGCTACCTATTATTTAAAGCCTGTCAGAGTACCCCCTCTAATTTTTTTATTTTTTGGTAAAATAACTCTAGGTTTTGATGCATTGTAGTAGAACTCTTCTAGTTACATATGCAAAAGACAAATTTTAGGAAGAGTGTCATAGTTTGCAAATGGGGGGCGCCACCCCCCAATGGGGTAACTTTGACCACCTAATGGCAGCCGTGATGGGGTAACATTGACCGGCTTGGAAATTAAGCTGAAATTACTATAGGTACCTATATAACATATTTTATGTTTGATACACCTATTAATGTTTTTTTCTTTATGTTTCAGTCTCTACAGAGTCTTATATATAGTAATTTTAAGGGGACCGTCTAACCCAAAAATCGAAAAATTTCACTTTTTTCGTTTTTTGGTCCATTTTAAAGCTGCTTTTCAGGCGCATAAATCGGTGTAATTGGCATCTCTGTGCGTGCGTTAGTTTGTTTTTTATTCATTTTAGTATGGTTGGTACTATTGGCCGATATCAGTGCGCGGACCTCTGACGTCGGCTCTGACGTCGCTCTATAGCCGGTCTCTTATACACATCTAGATGTGTATAAGAGACAGGTTTCACACGTCCGGCCATTCGCGTTTACAGTTTTTACCTAAAAATATTATACGTTTAAAAATTACGTTTTAAAGACAACAATTCTAAAGAATCCAGTGTCTCCAATGTTACAGATGTACAATGAATTTCTCATTTTATTTTCGAATATTAAAAAATTATTTTTTTTTTATATTTTTAATGCATAAAATTTATTTAAAAACTATTTATTCTGTCAATTCAATGTTCAAAGATTCAATGTTCAAAGACGTGCAACAAGGATAATTCCAGGCTTGAAGGGCAAGTCCTATGAAGAAAGATTGAAGATTATGAAGCTTCCAAGCCTCAGTTATCGACGTCTGCGTGGGGACCTCATTGAAGTATACANCGATGGCCACGTCGATAGATATGGTCTTTACGAATCGAATGATACGTGTCTCGATGTTGTAGGACGATATTTGTGGGAGGAGATAGATTTTCTATAGTAACCGTTATTTTGCCGTTTTCTATGAATATCACGTTTTCTATCAATTTTTTCGAAAAATTCATAGAAGTAAAATGTTTTTATTTTTACATTTTACGTTTGAATGTGAAGTTTCATGATGATCGGATAATAACTTTAGGAGTTATAGGCTATCTCCAATTTAGGTTAGACGGTCCCCTTAACTTAATTTCCAAACCGGTCAATGTTACCCCATCACGGCTGCCATTAGATGGTCATGTTTCGGCGGTTTCGCCCGTTTGCGGACGGCGCCCCCCATTTGCAAACTATGACACTTTCCTAAAATTTGTCTTTTGCATATGTAACTAGAAGAGTTCTACTACAATGCACCACAGCCTGGAGTTATTTGGAGTTATTTTACCAAAAAATAAAATTGATTTTACCACCCAGTCAAAGAAACCCCAAGAGCTGGGGTAACAAAGACCATCACTTTTTTTGAAATTACATCAAAACTATGAGAGGCAGGAGCCAGCAATTTATGGTGAGTAAAGCTAGAGTATAGACCTGTATTTTGCAGGTTTCAATTCAAGTTTAACTTATCTAGTAAAAAATTGTCATCATTTTGAAAAAAAAGTGGTCAAAGTTACCCCATTTTACGGTACATAAATTAATTTTTTTTTTCAATATTAAAAAAAATTTACAAATAATTTTGTCTGCTACAAATCTTATAATCCATATGCAAAGCACCAGCTGAGAAAAAAGGAAATAATCTGAAAATTATAAAACGAAGACTTGAATTAAATAATAATTAATTGCTGAGTCCAGGTGTAACTTCAGTAACAAGCAGTCCATGCATCATGACACATGACTTCTTCTACATCTTCAAACCGACATCAAATCAATCAATCCATATTTGATACACTTCTAGCTGTCCAATCAATCTGCTATTGCTAACCAATGCAATTTTGTTCAGAGACAATGCATGAATCCTTTGACAGAATGAATAATTTTGAAATTTTTTTTTATATTTGAAAATAAAATTAGAAATTCATTGTACATGTGTAACATCTAAGACACCAGATTCATCAGAAATATTGTCTTTAAAAAGTAATTTTTAAAAGCATATTATTATTAGCAGATACTTTTTGTGATACAAAAAGTTTCATAGTAAATGTATAAAATATATCTTTTTCTTGCATTTGTGGTTATCTCATGCCTCATGGTACTTTAAGAGGCTAAGAGCCATCAACACAGTTTTTCCAAGGCAAGAACTTTTTGAGCTACGTATATTGTTATTTTTTTTTAATGTCAAAACAGTCCAAGTCACATTATTTTACTGCATGTTCCAAGCCTGATCTGATTCTGTTAAAGACTGTAAGTGTTGAGTAAAGCCTCAAACTAATGAACTTTACTCAATGAAACTTGGTACACGTATTCATTAGGACCTAATAGTAATGTTTAGCTTGTGAATTATTTTTTTTTAATTTTGCCTTCATTTGTTTTTGCCATAGTTATATGGTAATAAGGGCCAAAATTCAGTGATCAAAAAATTTCTTCCAAACTATTGAACAGATTTGAACGATATTTTGAATTTACAGTCCTAACTACCAAACAGTAATGTTTAGCTCAAAAAAATTTATTCTATTGTGCCTTTGTTTGTGAGTTTTTTTTTTCATTTCACCTTCATTTGTGATTTAAACAGCAATACATGCTTAAATTTGCAGTAATCAAGAAATTCCTTCCAAAACCACTGAATAGATTTAAACAAAACTTGGTATTTTAATGCCTAACCTCAGCAACGGTGATGTTTAGCTTGTTACAATTTTTTTTTGTTTTGCCTTCATTTGCGATTTATACGGCTGTGCGTATTCGGATATACATACAGTGGGGGGAAATAAATATTTGTACACTTGAAAAATCGTGTTTTAATGTATGTAAGTACACAAACTTAACAGGAAAAGTGATTTAAATTATGTATAGAGACGCATAGTATTCAAAAATACTATCAAAAGAAATTAAATCTCAATGCAACAAAAAACAATGCATTTTTGTTGCATTGAGATTTAATTTCTTTTGATAGTATTTTTGAATACTATGCGTCTCTATACATAATTTAAATCACTTTTCCTGTTAAGTTTGTGTACTTACAAACATTAAAATATGATTTTTCAAGTGTAGTAATATTTATTTCCCCCCACTGTAAATGGCTCTTGGTTAAACAGGCTGGTAGAAAAGCTGGTCATTCCTCCTGTATCTGTATAACTTGCGAACGAAAGCAAAATAGAAAAATCGTCACAAGCTAAACATCATCGTTGGGAGGTTAGGTATTTATATACGAAGATTTGTTGAAATCTGTTCAGTAGTTTAAAAGAAATTTCTTGATTGCCGCAAAGTTAAGCGACAAATTATCTGGCAATATGGGCAGAATATAAGGGAGTGTAAAATCAAGAATAACAGTGAAATGAAAAAAAAAACTTGCAAACTAATGTAAAATAAAAATATTTTTTAAAAGCTAAAAAATCACTGTTTGGTAGTTAGGAATGTATATTCAAACTTTCATTCAAATCTGTTCAGTAGTTTGGAAGAAATTCATTGATCACTGCAAATTTTGGCCTTTATAGCAATATAACTCACAAATGAATGTGAAATTTAAAAATTTTTACAAGCTAAAAATCACAGTTAGGTTCTGATGAATACATGTTCCAAGTTTCATTTAGCTGCATTCATTAGTTTGGGAGATATTCCTTGATAATTGAATTTGGAGATTGGTCGTGCGACTGGACACAAGTCCGGCTGCAAATTTGCCCAAGACGTCCTAGGTTTCTAGTGCTGAAACAGTTGAAGCAGCTGAAAAACATATTGGTTCACTAAATGGGGTTCTATTTGTGAAATACACATTTGTGTTTAACCTTTATCTTTTAAAATTGCAGCATATTAAATTTTAGGAAAGAGGCGCTTGTTTTTAGGTCTGTGGGGGCGCTAGAAATTCACTGGGGAGCCAAAGGGGGGCGCCAGCCTGAAAAAGTTTGGGAACCACTGCTTTAATGCAATAACAGACATCATGTGTGTTGGATGTGGTAGAAGCTTTGATTAGAACAGGGTTACAAATTATTACTGCTAAATATGTTGATCACTACTTATTGGCTGTATTGATCCTTGTGGCCATATTGATGACCAGAAGCTTGAAGTATATAATTTTGTATTAAATCTTTTATTTTTTTCAGTCACTTGGTTGCATGAAAATATCACTATAATTATTATTGATCACCATGGGCTTCCATGGTGAATATGAGTTTGTGATCCCTCTGTCACTGGATGCCCTGCAAGAAGCTTCATCAACTAGGCAATATGTTGTGAGCAATATTTCTACAGCAAATGAGATTCCAAAGAAATTGCAAGGTAAGTGTACATGTACAGTGGTCCATACTAACAGGCAATTATATCATACATCTATTTATTTTCCAATTTATGAATGAATTACCAATACAAATTATTTATCTAGTTGTTCATCTGAAAATTTGATTCAAAATTTTCCTAATGTGAAATAAAATTTCAGATGCCCCAACCAATTACATTGTTTCAGAATGTCAATCCACCTTTCGAAAGGAGGGCTGCTCATTTGTGCTGGATGGCCAAATGTTTGATGCTCTCTACAGTGTGCTCTGGCATTTTAAATATCTTGATGCAGCAGTTCAAGATAATGCATTCAACTTAATGGTTAAAGGTAAATAGTCATTCTTAACCAGGGTTGGTGATTTTTATTTTTTTTTAATAAAAAAAAATCGATGATTTTTTTTATTTTTTAGTGACTTTTATTTATTTAATTTTTTTCATTTTCTGCTTTTTTGTCTTTTTGAAATGTTTTTTTATGTTGCAATTAGCCTACTAATAATAACAGTATATGGATGGTTAAAAAGGGCAGCTATTGCCTTCTAGAATGGAAAGGTGGCAGGGTTGGCAATGATTAAATCAAAATGATTAAATCATGTGATTAAATCACTTGATTTTTTTATAAAAAAATCATGATTTTTTTTATTTTTTCGATTTTTTTGATTTTTTCATATAATTAAATATATTGAGTGGCAGTCTTTAATTTATATTGAGGTATTGTTATTCATGGTTTAGTATAAATGTACTATAAATGACAAATTGGTATATAAACTTGTTGCCTTTAGTGTGTATTAGGTTCCAATAAATTGAATGTTTTTGGTACAGAGGCACCAAGTGTGCAATACATTGTACGTAGCTAGCAGCTTAGCTAATTCTTATAAGGCTATAAGTAGTCTAACTATTTGACTATTTGTTATATATTGATTACAATATACAATTTAAATGTGTTAGCTAGCTTATACAGTGTGGGGCAGAACTGATTGAACAGTTTTGATGCGAAATAAAAGAGTAATGGAGGTACATAAAGAAGAAAGTTTATTTTCCTCATGATTAGCATAACATACCATTTAAAATACTTATGTTTTGAAAACAATATCAGGAAGATGGGGTTTGTTAGCTGCATCATACTTTTGGAGTTGTTCTCTAAAGTTTTCTACAGCACGTTCACACATATGGCGAGGTATGGCCATAACCTCTGCTGCAATAATCCGTTCCCTTAGCTGTGGTAGGGTGTGAGGGCGACTTCTCAACCCCTTTCTTTTAGATGTCCCCAAAGAAAGAAATTGCAAATGCTCAAATCAGGTGACCTTGCAGGCCACTGTAAATCACCCCTCAGAGTCTGGGAACATGCGTTTCAAAACATTGAGTGACATTCGGGCTGTGTGAGCTGTTGCACCATCCTGCTGGAACCACACGTCTCCCAATGCTCTTTTTCAACAATGTTTTCCATCATGGGCTGCAATAAATTTTGTAATATTGCAGCATAGCGATCGGAATACACTATCACGGTTACTCCCTCCTCCGAAAATGACTCCGACAGTGTGTTGCAGCTAACAGCCCCCATCTTCCAGATATTGTTTTCAAAACATAAGTATTCTAAATGGTATGTTATGCTAACTTCTAGGAAAATAAACTTTCTTCTTTATGTACCTCCATTACTCTTTTATTTGACCTCAAAACTGCTCAATCGGTTCTCCCCACCCTGTATATTAGGAGATTGAGATTGTATTGATCTTTTAGGCAATTAGAAAGATTTTCCACCCTAATACGAGTATTCTAATTAAAATATTTAATTTCAATCTTTAAATATGTGAATTTAAAACTAGAAACAAAACAATTACAATTATAAGACTATATATAAATAATTGAATGCAGTGAATGGATATAAAATATTTGATTTGTGCACATGTTTATTTCAAGCAGTATTAGATTTTCTCATAACTTAAGTCTCGTTTCAAGTCGTATGAGGTTTGTTTGGTTATCGTTCAGTTTATGTTTAGTATTGGTTTATTGGTCTGAATTAAATGGGAACAGTGCAGTCAGTTACTCTGTCACTACTAGTTGGAGTGTATAGAGGTTAGAGTCTGGTAGATTTATAGGACATAAAACTAGTAGATCTATTGATAGTGCTGTGCACTGTGCTATCAGCTACAGTCACTATGGTAGATTTATAGGACATAAAACTAGTAGATCTATTGATAGTGCTGTGCACTGTGCTATCAGCTACCTATCTGTTATGTGACTCTTCAATGTTTAGGAGATCTGCATTCCTGAAGTGTTTTTGTACATTGAAGCCAGTTAAATGGTCAATATTTAGCTTATTACCTTGCTCCATACAAACTTTACAAAGCTAATGAATAGACATAGTACCAATAATTGTTTACCCAAAAAATCCCTAAGTGGTAAACACCACCTTGGCCTGTTGGCCATTATTGAAGGCAATAAGTGCCCTTTTTAGCCATCCATTATGATCCATATACTGTTATTGTTAGTAGGCTAATTGCAACATAAAAAATAACACTTCAAAAAGACAAAAAAGTTGAAAAAATCAAAAAAATCAAATAAATCAAAAAAATCATGAAAAAATCAAAAAAATCATTGATTTTCGATTTTTTTTTATTTAAAAAAAAAAAATCAAAAAAATCGCCAACCCTGAAAGGTGGTGTGACTACTTTGGGACTTTTGGGTAAACAATTATTGATAAGTCTATTCATTAGCTTTGTAAAGTTTGTATGGAGCAAGGTAACGAGCTAAATATTGACCATTTAACTGGCTTCAATATACAACAACACTTCAAGCATGCTGATCTTCTAAATATTGAAGAGTCACATAACAGATAGACCTGTAGCTGATAGCACAGTCAACAGTGCACAACACTTTCAATTGATCTACTAGTTTTATGTCCTATAAATCTACCAGATTCTACCCTCTAAACACACCGACTAGTATAGTGACTGAGGGACTGACTGCACTGTTCCCATTTGATTCAGACCAATAAAGCAATACTAAACATAAACTGAACAACAACGAAACAAACCACAAATGACTTGAAATGAGAATTATGTTATGAGAGAAGCCAAAACTGTTTTAAATAAACATGTACACAATTCAAACATTTTATTTCAATTCACTGAATTTAATTATTTTATATATAGTTTTATTATTGTAACTGTTTTGTTTATAGTTATAGATTCACTTATTTACAATTGAAATTAAATATTTTAATTAGAATACTATTATTATGAATAATTAATATTAGGTTGAAAATCTTTCTAAATGCCTAAAAGGTCAATACAATCTCAATCAACCCTTCTTATATAAGCTAGCTAACACATGTAATTGTATAATGTAATTAATATATAACAAATAGTCAAATAGTTAAAGACCACTTATAGCCTTATAAGAATTAGCTAAGCTGCTAGCTATGTACAATGTATTGCAACACTTGATGCCTCTGTACCAATAACATACAATTCATTGTAATGTAATACACACTAAAGACAACAGGTTTATATTCCAATTTGTCATAGAACATTTATACTAAACTATGAATAACAATACCTCAAAATAAATTAAAGACTGCCACTCGATATATTTAAATATATAAAAAAAATAAAAAATCATGATTTTTATAAAAAATCAAATGATTTAATCACATGATTTAATCAGTTTGATTTAATCATTGCCAACCCTGTTCTTAACCTCCATAATTGCTTAAGCTTTTTGTTTAGTTGTGTAGTTGGTAATCACATTAGTCGACCTAATTTTTTAGCCTGGTTTGAATTTAGGTTCATATGGCTCACTAACTAAGTGTATTCAACAGCAAAGTTCCATCAATTGTGTTAGGTAATAGGTATATTTGTGCATGTTCATGAAAATATGGTTTTAGTTAATAAGTTCTAAACTAACTTTGATGTATGAAATCTTTTGTATTCAAATTTAAATGTTTAATTTTGTTTTGAAAATTTTCATTGTGGTTGTTAATCTTTCATATCATTCAACAGTGATGACTCAGCAGACAACTGACCTTGCTTCTCTGTTGGATGACATTGCCAATGTCAGTGCCTCAGCCCGCAGTCAGAATTTCACCATTTTGAAAATGAATACTTTCTTAGCTGTTCAGCTGACTGAAGCTTTTGAGAATCATCACAACAAGCCTTCTCAGGATGCTTTTCTTGCAACTGGCAAGGTTAGGATTTAATGTTTCAAATCATCCATTTGTTTTTAACTTGCATTTTGAAGCTATTGGTGCACAAATACTACCTATATCTTTAATTTTCACCAGCAGTGTATTAAGTTTCAAAGATTTGTCCTCTGCTTTATTAATGTCTTTTAAATTTTTTTTCTGATTGAAGTGTTTTTTTGTTTCAAGGGAGTCCCAACTTTGTCTTGTCATGTGAAATTTTTCTGGACTATGAAGATTTTGTATAAAGGTTTTTTGCCCATTGTAGAATTTCTTGTCCTGGTTATCTTTATTTAATTAAATTGTATATTGAATTAGTCTCGTAAGCGTGCGGCGGGCGGAGCTAAGGAAGACAACCAAGCAGCCTGGGAGAACCAGAGGATGCAAATGTTGCTGCAGCTCTGCTCCGTCTTGCACCATCCGCTCCATAAGCTATGCAGCCCTCCCATCATGGAAGAAGATTATGTCAAGTACTGCCATTATTTATTATGTTTATTATTATTGTCCATACAATTACAATAACTTGAGACCCGAGACCTGTGCTTGGGGCAGGAAATAACCAAAAAGTGAACTTTTTGGTTATTTCCTGCCCCAAAAGCTATAGTACTGATTTTGAAAGAAATGTACTGGTAAGTTAAGCGTGATAGTCATACTAGAATATGAGAAAATTTACAGATGTACTTGTGATTATCTTTTACTTTCTTTTATATATTCCTTTTGGAAATCTACCCGTTTTCAGATATAGTTGTCCACTTTGCTTGTTCATCTTGCATTGTGTGCACCAAGTTTTTAGCTTCATCTTGAGTGTATGCACTTTATGTTAGTGCTGCTGCCTTCTTCTTCATGCAAAAACTTTTTAACATCAAATCCTGGTGCAAGTAAAGATTATTATTTGTTTATAAACTATAGAGTTATTACCGTGTTTTGTGAGAAATTTTGTTGCTAGTTTACCGGACAATGTATTTAAAAAGTTTTAACTTTCGTGATTTAGGTTTTATATTCTAATAGTTGCTTTATATCACATTTATATATTTTGCACCCCCAACTTAAAACTTGCAGAATCGTTTTGTTTCATTTTCAGACTTATGTGGAGTAATATAGTGTTCTTTATCTTGAAACCAATCCGTAGCTGAATTTATTATTGTACAAAGTGTGCTCAATCAATATGATCTTATGATCAACTCTCTCTTTTGTCATGAACATTTACCTATGTAAATCTAATTTTATGCCCTCAATTTTTGAACGAGAAAAATAAATCTAGAAAAATTGTAGAGAAAATTGGTTGAATAGTCACAACGTGACGAAATGGAGTTAATTTTGTTTGTTTCATCAGCTTTCTAAATATTTCCCTATTCAATTTAAAAATGTTAATTTTTCCAGTTTGGTGGCTAATATGTGCTACAAAATCTTGGAGTCGCCATCCATGGGTCAGAATCGCTGCAAGGGCGTCCGTGATTCGCTCTTTCAAATCATTGGGGTGCTTGTGAACCGATTCAATCATGGCTTGGCTTGCTCTCTCAAAACCATGCAGGTAATTAGATTTGCTTGACAGTATTTGCAACAAAAACTTAATTTTAGTCCTAAAAAATGTATTAATAATGAAGATCTCTTGCAATAACTTACTGCAAAGAAATGATTCATGATCAGGGTACTCTGGTATTCAGGTAAATATTTTGTATTTATTAGCAGTTGACATTGAATATACTTCAAAGTACACTCGGTTATCAATATTTTTTTCATTCATTACCGGTTTTGTAATTTTTTAATTGGCTGTGCAGTTGGTGCAGCATTTTGAGCACTTGGCAAGTGTATGTGCCCAAGGACTAGCAATGTTGGTGAACCAGTTTGGCTGCATGAACGTCATTGGTGAAGTTGTGCGTGAGATAGCCAAAATGGACCTTGGTAAGTTGCAACTAATTTGCTAGCTCAGGATTGACATAAATCGTAACTTCTCGAATTGAAATTTCTGCTATATTGTTGATGAACTTCTGGACAACTTGAAAGTGTGTGTGGCATCGAAGAAATCATTTTAGTGATATTGGACTTCTTCTGTTTAAATCTATTGTCATATTGACCAAAATTATATGCTGTAAATAATACTTGAATACCGAGAAATCCTGCCTTTAGGATGCATGGAGACCAGCAGCAAGGACAGTGCAGCTGTGCGTAACTTCACACTGTTTCTGGTGGAGTTAGCCGAGCTTGTACCCCAAGCACTTGTACCGTCTCTACCGCTGCTCTTCACGTTCCTGGACAATGACAACTCCTCGCTGCGTAACTGCATGCTGTCAATGATGGGCTCCCTGGTGCTCAGGGTGCTTTCCTCTGAGAACCTGGATGACAAAAAGAAAGATCTCAGGGATAATTGCATCGATGCTATTGAAGATCATGTTATGGACGTCAATGCGTTCGTCAGAAGCAAAGTTAGTTTGAATTCTTTAAAAAAAAAAATTATTTGTGGAGGTCCGAATTACTTGATCGAGAGTAGGGAAAGATTTTCTTTGAGCCTAATGCTTATTGCGGAAATATTACTTGTTCCAAATAATTCTCTATACTCTCACTTGATTGGAACTGCAATTAGGTTGGAAAAAGGGTAATTTTTTGTGTGTAAACTTCACGTTAGTTTCATTGAAATTAGTAAATTAAATGTTGCTCCTTATAGAAATACATTAAAGTTGCCATGAATTTCTTTATTGGCATTATTTTATTTTTAGTTGAATTCAAATAATATGTGTTGCTTACGTTTTCTTTTCAATTTTCATTTTTTTGTTTTGAACGATTTAATTTTTTCGAATTTGTTTACCCTAATGCTCAGTGGACCACTGGCAAATTGAACAATTACTTTAGCACAAGATTCTCATTTGTGGTCTATTTATTGGTCAGTTTCCTTAAATTTTCTCATGAGTTTATTATTTTTGCTTTGTTTGACGCAGGTTCTGCAGATCATCCACGACCTGGTGAAGGGCGGGGGTGTGCCGCTCGCCAGGCAGCAGCGCCTCCTCGAGCTCGCCGTGGGCCGCATCATGGACAAGAGCGCCTCTGTGCGCAAGAATGCCATCTCTCTACTTACTGCCTTTCTCAAACAAAACCCTTTTGCTGCCAAGGTTTGAAACTATTTTGCTTCCCATTCCTATTTGATTCTCTTTCTAACGAGACAACGGATGTATTGCTAATTTTTTTTTAATATTTTTATTATATTAGTCACCATGTATGTCGCGGTGCTCAGCCACTTATTTTCTTATTTCTTCAATAGTCAAATGTGGCTATTGAATTTCTTATTGGAAACATTTTATAAATTTTATAAATATCTAAACGTTAGTAATCAAGTCAAACTTGATGAAATTAATTGTATGATATTTTCAGTTTTTTTTTCACCTTGGTGAGCATGTGTTAGATCTGCTACAATAGTAGGAACAAAAAAAAAAACTTTGTAAGCGATTAAAACTGGTTTCAATTGAGATATCTTCCAAGCCTCCTGCTTTGTTTCAGTTACCCATGGCCGACCTGCAGCAACAGTACGAGATAGAGCAAGAGAAACTGATGGAGCTGTGTCCTGAGTCGGTCACGGCTCCTGAGATCGAGACGCGTTCAAAAGAAAACACTGTACACCAACTGTGGCAGGAGAAACTGCCCGCTCTTGTTGATGCCGTCAGGGATGTGATAGATGAAGGTGAGGAGTCCTTGATGAGCTCTTGGCGCATTAATAGTGGGCAGTGAGAGAGGATTTAAAGTCACTCTAAAATCAAAAGCTCTTCATTGTGGTATCATTTGTAGGTTGGTATCCCTTGTAGGTTGGTATTCCTTGTAGGTTGGTATTCCTTGTAGGTTGGTATCCCTTGTAGGTTGGTATCCCTTGTAGGTTGGTATCCCTTGTAGGTTGGTATCCCTTGTAGGTTGGTATTCCTTGTAGGTTGGTTTTCACTTGTAGGTGCTAGAATGAGAATTTTTATTTGTTCAAAAGCTCTTCTTTATGCATTACCTGAAGGTGATAATATGAAGATTTCTTGACGTTTATCTAATCTCCAATGCTAATCTCTGGAAAGCGTGTGATTTCATCCGACGGTGTAAACGGATAATAAATCGAATAACTAGATGATGCATGTAGCAAAATAACTTATTCAATACATAATATAGCTTATTTCATTATGTTATATTTACGGCAGTTAATATAAATAGATTGGTGGTCAATATAAAAAACTCCAAAAAACGTAGAGAGAGTTAGGCGTTTCTGCATTCTCCTCAGCCCGTAAACACGCTGTTATTCTGGGTATTTTGAATAGCAGTGTGGTAAAAATAATCCTAAAAGAATTGCAATTGCATCTTTAAAAATTGTCTGTGGCGCAAGAACTCACTGACAACGCTTCTAACATAGTAACTTATTTTAATATTTTTTGTTTATCTTTACTCCGGTAGTACGTATATGTGGGCAATTTTTACATTCATTTATAACAGTAATTGCTAGCATTTTCGTCCACGTGTCAAAGGTCTGTTCTGTAATATAGCGACTACCTTTGTTTAAGAATTTAAAATTAACCCTAGGTAGGTTTCCCCTTGAAAATTTGTAAAATGACTACTCACATTACAGACAGTGATGCCGAGGACTTCTCGGACGATCAGCTGTCTGAAGACTGTTCACTGAATGACGCCCTGTCCGCTATTGCCGTGGCGCTGGACACTGGCAAGCTGCACCGCGCCGCCGTGTTGCTGTCAGGGGCTTTGGAGGCGTTCCATGGGGCAACCGTGCTCAGGTCTCCCTCTACTTATGAAGAGGGACTTGATTCTCGCTTTTATAATTAGGCTTGTCTGTCACTTGTATATGTGACTCGAGCTCGAGTCTCCATTTCACCTTATAATAAATAAAGATTCATAATCGCTTTCATTGATAGACTTACTCGCCACTTACCAAGCTAAAATTAGCTAGCATTCTCATAAATAAGATGGTATTTGCATTTAATCAACATCTGCAATTTACTGAAATATTAACAGTGTACCAAAATTTTTTATTTGCTTTGGATTAACGTTTTGTTGGGGCTGAAAATTTATCTAACTATTGGGTTATAAATCGTCTGTTTTGATGCTGCCAACTAGTTGGACAAATGAGGCAGTTATAATTTTCTAACTATTGCATTGCTTCATTCTTTAGTTCTGTTTAAGTCAGGATCATTTTGTCCTGATATCCGTTTCAATCGATGTTGGTTATTTTGTTAATTAATACACTGGGTTTTTCACTCCGTCGTGACATTTCAATTATATCATATAACGATATTTAATACGAGTTACTGGTGTGGATAGCATACCCTAAAGCACACAATTTATATGATGCACCCTGACAGCTATGACCCTAGCACATCGGTGCCGCCACAGCTCCCTCATAAGGATGCCGGTGATGAGCTCACGCCACTGCAACTGCAACATCTGGCGCTACTGGAGCGCATATTCCTCTCGAGCCATGCTATGAACAATAAGGTCTTAAACTATCTAGACTTTTAGCTTAACCTTGCTATTTTTCAATTTTAACTATTTATTAATGGTTTTGTTGCCTTTGTTGTTTCTGACCTTTTTGAGAAATAATGAAACTGGATATTATTGCCAGGTTATTCCTTTACCATATTGATAGTAAGCTTTTATTCTTATATTCGTAGATATTAATTTGGGAATTGAAGATATCCCCAATTATATGGTAGTTTCACGTATTTTCTAGTGGCTGCACTCTCATGTCTGATATTTTGCGCTAACTTGTTTGACTTGTTAGAAATGAAGTGGATGCTCACACGTTACACTGCAGGTTAGGAATACTCAACTTAAATTTGAAGAAATAAGTCAGATTAAATTTTATGAGTTAGAGGACCAGATGATTTTCAATGTCAATGGGTCTTGAATGGACTACTTGGCAGTTTAGTCTCGCACTGCCGTCGGTCTGTTGGTAACTCCTGCTGTTGATAGTTAACTTGAATATTTATATGTAGGAGAATGGAGAGCACGAGGAACCTGTTGCTGAACAACCCAAGGAGAGCGAAGAAGTGACAAAGCAAAGAAAACTTGTGACTTATTTGAAGGCAAGTCGTTATTTGGACGTCAAAAAGGCTTAGCTTTAGTAAAAACAAGCTGAATCCTGATCAAAAATTTTCACTGAAACTGTTCATTAAATCCCATTTGGTTGATGTTATACTAAACCTGAAAATGGCTCACATTGCTGGCAAAGTCTAATATATTCTCGTCTTATGCGTTTCTTATTTTATATTTCTTGTTATGTAAATTTAATGCTGATAATGGATCGGCTTGCTTACGGAAAAGAATGTTCCAGAAAGCAATGACAATAAAATGATCAAAATGAAATTAAAGCTGTACTTGTGTATTCATATTAATATTTCTGACATGCCGACTTGATGCCAAGATCAATCTTTAAAATTTATAATAAAGTCATTTTTAACATTATGATTATTTTTTGTTAAAATGAATCAATCGAATCATGTCTGTACTTACAACAATTTTTGGAAATGTTCCATGAAAAACTTTTTGTCTTGGTTTATTGTTGTTATTTTTATTTCATGTTACTGAAACAGATGAATATTGATGAGTGCAGGACAGCGTGGGCTTTGCCAAGCAGCTGGCAGTAGCGTTGCCGCTGGTGGCGCAGCTTCTGTGCAGCAAGCTTGTGTCTGATAGCCTTGAGGCCATCAAGTTCTTCGTGACGTGTGAGTGCGGAGAGCTAGATAGCCCGATACAATATCATTTTCATGAATTGTGTAATTTGTTCTTGACACTTTCTTTGCTTTTTCTACATTACTGCTGTAAACGATGCATTATTCATTTAAATGTGGCTTGCTGCAAGCTTGCTGACCTGATGCAATACCCTTGCTGCAATTAAATGGAAAATTTGCTATCCCTGAGAGATGCTATATTCTTTGTTTTTTGAACACTAATACCGTAAACTATGACTTAGATTATTATTCCTTTAAAAATAGGAATAGTTTAAAGTTAATGTGTAAACTTCATTTGGAATTGTCAAAAAAAGCCATTTAGTGATCTCATATTATTTATAACAAAGTGATACATAAAAGCTGTATGTACTCATTGATGAAACGATAATAAAAACTTTTTATATATTGTAGTAAAGATTATTCGACAAAGTATAGACTAATTTATAACTGAAACACATGCTTGTTTTTCCAGCGTTTGAATTCGGCGTTCTGGACGCTATGTCTGGAGTGCGCGAGATGCTTGTGCTCGTGTGGTCACAGGAGCAGCAGGTGAGCTTCCTCTTCATGTGGCGGATTACATTTATATTGATACATCGCTCCACGTTTCAGTTTGTGTTGGATATCAAATTACTATTCTGCTGTCCAACAGATTAGGATGATTATAGAACTTTGTGCTCTTATGATGGTTTTCTCACTATTTGTAGTTTCCTGGAAGAGTATCATCTGTCGAGTCAGGATTGAATATGAATGCTTTGTCTAGATTACTACAAATAAATTTATGCAGCTGGTGCATCACTCTAAATTATGTCTGAAGGAGATATATGCAACAACAGGTGCAGTCAGCTGTTGTCGAGGCATACCGACAACTGTACGTCACTGGAGGTGAGAGCGGTGCAAGTGACAGGTGCCGCGCTGTGCAGATCGTCCGCAATCTCACGTCGCTCACCACCGGCGCAAACCTGGGCGAACTTGCCTCCCTTGAAGTGATCATTGCGCAGTTCATGGCTAATGGTTCGTTGGTTGTCTTGAAGTTGACTTATTGTTCCCTTCGTTAGCAGGTCGTTGTTAATGTGCATCTTATCTCAACCGAATTGCTTCTCATTTTCTTATAATGTGATTCATGATTGCATTTAACATAATTTCTTCTGTTATACTGGTCGGCTTATATGAAGTTCTTTGGCTCATTTCAGGTTTTTAGGAAAGAAAGTACATTTTTCAACTTCGGCTAACGCAAATTGTTTCGTTGACTCTAACATAGGTTTGAACGTCACGTTACATGGACAGTGTTTAAGAATTGCTGCTTCTTTAACAATGTTAATAATTTTCGTTGAAGGTGACCTGAACAAGGCGTGTATCACTCTGTTGTGGGAGCGCTTCACACTCGCGCTGCCGGACACCTCCCCTGAAGAATCTAAGGCTGCACTCACACTCCTGGCCATGGCTGCCAAGTTTGTCTAAGAAGCGTTTTATTAACTGAAGTGTTCTGCTGCTTATTTTCCGTGGCTTTGGTCGCCATTTTTCCCTTTATTTGTTGATGCATAAAATTTGTATAGCTGTTCGTTTGCCAGTCCTTGTCAGTTATTCCAGAAACATTACACGACGGCACGGCGTTGATAGCATAGAAATCATAATTACACCATTTTAATACGCGTGTTTTTAATGAGCTTTTACGGTTTTACTTGAATCTTTACCTGCAACGACTCAAATTAACCTATTCATGAGGCACCGATATTTACTGCCGGGTGTTTTCGTAGGTAATCATTTCTAAATTTATTTTATCTTCTACAACAATTGGATTCTATTTTTTCATCAGTATTGCAATTTTTTATCAGTAATGTAATGTTTCATCTATGCAATTTTGTTTGAATAAATCCATATTCTAGACTCTAGTAGAGATAGTTGGGTAGTATTGCTTATTATTCAATCCAATTTGCTAGTCAGACCAATAGTATTTTTTAATGCCGACATTTAAAGTTCATAACTGAAAGTTAACAATTATACATTACGACTTGTTATTAAATTTTTTTGTTTGTTATCGGCTCTGTGAAACATTTTAACTCGGATCAGCAATCATATATTGATACACTATCAAGTATTAGTAATAACATTTTGTGTTTCACTACACACTCGAGTAATAGTAGTATTTTGTTTATTCAAATGCGCATTAAAGTATCAGTAATGGTATTATGTACGTTTCATTACCCTACTCCAGCATTATTAATCCAATGGTATTTTGCGTATTTCAGCTCGGAGCCGAGCATCGTGAGCAGCAACATCGGCGTGCTCATAGACACAGCCTTCGGGACGCGCGGGGAGCAGGACTTTGGGCTCGTCAAGCAGGCGTTGGTCGCTCTCTCTAAACGTGAGCAGCAACATCGGCGTGCTCATAGACACAGCCTTCGGGACGCGCGGGGAGCAGGACTTTGGGCTCGTCAAACAGGCGTTGATTGCACTCTCTAAAGTCGCCACTGATAAAGCAAAGACTGAAGATGCTTCTGCTTCATTCAGGTTGGTCCTTGCACATAATTTCTCAAATGCGCTCGTTAGGATATTCGTTTCATGTATAAATACCGAAAATAATTAAAACTAGAACTGTGTAATTGATTTGAAAAATCACTGAAATTATTATCTCGTCATTGTTGACATGATTGATTCTTTGCTAGTTTCTTTGCCGAGTTCTTGCTCGTTAAGGCTGCACTCACACTCCTGGCCATGGCTGCCAAGTTGGTCTAAGAAGCGTTTCATTAACTGAAGTGTTGTGGCTGCTTATTTTCCGTGGCTTTGGCCGCCATTTTTCCCTTTATTTGTTGATCAATGCATAAAATTTGTACCTATAGCTGTTCGTTTGCTAGTCCTTGTCAGTTATTCCAGAAACATCACACGACGGCACGGCGTTGATAGCCTAGAAATCATAATTGAGCCCCCGATCTGGACATTTTAAAAATAGTTTCTACATTTTTCTCGAGATTTTTTGTAAGTAAGGGAAGTTGTATGTTCATCAAATCTGACCTGATAATATAAATTTCGCTGTGTTATGAGTAGGATCGGAATTTTGATAAGTCTCTACTTCCTTATTGATTCTCGCCATAACATTTACTCTACCATTCTTCACTGTGCCATTTCTTCCTGATGAATCCTCACTGTACCATTTCCTGCATAATTATCTGCACTGTACCATTTCCTGCATAATTAATCCGCACTGTACCATTTCCTGCATAATTAATCCTCACTGTACCATTTCCTGCATAATTAATCCTCACTGTACCATTTCCTGCATAATTAATCTGCACTGTACCATTTCCTGCATAATTAATCCGCAGTGTACCATTTCCTGCATAATTAATCCTCACTGTACCATTTCCTGCATAATTAATCCGCAGTGTACCATTTCCTGCATAATTAATCCTCACTGTACCATTTCCTGCATAATTAATTCTCACTGTACCATTTCCTTCCTAAATAATTCTCACTGTACCATTTCCTTCCTAATTAATCCTCACTGTACCATTTCTTTCCTAATTAATCCTCATTGTACCATTTTCTCCCTAATTAATCTTCATTGTACCATTTCCTTTCTAAATAATCCTCATTGTTGTACCGTATCCTTCCTAAGTAATTCACTGCACCATTTTCTCCCTAATTAATCCTCACTGTACCATTTCTTTCCTAATTAATCCTCATTGTACCATTTTCTCCCTAATTAATCCTCATTGTACCATTTCCTTCCTAATTAATCCTCACTGTACCATTTCCTCCCTAATCCTCACCGCCCTATCGTCCCGCAGACTCGAGGCAAGTCACGAGATGTTCACACGTCTGAGCGACTTGCTGGTGGAGGGCATCACGAGGGAGGAGGACCGACAATACGGGCCCATGGCCGTGCAAGCCGCCACTACAATTTATGCCGTCAGTTCTCCATTGTTATCAGTCTCTTCCCTTATGTTATTAGGTCTTCATCGTGGAGTTCTGTTAGGGAGAGTTCTGACAGTGAACTAATTTGAACGCAGTCGGCACCTAACCTTCCTTCTAAATTTCTTTACCATATGCAACCAATGATTTTTACTTCTCTGTTTGCGTTTTAAAATTTTAATCTGTGTTTGTGATAGCCTTTTGATGAACCCTCTAGCTGCGGCCATCAGTGGTGAACTAAGTACGTTTAGACATTTTTTTCTAGCTACCTAACTCGGAAAATAACTTTTCATTCAATTAGAAACCATAACACTTTTTCAGGAATTAATTATAGCAAGGCATGTTAATTTATATTTTTAATAACCGGAAAACTCACTTTCTAAACTCTTCAAGATTGTTGGCCCTTTTCGCTCATTCTTTATATTTCTCTTTAATTGAAACTATGGTATCTATTACTGTTTATTGTTTATTGTACCAATTATTCATTATAACGTGATATTGTAATGTTATTGGGGCCCTTTCAGCCACTCTGTTCATCATTTCCAAATCTCAAATTTATCAAACATTTAATATTGTTGATTACATTTTCTGAGCAGTTGTCAGAACATCCAGACCAGGTTTGTGGCTCCATCATCAAGCGAATCCACGAGAAGATGATGAAGCTCAAGAAAGCTGACGACGATACAGCAAACTCGCCTTCTGAGGTAACATTTTTAAACAATTTGATAAAATCTCCCGGCGGTAAATGGGATCATTTTTTTGGTCAGATTCCTTATTTATTGACAACAATAAATAGGTCAAGTATTAAAAAGTAATAAGTTAAGTAAGGTATGGTTTCTATAAGTACTATATATGTATGTTGAAGTATTGTCAAATCATTTTTTTATGATAATCCGATATTTTTAAGGCTGTTCTGGTGCCTACTACGCTACTGAAGCGATTCTTGATGTTCGTTGGCCGAGTCGCCATCTGCCAGTTGGTGCACCTTGACACCTCCATCTTCTCTGAGCTCAAGAGGAGGAACCATCTTAAAGAACAACACGATAATGCCAAAAAGGAGAAGAAAAAAACAAAGACTAAGAAGAAGGAGGAAAAAAATAAGCGAAAGAGCTTGATGACATCCGCCACTGAGGCTTCATTGATGCGTAATAGTGTAAGTTTACTGGCTTTCATGCATTTAAATTCATGTTGATTATTGTGAATTAGGTAACCAAATCATTATTTTGAGTTTTAATTAACTGTTCATCGCTCGGCTCCTACATAAATCTAGAGAATTTCACGAAATTTTGCTCATCGTACCTGATATAGAATTTGAATGACTTGTATTTACGTAACTCGGGATGCGACTCCTAACTAAAGAATTTTTTAATTTGCTTGTGACGTTGCTGTAGCTTGCATTATCTCCAGTCTCAGGAAGGGGACTTGGACGAAGAGCTTGGCATGATGGGCGCCGTTGCTGACGACATGGAGGCCGAGTACATACGCAGTGTGTGTGACAAGGAAATTGTTACCGGGCCAAACCTGCTTGCAGCTGTGATGTGAGAATGATCTTTCAGAAGTGTTCAGTCGGCTTTACAAACATTATGCTTTTATAAGTTCATTTGCGTGATAGTGTGTAGTTTGAATTATTTTTTGTAACATGCTCTGGAATTTTTCTGAAAAGTCATTCTTAATTAAGCTCGTTTCCTTTATACTTACGGTGCATTTGAAATAATTTTAAAGTTCTCTAATGAATTATACCAGCAAATGGCTTTGTGGACTATCGAAACTTAGCTCGAATACTCCCAATGCATCGTAAAATTTTGTAAAAAATTTTATGCAAATAATTTCTTTGAAACCTTTCGTAATTTCGTTTTGCAAGACCAAATTTTGTTGCGTCGCAGGCCCGTGATTGAGTGCGTGTGCTCTAACACAAGCCAGTATCGGGACCCTGAACTGCGCCGCGCCGCCGCTTTGGCCCTCGCTAACTGCATGATGGTCTCGGCTGACTGTTGTGAACAGCACCTGCAGGTGTGTACTTGGGGTGTGTGAGCTGCACCTGCAGGTGTGTACTTGGGGTGTGTGGGCGACTGAAGGTGTGCGCTTACTAAAATATGTATACTTATAATTGAGTTGCTAGGGTTCTTCAATTGTTTATTCATTAGTGTGTGAAGCTGCACCCAAGCTAAAGTATTACTCCATTAATGTTGTTAATTTTTTGTACAAAATGTAATGTCTGGATGTCTAGATGTTCACACTTTATCAGATTGTGATGGCGAATTTTTTAGTACCATCAGTTTTACGAGCAGTATCAAAATTGACTGCGTCCATAGTTGCGTAGGTTCTCACTTAAAGCAGTTGCTCTTGCGGCTTTCATATATATTTACATTTTGTAATGCGTTTATCGATGTCAGATTAAACTGTAGAACCGCGTGTGTCCAGTTTACGGTATTTATGCAGTATTTACCTCGCATTAAAATGTTAGAGCGTTTCTTCCTCATGCATGTAATGTTTCTAATGTTAATGTCGCCAGTTGCTGTTCACGATTCTGGAGAAGTCCGACGACGCGGTTATTCGTGGCAACATAATAATAGCTCTCGGCGATCTCTCGTTCCGCTTCCCCAACCTTGTGGAGCCGTGGACACCTCGCATATACGCTCGGTATGTTCACCTTAATAAATCCTGTCTCTTCAGTTGCTCCTGTAGGGATATTTTCTATCTTGATATTCTCTTGAGTAGTAGTAGTAGTATAATGGTTTGCTAGCGCTTCAGCTATCAAGCTATTTCGCACCGAAGGTCAAAATATAACATCGCCAAAGAGGCGGAAGGTCTCAATTATTCAAAATATCAAGTTAATCATCACCGACAAGGGGCGGAAGGTCTCAATTGTCCAGCCCGCTGAAGCTGGCTCGAAGGAAACAGCGTTAGCATCTCAAAGAGACGAAGTGACAAGGAAGGACAGGTGAAAAGCAACAGAAACGAAGACACTCGAACAAGAGGTCGCTTACACGGGACGTCGGCCGCCCGCACGAGAGACAGAGAAGGGAAATGTAAGGAATCCTACCTACATAATATTAACCTCACAACTGAGATCTGCAGTCAGACACCGCGAGCTCAACGGTGGGGCGCTCAGGAACAATCCCCCTAGGAGCGCGAGATCCCATAGGACTTCTGACGAGCACAGACACACGTCAGAAGTCCCCCCTGAGGGGTATTCTCTTGATATGAACGAACTACTTGCTTAATATCTCAAAGTAGTACGTATCGGATAAACCTTGCTTCCATTTAAAATGCATAATCCTATTTACCAGTGTTTGTGAAATGAATGACGTTTGTTAGACTGGAAATTATTTATCAATGAGCAGGCTTCGTGATGACTGTTGTTCAGTTCGCCACAACACCATCACGGTGCTGACTCATCTCATCCTCAACGACATGGTCAAAGTCAAGGGACAAATTGCCGACATTGCGCTCTGCATCACTGACAAGGAGCCCAGAATAAATGGTAGGTATAATTAGGTTGTCATAGAGTTGATAAACTTCAAGCTATAAATTATCAGGTGGTTTGTGATGCCGCATAAAGGATGAATATTCTTTGTTGCATATTAAAAAAGTCAGCTTGTAAACCCGCGTAATTATCTAAATTTGCGTATTTATTTAATGTCATTATATTATACAACCTATTTTTCAACCTTTTTTAATTCGTGATATTTCTTTTCAATTCGTGCCAGCTACGGGTACCTGACATGCAAGTAATAAAGTAACATTTACTCTCAAGGTCTTGCTAAACTCTTCTTCACGGAGCTTGCTCGCAAGCCCAACGCGCTGTACAACGTCCTGCCCGATATCATCTCGAGACTCTCCGACCCTCAAATTGATCTCGATGAGCTCAAGTACAGGACTGTGATCTCGTGAGTATATTTGGGTTTTGGGATGTTTTGGGACTAGAACTTGAATCAAATGGGTTTGCTGCTGGTCGTCCATATGTATAATGTCTCCAGCTCAAATTGGTTTTAAAACTGTTTTTTCAGATATTGTAATCGAAATTATTAGGGTCTAAATTGTTTCAATCTGGAATATAATTAATGGTTGGCTTTCAGGCACATATTCAGTTTGATCCAGAAAGACAAACAAGTGGAGGGTCTCGTAGAGAAGCTGTGCCACAGGCTGCAGGCGAGCTCGCTACAGAGGCAGTGGCGCGACATAGCATACTGCCTTTCTCTGCTCCAGTACAAGTGAGATATTGGACTTGTCTAATTACTTTCAAGAATTTATTTTTACATGATCCATGGTTAAATTCGAACTCTTCTGTTTGGCGGTTTCAGAACTTGATATACGGTAATTGATGTACCCGATATGATAATTAAGTACCCGATCCTTATTAATTAAGGATCTTTATTAATAATCTAGTATAGCTCTTGAAGAACTGTGAATTGAGCTGGGCATAACTAATATAACATCAAATTAGATTATCAGAGTTCTTAAAAATATTCAATTCATACTTTGGTTGATATTGTAACAAGAGAAACTGAAAAATATGCATTTCCAACAAGATAAATTTGCCGTATCGTTGCTCTGCGTTCTCCACCAGTGAACGATGTGTGCGAAAGTTTGCCGAGTTGTTCCCATGCTACGGAGATAAACTTCACGAGCCCGACGTGCACAAAATGTTCCTCAGCGTACTAGCCAAAGCTCGCAAAATTGTCAAGCCTGAGACTAAAGCTGTTGTCGAAGAGCTGGAGGCCAAAATCGAAGCAAGGTAACTTCTTGCCTGATTGGCAAAATATTTTTCGAATAGGTGATAAGAAGCTGAAACTGTTGATTTTGTTGACAAAATCATACTAAGGCTGCTATCTTTGTACGATTTTATGACATAAAACAAAATTTTCTCGTTTCAGTCACTCCAAAGCGATGCAAGAGCAGAATTTGCTCAACAAAGCGACGGCTGCTAAGGGCGACAGGGCTGCTACAACCAAGCGAGCTAACGTCAGAGTTGCAAGTGAGTCGTTCGTTTATGTTGAGGTCCTCCGGCATGGCGTGTCTAATAAAAAAAAAGTGGAATATGAATGCGTTCGTTATTCAGTGGCTAAAGGTGATGAGAAAGAGTTGCAGGTGTGCAGTTTGTTCATCTACTGCGCATTTACTGTTGCAGGTATGTTAGATGCGCTTGTGACCGTAGAGCGATTTTAAGTCGGATCAATCAATGATAAAATAATAACAACTAGTTGATCAATAATGAGTGTAAGAATGTGGACATATATTTTAAAGATGAACCGCACGGTTTGTTGAGGTCTGTTAGTAGAAACGTTGCTACTGACAATATCCGGATCACTTTCATTGCCGTCATTGTAGTGCTGGCACATCGCATCTCCTAATATCCATTTTCCTCGTCAGAACGTAAGAACCGAAGATCCGACAGCGACAGCGACGATGAAGATTTTAATTCCAGCAATGAAGAAAACGTGGCGCAACCAGTAAAACAACCAGGTATAATTTAAAATCTGGCGTGATGCAATTTTTCATCATTTGATGATTTTAGACGAAGTATTATTAATATTGAGTGAAATTTTCGAAAATTCATTTCTATGTTTCAGATCGTTCGAGCCGGCGCATCGGCAGCCGTCGACAGCCTGCTGTGGCGCACCCTAAGGTTGTGGATAGTTCAACTGACGAGTCTGAGCAGAGCGATGCATCGTCAGGCGACAGTGAAGCTGACAGCGACGAGACAGGCGACGCAGATAAACGCAAGTCAGACGAGTCACCACTAAGGGAGAAGCCCCAGAGTAAAAAACCGGTATCGTCAACCAAGAGCAGGCAGAGAAACGGGCCAAATGTGCGTCTCACATTCGATAAACAAACGAAGTGCTATTTGTAAGTTGCATCTCAGTCGGTAGGCTATTACGCAATTGGCGCCGCAGGGAAATATGCGTCAACTTCGAGGCAATATTAATCGGGTTTAGAAAAGCCAAAGGGAAGAGAAACTAAAATGGATGGGAAATTGAAACGATGGATAATCGGTTACAAAAATTACATAACTAGCATACATGGGCGTATGTTGCACCAGCTGTCTCTAAGAAAATTTATAGGGGTCATCTGATTGTACATCATGGTGACAACATTCTTCTATGGAATGATGTAACACCACTTGAATAGTTAAATGGTAGAATAAAATACGCTTTAGATTTTAAATTTGGAAATAAACAAGTGTTTCAGTTCCCGAGTTTAATTTTTCAACTCTACTTCCGCAAAGCAGAATTTATCAGCCGAGGTTGGTTACAGCTTCGTTACATGTAAGCCATAGCAGGTTATCGAAAAATAATGTCTTACATTATTTCACATTCTTCCGCCAGGTCGGAAAATCGGTCTAATTCTTTGGTGCTAGAAGCTTTGAAGTCGTGTTTTTTGTTCTCGTCCTGCAAGACTTAGAAAGGCCATTGTCATCAAAAATGGCCAAATAAACCAAACAAGTGTTTAAATTTACACCTGGGTTTCAACTGGACTAATGGAAAAACTCCGAAGAGATTGGCTTGAAAAAAAGCAGCGCCGCAACAATCGTTTATGTAACAATGATTGACATTAGTTGCTGAAGGAGAAATTGTCAAGTGCTGACTGCGATATAGGCAAATACTTCCCGACCTAAAAATTCTGCAGCATTACTACGACAGCGAGAATTAAAATAACGCAAAATAATGATGAGCTTCTCCTAATTCTTAGCAAAATAATATTTCATCTTATTCTTGGTTATGTTGAGGACTCACCGATACAAAGCATAAACCTCGCAAATCCAGATCATTTTCCTTCAAGACGTTTGAGGTGATTATCACAGTTTGTTCCTGTGGTGTTGCCTAGCATATGTGAGACAGTTAAATCAATATAAAAAATTGAGCAGAAGTAATTGACGTTTTAGTAGTGAGCAAAACAGGTGTACAAGAAATACAAATTTGGTTGTTAGAGTAAGAGACATTTTTGCCTTTCAAATCAGTCGCCAATGATCCTCGGCAAAGGCATTTAACGAAATCAATCAAAATTCGCGCAAATAAATTCGATCGTGAACATTAGAAATTAACTTAAATTATGTTACGCACGCAACACAAGTTAATGAAAAACTGACTTCAAAGAAGCAAGTTAGTGGCAAATTAAGAGTGAGTAAGAAGCGAGTTTAATTTTCAAAATCGTATCAAGGGATAACTTCCATTCTAATCAACATCTCATGCGCGATATAAAGTGATTGCAACTATAAAAAATAATAACTCCAGTACTCACTGCAGTGGGTGACAGAGAGCGCACTTTCTCGTCGACGAAAACGTGAAGTCACGGACGGACAGAGGGACATGGCGAGTACAATAGTGCATTTTTTCCATAAATGAGAAAATGCGCTAAAAAACATCAAAAACTATCAAAACCCCTGCCAGGTGCATGACATAGCCTGGAAAAGGAAGAAATGCTCAAATGCCGAATTCTTGCAGAAATATCAAGCTTGGCAACACGATCAAGTATTGGTAAGCCTTGAAATTGGTGCTATCGATGGGCAACGTGTTTCCAGCTTAAGGGCATTTCAAGAAGAAAAATTGAGCTCATGTGTTGCAACCACTTGCACTGAACTGTGCATTTTCAGAAAACATAAAATCAAAAAGAAGCTTTATGAGCGCAAAACCAAACACTAAAGAAAGAAAAACTTGACAATCAAGAAAAGAAAGTGTTACAGAATGAAAATAGTGAGTATCACAACCAGGAGCGAGTACTTAGCAGAAGATAAGTTTCGGATGTATCCAGTTGCTTGGCGGGAAAATTTTTCCATTCAAATTCTGAAATTTTTCAATGACCATCAGCTTCAAAAAAGTGGCCACGGTTATAGTGATCCATTTGAATTCATTCAACCGACCCTGGAGTTCACGTTGATATTTTCGAGGAACCGTATTTTCTTGCTTCGTACGTACATGCATGAAAAAGAGCCTTCGATTATTTCACAATATTGATCGCATCCGATAATAACATGCATGTTATGCTCGTCTACTTTAGGAGATGAATTGTTTATAAGCAGCTGCTAAAAAATAGGGTGGTTAAGCTTTATAATCGCAATAAATTTGCTTGAAATTAGGGCCGTAAAGAGATCTTCGAAGATATCGGCATATAAAAACAATATAAAATAATCATGTGATCAGGCTGGCAGAATTATAACTATATACTTCAAATTAGAAGTTCAATATTTTTGACAAGTACTTTTACCACTTCAAAGTCAGAGCTACAAGAAGTTGGAACAAGTAAAAAGATCGAGTTTGAACCAACCAAAATGTAAAGAAAAATAAATCCATAACTTACATTCGCAAAATATGAGACGACTCCGTTATAAACAGTACAAAAATATTTTAGTACGCACGTGCTGCCGAAGAGGCTACAGGCGCTGAAACGCCAACACTCCGTTACCTTCTAATAATGAGACGTATAAATTTGGTAAGCTCTTCTAACTTCATGCAAAAGTATATTTTCTACCATTATATTCCTAAAAAAACCCACAATTTTACATAAGCACGTCAAAAACGTGCTAAAAATAGGAGCAACACAAGTTAGTTGCCAGAAGTAGCTACTTGCCAAATCACCACACTTGTTTGCTACATCGACCAGCAAAAGCAAGTTGAGAGCGAGAATGTATATACACTCAACAATAAATAACAAACAACAGCCAAAAATACTTAAGAAAATTGATTTTGTCTAAGATATTTAGTGCTAGTTGTTCCTCTCGAACTTATTTTGAGCTGCCTGCTTTCTGGCTTTATTCTTTTGTTCCATTTTTCTTCTAAAATTTGGATCCTGGGCCTTTCCATGGTTGGTATCTTCTTTCCCTGCAAAATAAATCATGTTAGTTCATCAGTCTCTCATAACACGAAGATGGTCTGCCGAACACAAACATATCTGCTGTTGGAGAAAAACAACCAATGGAGAAAATCCTTGCTGGAGGAGAAAAACAACCAATTAACAGATTCACAAGGAACGATCTGAAACTTAATGCGAAGTTGAGAACGCCGACCGACTTACCTCAGAGCTTAGATCGTGAAACATGTCAACAGTTGAGTATTTTTGAATATTAGATCCTTATACGAATGTTGAAAATGCACTGAAGTCACGCATATATGACCTGCTGTACAGTTCCGATTAACATCGACATGAGGTAGACAAGACAAAGAAGTGAAAAATAATGAATTTATACAATAGAAGTAGCTTAAATTAAAGCCTACACAAATAACGCGTAGAAAATGAAGCTATTATAGTTAACTATACATTAAATACGTCGAAAGAATTTTCAAACGAATGAGACACGTAACTGACTAACTTCAAATTCTATTCAACATTACACACATTAGTAATTCGCGTAAAATCATGAACTACTTCCAAACATACCAACCCTTCAAAAACAAATATTTTTTCCCCACTGTGCATTTCCGATAAGGATCTTTGATTTCCGGAATTCGTTACATCGAAGTCATTCTTTTCAAAGAATGACTTTTTTATCAAAGCCATTTCAGTAAATCCTTACATTAAAGTCATCCAAATGACGCTATAAAATCATCTCTACCAAACACTTTTTTGTCATTTGTACTCACACTTGCCACCTCGTGATCCCCTTGCTTCGTCATCAGTTCCATGGCGCCAGGACTTGCCCGACTTGTTAGTGTAGGTCTTGGGTCTGGCGCCACCGCGGGCACCGGCGCTGTCGCTGGTGCCATTTACGACCGGCGCTGCAGGTGGGGCGAGACCGCCGCTAGTGAGGCCCTCGCTGCCTCCATAGAAACCGTTGGACAGTATGGGCTGAGGAGGCGGCATGGGTCCATGGTCGCGCTGCCCTCGATTTCTATCACACCAAATTTAGAAACGATGACCCTACTCTAAAAGGAGCAGTTGCATAAAGTATTAGCTAAGTGATTAAAAAACTATTTATTTAAAATTGCATAATGAATTAATGGATAGGGCTAATTTGCCTAATTCTTAGGTATGAGAAGTTACCTTTTTTAAACAATAACCAGTTGTAGTGCTTTTTTGTGGTACTACATCTCGTCTTAGCTTAAGAACTATTCAACACCAGCGAACTCAACTACGGCATGCGCCAAAAATAAATTTATTCTCACCCTCGTCGGTTGCGAGCTAAGTCTTGAGAAGCTTTCCTCTGCGCCATTCGCTGCCGAAGCACCTCAGGGTTCTCACAAAAAGGCACGAAACTCAAGTCATTTTCAGCTGGCTCTGGAGCGCCTGATCCCGTCGGGGCCTCGATAAAATCGTCTTCATCCGCACTGACTCCTATATAAATGACAACCAGATGTTCATAGCAAGACCTCTGAGACAATTTGACAACCCAGAAAAAAATGATAGGATCCATGAGAAATATGCCCAGTTTTGGCCAAAAATTACATAGCATTACAACAATTTATGCTACACATGAGCAACTCGCTGATAATTAAAATGATAGTGCATCAATCTTATGCAAAGCCTGACCCCAGACTTTACCCTGTGGTTCTGACGCATTTTCCTCGTTGCAGTCATTCCGGACAGGCTTGTGGTGGTCCCTGTGGAAGTCGCGAGGCAGGAAGCGCTGGTGCCGTGGCCTGTTGTTATGGAAATCGTGGCTGGCGGGCAGATTGCGGTCCCGCACCAACGGCTTGCGATTGATCACACCTCTGCAATGAAGTGACACTTTTATTGAGGCTTGAGATTTTGCGTCAATCATGCTCTTCGTGCTGTACATTTTCAAGTGATACAAGACGATTGTCAAGAACGACTTTCTGTTCTAGAGAAACACAATATATTTTAAAGATAAAGATCGTATCGTGATCGCCAGTAAGGAAGACGCAGGAAAAGAAAATCAAGCTGTAGGCTAAATCAAATCGTATACTAGAAGCTCTAAACAAAACTATTAAAATATAAATTACAACTTTCTTAAAAATTATAACTAAACCTTCAGGAAAATAATTCAGGAAAAGGGAAATAGTTTTATGTAAAACCAAAATGAAACGATGATGATTTTTTAGTATTGTTTTCCTCACCCATACTCCCGGAGTTCTGCAATGAACTGAGCACCTCCAAGACCTTTCCTCAAGCCTCTCCGTCTCTCGAACTCTAGTTCATCTTCCTCTGCAGGCAGCGCTACGCTCTGCTCCAGTGACGCTCCGCCGGTGCTGCAGTCCTCATCGTTCTCAGAGTTCGAGTCTGCTTGGAGGGGCGCGTTCAGGGCGCCACGGTTGAAAAGTGGTGGTCGGCTGCAACATTTGTTTATATTATTCCATTGCATTGCAATGAGTCGTTATTATTACACGATTGGCAGCTGTATTATAACGTGCTGTTATTGTGCTAATGGAATTATGAAGCGCTGAGCGCGACCCACGACTAAAAAGAGACAGCCAGCTGAAATATTTACCCTCAATATATTGTTGATTGTTTTCAAAACAGTAATACAGGTCATGTTGGCTAATTCTGAACGAAATAGTCCGTAACAAACAGGTTCTCAATCCATAATATTTGGATAGGCAATAGCCTCGATAGGCGTTTCACGTATGTAGAATTTGTTATCACTAAGGATATATCTTGCTCTTGAGAGCCCGAGATTAGTCCAAATACATAAATGCAGTATTAATCTTGAATCAACATTAAATATAATTGGTTATACTGCAATATTAAACGAAAATAAAGTTATTTCATTAAATTTAACAGCATCAACTTACTTCATCGCCCTCTTCCTGATTGGCATGGCAATTTCAGTGTTGGCATCCATATTTCCAGCTTCGTTGTCGTCGTAAGTATCGTCATATTCGTCGTTGTAGTCAGCAATAGGCACAAGACTGTTCTCGGGATCCTCGTCTTCGTATATGCTGCGTCCTTGTCGTTCGTCATACATTCGTCCTAAGGCGCGCACTCTTTCTCTGACGTCATCGTCCGTTTCGAGCGCATCTTTTTTCTTCTTGCCGCGATGAACTTTGGTCGTATCCACACGCCCGGCACCGAACACATCGAACTCGTCGTCGTTATAGATATTGGCTCTGTTGAGCACACTAAGCTTGGCAGCGTCTTCGCCTTGTTCGTATGTAGAGTGATAACCTGGTGCGGCCGCAACAGGCATGTCAGAACTTGAAGGCTTAGATTGCTCTGTAAGCTGCATAGACTGCGGAGCAGTTGATAAGCTGGGATCTAAGCTAAGAAGCTCGGGCGGGAGTGTGCCCTCAAGAAGTGCATTGATGAGCTCCTCGGAGGAATATCTGTAGTGTTTGAGACACGCAGCGATGTAGCCTGCCCCAAGGTGTGGCATTAGGTCTTGCACGCTCGACACGAGCTCAGCTAGGTGCACAGCGTCCACTTCGGTACTGCCGGTCGCGACGTATTGCGTCATGCCGCTGTTATCTTCTAATTTACATTTAGGATGAACTGTCGCATTATTGCCGTTAGCAAGCGTTCCATCATTGACACTTTCTGTTATATTCATATCACTGAGTATGCCTTTCACTGCATCTTCTAGGAAGTGGACGGCAGTTGTATCTATGTTGTGTTTTTTGTACAATTCAATATCTTTAAAGAAGTTAAACGATGTATGATAATCAGCTATGAAATGTTTCTCCGCAAGACAGGAAGACACAATATGATGATATTTTTCGAAACATTCGTTGCTTGCGGCCCCACTGGCGTCACTGATGGGATCAATACACACATTCTTGATAATAGCTCTGAAGGTAAGAAGCATCGTGGAGCGGAGCTGCTCGAGTCGCAATAAGGTTGCAGCTGTAGAGCTGAACCCAGAATCGCTATCTTCATCTGCTGGAGAATCAGCTCTTCTAGCGCTTGAGTTGTGGCTCAGGCAAGGAATTACTCGTTCGTAACAAAGGCACGTCCTAAAAATAAAAGAACCAAAATTCAATTAGAACTAATAAGAAAGATAATTACGACTCGATATTTTTTAAATTTTCTAGTTACTTTGACGAAGAAGAAATGCAATTTTAGAAGAAATAAACTTTACTCATGAAAAATTGTCACACAAAATAATCAGGAATTTGGTGAGAACGCACCTGATGTGCATTTCGCACTCATGGAAGATCGTCGCCGACTGAGGGTATACACAGAGAAAGTTGTGCAGGGAATAAAAAGTGTCGAGCAGGTACATGAGGACGGCGTGTAGCTCCTCGGCACTGTGGGAACTGCTGCTCGTGTGTTTCAGGCTCATGGGTGCACCTCCGTCGCTCACGGCAAGCTGCTCCTCGACATTGTCCAAGGCCTACATAACGATTAAGTCAGTGAAACTACGATGCTAAAGAATAACGCTTCAATAGCGCTAATAATTATACATGCCTAAGAATTTCTAAGGTTATAGAATCTCTAGCGCACTCCTATCCCTGCCGAACTCGGCAAGAAATGAGAATGTAAATGTCAAGCCAGAAGTAGAAGATTTCAAATAGGAAAGTATGAAAGATAATTGATAGGAATCTTACATACAACATTCTTTGAAGGTAAAGAGCTCAGCAGAAAGCTGAGGTCTCGTCTAGTGATCTTGTTTCTAATAGTACCCGAAGTAAACATAGAATATGAACAAGAGAATTGGTGTGGTTGTCTGGTGTGATTGAGAGTTTATCACCATTTTGTTTATTTATCAAAATCCATCTCCAATGGATCAAAATAAGAATAGACGCCATATTTTAGAAAAAAATCTCAACTTTTTCGGCAATGGAAAACTAAAAAACATTATTCCAGTTTGGGGTAAGTTTGCAGTAAGAGAGAATTTTGCAAATGATAATCAAAGCTCCAATATTTCAAGCAAGTGCAGAGGGCAAATCCAAAATATTCCAAAATTTTCACATGTCTACCATGCACTTTTGATCATTTAACAGGCCAGAAAATAAAGAACTCACACTAATGACGGACTCAAGTAACTGGCGCAGATCGGCTTTGTACTTGGGCTGGTGAGTGAAGACATTAGATATGGCCTTAGAGAGCAGCGCTGAGTCTGAGGGATGGTAGAGGCTACAAAGATCCAGCAGCTGGCACACGTCAAGCACGTAATGGTCGTACAAAAGATCACCAAATGCGCTGGCGGATATGTGATTACTCTGTAACAGAGACAAAAACACTACATTGATGAGTTTTCATCAATTAAACACAAGTGTAATATAAAAAATAGAGAAAATACTTCTGGGAGCAATTGTGGACATCCTGTATGGCTAGACATATTGCATCATTGAACAAACATGATAGAGAACTATTCGCATAAAATGAGAGAGAATATTTGCATAGAAAATTTTAGTTATCCAAGTAGTGCTAGTAAAAATATTGATCGGGTGGCATCTGAGGCGAATTTAGGACCACTCACCTTAGATTCCTTATAAGTAGACATTCTAAGATGCACCAGAAATACGAGTTTGTGCACAGAGAGAAGCACTGGACCAATGATGTTCCTGTGCTGAATGTCGTTCATGATGTTGAGGTAGCCTTCATCATACCAGCGTGGTGCCTGGCTCAGGTATGACACCAGACACTTGTGGATCTTGCGCGAGTATATCAGCTCGGACCAAAATCTGAAAGACATTTCAGTACATAGGCCGCATTCAAAGGTAGTTTTGTGCACTGGAAAATATGAATGAATAGTGAAATTTGCAGATCATGTTTATTAAAAATGTTTGTTTATAATCAAGATGAGATCTAACCACCAGTGTAAGAAATTACCACTTTCGAATGCATTGCTGCCTTCATTTGTTGCCCAGGTGACGAGGTAGCTCACCTTCAAATTAGCTCAGATTCGTTCCGGCAGCCGACTGAGCAACAGCGCCAACAAGCGTAACAACGACCTGAATATCGCAAAAAGCATAAACAGCGCCCACACGCTCACAACACCACCGAACACCCCCATACCACGGTCTAATAATTCTAAAGAAACCTAATTCCGAGCACCAGTTAAACAAAAATCTAGAACCCGGGCATCATACAGAAAGGATTCACCGGAGGAACACCAAAATACAAGCAAAACGACAACCGCCACCCGGGAAGGAAAACCCAAATAAAGAAAACCAACCTCAAACCCCTACGAACAAAAATAGATAGAACGAGGATTAGAAATCCATGCCTAACCTAACTATGTACCGAACAGAAAAACCCCCTACAGAACAACATACCAAATCTCGCGAACCCTCAACCAACTGAACACTCAAATTTAAAGAGGAATCCATCACTCAAGTAAAACTACAAGATGCAAATACAGCGCAACAAGGAATAAAGAATAGATAAAAGGGTCAGCCAAAACCATCACCTAAACACGATGAAAAAAAAAGACATAAACATACCGGTGATAACAATCTGTAAACCACAAATACTCGTGAAATAAAGGCATTAATGCCTAAAACAGCAAAAAACAAGCCCAACATCACAACCCAGCACAAAACCCCCCAGCACCAGGACCTATCAAACCCGAAGACGCAAAAGTCCCACGCCCAGGTGAACAAAATGCTCCAGCCCAGTCGCACCACCGAACAGCAGAGCATCAATAATCAAATAACAGCAAAACCTACGGAGCAGACAGTAAATGAAGACCCAAACAAGAAAACACAACATGCAACCGATCCAAAAAAAAGATGAAAGTTCCCCCATGATAAAGCCAGGCAAAAAAATACTAAGTAGAAAAGTGCGAGCTATACCAGAGATGTAAAATTACCTCAGTTGCGCATTGAACCATTTAGTGGTGAAGGCACGTCTGCCCTGAAATTTCATTCATTCATTACAAAGTTTCGTAGTATTGTTGATAACCGGGAATCCTTGTCTCCTGCCGCTAAACTTACTTACCTCAAAAGTTACCTGACAGGCTACGCCTATCAGTTACTTGATCATCTCACTTTTGAAGATCAAAATTATGCGCTTGCACTCGAACTTCTTGAGAAAGAATTTCTTAATAAAGACAGTCTGATTGATCAGCTGTGCAATAAGTTATTTGAATTGAAATGCAAGACTGATTCTTCATTTCATGAGACAAGGCTCTTCATATCTTCCGTTAAGAGTATCATGGCCGATTTAAAAATCTACGATTGTGACGTACTTGCAGAGAAGGCCGCACTTACCATTGTGAGCTCATTAGTATCTTCGAAATTGCCTTCAGCATTCAGGCCGGAGCTCGCCAGAAAGTTGGGTTCCAACTATCCAACTCTAATTCAAATATTTGACAACTATGTGACTGTTATTGAAACTCTTGCCTTACGAGTTAGTCATGATAAGCCGAAACCTGCTCCGGTTAACGAGGCTGCTGGTAGTAAACCTTTCAGCAACCGTTGTAGGGAGCTGAATGACGATAAACCTCGACAGGTATTCAGCAACAGTGCCCTTGCATCTGCCACCACCAAGCGTGCGTGCAAGTTTTGTTCTAGCTCTGCGCATAGCATGCTTCAGTGTACTCTTTACCCTACGCATAAAGCGCGCTTTGACAGATGCAAGGAGCTTAAAATATGCCAGCAGTGCACAAGTTCAAAGCATGAACTCAAAGATTGTTCAGTTAAATTGGATTATGCATGTAAATTCTGTAAAGACCGGAGACATATTTCAGCATTGTGTCCAAAATTCAGTGCATCTGCGCCTCAATCTACTACTAACGTATGTCTGCATTCCTCCGTAGATAAGAATTCAGTCAATATCTTGCCCACGGTCCTAATTCCTGTAGCTAAAGGCAACTACGTTACAGATGCGCGCATGCTTATTGACACCGGCTCTCAACGTTCATATGTCTCTGGCGCTATCCTTGACAAAATTAACTTTCCAAATGATCGAAAGAGATTTCCTTGTACCGTAAAAACTTTCCTTGATAAAGGAGTGAAAGAATTCTCCGAAGTTGCTCTCCAATTCACTTTCCCGACACAGAAAAGGCAGTTGCCTATCCTAGTAGATGATGCATTTGAAATGTCGTTTGCAGTGCCGTCATTGTACCGTGCATTTGGTAACGTGAAGCAAAAGTTCAAACTTGCCGATCCTTCCTTGGCCGAAATAAGGGAAGAAAGCACCCTTGTCAAAATCGACGGTATTATTGGGGTGGATTTAATTCCTTGCCTTGGATTGGGAATTGTACCTTGTTTGAATGGCTTTGCGTTTTCAGTGGGCTCAAGCGTAATTCCTTTCGGAAACGTAGATAGTTTTTTGACGCAGAGTCAAGCGGCACGTATGCATCAAAATTTGCTCGGGCAAAGTGCCGGAAATAACACTTATGTAAACTTTGTTCTCGATCCCATTCCTAAATATCCTGATCCAATATCAGAAGCGCTCCCAGAGAGTTGCGTAGAAGGGAACCTGGATAAATTATTCCGATTAGAGACTATCGGCATCTCTGAAAAGGAGAATATTTCTCCTCTTGACGAAAAGAAAATCGAGCAATTTGAGAAAAATGTTAAATTTGAAGATGGTAAATACCATGTAAAGCTCTTGTGGAATGAAAATTTGTGCAATGTAAAATCTAATTTTCATATAGCCAAAGCAGTGATGGAGCGAGTGCTCGATAGACTGAATGCAAAGGGCTTATTTGATCAATATGACGCTATTTTCAATGAGCAGATAGAGGAAGGCGTGCTAGAGCCCATTTCGTTGAAGAATTGTTCAGGAGATGAAGTGTTCATACCCCATCGTGAGGTTGTACGCGATGACGCGACTTCCACACAGAAGGTCCGCCCTGTGCTTAATTGTTCGCTTAAAGTGCGCGGTTCTACTTCTCTTAACGAAGCTTCCTTTCAGGGTGTAGATTTGATGTCGAATCTATTCAGTTTGCTGCTAGGATTGCGTCATGATAAATATTTATTGATTTCTGACATTAAACGTGCCTTCCTTCAAATTAAGCTAAGCGACAACCATGATCGCAATAAATTCTGTATTTTATGGGTTAAAAATGGCCAACTTCAGGCTTACCGTTACACATCTATTGTGTATGGCTATGTCGCCAGTCCATTCATTCTAAATTTTGTAATCAAGCACCATGTCGCCCAGTACCCTAACGACATGTGTTCTTATTTCCTTAAGAACTGTTTGTACGTTGACAACCTATTCCTGACGGGCAACGTTACATCCCAGATGATTGAATTGTACCGCACTGCCTACTCGCGCATGCTGGACGGTGGCTTCGTCCTGCGCTCCTGGGCTTCTAATTGTGACGTGCTTAATCAGACATTTGAGACGGACGGTGTGGCTGTGCAGCATCGAGGTAATGCAGAAAAAATTCTGGGCTACATGTACAACAAATCCAACGACACCATGTATCTTGCCTTCAATGATGCTTCCGGTCAGCATGACCCGGTAACTAAACGTTCAGTTCTGTCTAAACTTTCTAAATGTTTTGATCCCTTAGGTTTGCTAAATCCCATTTTGGTTAGGGGCAAGTCTCTTATGAGACGTCTTTGGCAGTCGGGCATTGCTTGGGACGACCAAGTCCCATCCGACATTAAAGTAGATTGGCTCCAGCTGCTCGCTGAGCTCAACTTGTTGAATACCTTTCAGTTTGATAGACAGGCTCTAGTTACTGGTGAAAATGTGAAGCTAGTCCTCTTTACTGACGCTTCAAAAGCGAACTACGGATTCAATGTCTATAGTGTCGTTGAAGGAGAGGTAGGAAAGTCTGCAAATTGGCTTTTTAGCAAGACGAAGGTGTCGCCCTTGAAGTCGAAAAGCCTGCCTACATTAGAACTGCTAGCAATATATCTCGCTATAAAATGTTTGATGTGTCTCATACGATCACTTGACAGGGTAAAAATTACCAGTATCGTCATTGCTGTCGATTCGCAGATTGCTCTGTCATGGGTCTTGAACAAACAAATTAAATCCAAAAATGTCTTTGCATCCAACAGAGTGAAAGATATTTTAAATTTCTGTGACCAACTGAAAGATGAATATAACCTAAAATGTGAATTTAAATATGTGCCCACTTCGCAGAACCCTGCAGACCTCTTGACCAGGGGGATTACCGTTAAACAATTTAAAGACAATTTTTCTTTCTGGCAGAAAGGTCCCGAATTTCTTTGCCAGGATGAACAAAGTTGGCCTAAAGCCAGCTTATTAAGTTTGTCTGATACCAATAAGAAGGTCGTCTGTGGCGCAGTATTGAAAAATTGCGTCAACGCTCCTGTCATTGATCTTCACAGGTATTCGAAGCTACATAAATTGATCTCTGTAACAGCCGGGTTGTTCCACTTTGTCAGTTTGCTTCGAAAGACAAATCCCGATCGCGTGAACAGTTTGACGCTGGCACGCAAATACTGGATCAAATTTGAACAATCTCTGCATTACAGGGAGGAACTTGCCTTTTTGCTTTCAGATGGCTCAGGTACCGTGCCTCCTTTGGTCAGAGATCTTAACCTATTCTTAGATGATGATGGTATTATTCGTTCCAGAGGACGATTAAGCAGATGTAATTACATACCATATGCTATCAAGCATCCTGTCCTCATTGCCCGCGATAGCCATTTCACCAACTTGATAATTAGAGATTCTCATTTAAAGTGCCAGCACATGGGACTTTCTTCCACCCTAAATACTCTCCGTAACCAGGGTTATTGGCTACCCAAACCACGACCTCAAGTTAAGCGCGTGCTGAAGGAATGTGTCATCTGCACTAAAATTAATGCATTTTCTTACAGGTATCCCAAGGTAACCGACTACGTGCGTGACCGCGTCAATTTCGTGAGACCGTTCAAAAACACAGGTGTTGATTTTACTGGTCATTTTTTCGTGCAGTTGGCCGGTACCTGCGTCAAAATGTATCTTGTCATATTTACCTGTTTGAGTGTGCGTGCCATTCATTTGGAAGTTGTGCCTGACATGAGCACAAAGTCGTTTCTTTCTGCTTTCGTGAGATTCATGAACCGCTTTGGATTGCCTAAAAGCATCTACAGCGATAACGCTCCTAGCTTTGTTCAATCTGCCGAATTGCTGAACAAGTCCTTTTCAGATAGTTGCTTCTCTGAATATTTAGCCAAAAATAACGTAAAGCATTACCGTGTTCCATTATATTCACCTTGGGCTGCTGCCAGTTGGGAGCGCCTTCTGAGAGTAGTTAAAAACTCTCTGTACAAATCCATTGGCAGAAACAAAATAGAATACTTCAACTTCTTGACTTTGATATCTGACGTCCAGGAAGCAATAAATTCCCATCCATTGACTTACCGTGATACCAGCGACCAGTCTCACGATGTTGTAACTCCTAATTCTTTCATCCGTGTTGGCATGAGCAGTAACTTGACTTTCGGTGCGTTGTCGGGTGACCTCAACGTACCTGCCCGTGCTGATCTAATTAAAACCCTTGAAATCAGGGAGGACGCTCTGGATAAATTTAAAGACTTGTGGTACGAGGAGTACTTACTCTCCTTGCGAGAAACTCGCACTAATCTCTATCAGCCCAAATGGGAAGATCGAATTAAAATAGGAGACATCGTTCTCATATCTGCACCTAACAAACCACGTCCACTGTGGATCATGGGTCGCATATGTAAATTATTTACAGGTAATGACGGCAAGACGCGCTCTGCTGAAGTTTTAAGACCAGACCGCTCGACGGGGGTCTACTCAATTTCATTGTTGTATCCTTTAGAATTAAATTTAGATTCTGTGTCTCCGTATCGTCCTCCTGATGTTCCTCCTACTGTTGCAGGCGCCAGCAGCGGTGGCGGGCTCGCGGAGACGAGAGTGAGACGCAGAGCTGCTGAGCAGTGCTTACAGCGACTGCGTGCCTCTGCTGAAAATTAATTTAATGTTTAACCTTGTATAACGACCATAATTCATTGATGAATTTTGTTCCAATTTTGTGCCCCGGGAGTGTGTAAGAAATTACCACTTTCAAATGCATTGCTGCCTTCATTTGTTGCCCAGGTGACGAGGTAGCTAACCTTCAAATTAGCTCAGATTCGTTCCGGCAGCCGACTGAGCAACATCTCCTCTAATCTTACCTGCGACCTGAGTATTGGACTACGCATCTTCAGCGTCCACAGGCTCCTAATCCTTGCTGAGACCTTTATTCTACTGTCTTATAATTTTAGGTGAATGTGGTTTCTAGCAGGATTTACATAACTATTTATTACTCGTGTATTATCTAGGTAGGATTTATCTTAGGCTCACCATAATTTACGTTTTGGGATAACCTCCATTTGGGACGTTTAAGGTGGATAAATTACACTATGGTCATTTGCTTAGGGTCTAGTATAGGTAGATGGAGGTTTAGGGTTTCATTCCTCCTCTAACTTTTTCCCGTGCATTTGAACCTCCTACTGTCCTGCCTGTCCTTTCTGGTGAGCCTTCCTCCAACTTTACACTCCTCTTTTGTTAGGGTTTCATTCCTTGATTAAGCCTAGCTGTTGTAACTACGGTTCAACACTGAATCCCGAATAGATTTAGGTGTGTGCCATTACTCTCATTTGAACATTATGATATATACTGCCTTAATCATTGCGTTTGTCACTATTTGTGTACCATATCTACTCGTGTTATAACTTGTTTAATTTCTCTAACAGTATAAACTTCTCCGTTCCTGTGACGCCAGCACCGACCCCGCCCTTACCTGGTTCTATTCATTCTGAAGACTCTAAATTCTGATGTCCAGTTGAACTAAATTGTGGAGCCTGGTCTTCCTACTTAACTTCTTTGGATGAATACTTAATTACCATCAAAACTTCCGGCGCTTCCCGTGGATGAAGACCCAATTAAGAAGATCCAACCTTGAACCTCTCCTAATAAAATTTGATGGTTCTCTTATTATAAATCTTTGCTTAACCTTATTATGTAGCGAATTACTTGTTTAATTTCTTTAACAGTATAAACTTCTCCGTTCCTGTGACGCCAGCACCGACCCCGCCTTTACCTGGTTCTATTCATTCTGAAGACTCTAAATTCTGATGTCCAGTTGAACTAAATTGTGGAGCCTGGTCTTCCTACTTAACTTCTTCTCTGGATGAATACTTAATTACCATCAAAACTTCCGGCGCTTCCTGTGGATGAAGACCCAATTAAGGAGATCCAACTTTGAACCTCTCCTAATAAAATTTGATGGTTCTCTTATTATAAATCTTTGCTTAACCTTATTATGTAGCGAATTGAAAAATTCCTTACACCAGCCTGCAATTACTTTTCTAAGCTTTGTAGCAGCGCTTTTCAAATTTTAGAGGAGCTAAAGCAACATTTTCAATTGACTCTGAGCAGTAATATATACAAATAATTTTTAGCTGTAGTGCTGACTGTGCTGTACAAACACTTTCATGTCAATTGCGCTAAATGGACCAACTTAATTGCATGAATTCAAGCAGACTTCTTTCTGCAAGATGTAAGTCAATTTATGATCACAGAATCAGATCACAAAGTTTGTTTTTGAATTGTTACCAAAGGAAAATTCTTAATTTTGTATATATCATCAAATTGAACAAATTATGATAATCCACCTGAGAGTCATGAAGAAATGATATGGTACATTAATGCTTCAAGTGTCTGCAAGCACAACAGCTTGATGAAGATAAATAGAGAATTAACAAATTCTTTGCATTTCTATAAGGTTAAAAGTGTTTATTGAAGAATACCAACAAGGGTAAGGAAATTTTTTGCAATAATTCTGGACCCATGCTGAACATCAAACAGACTGAAATTTTAGCAAAATTGTAACAATCTTATACAATGGGGAAATTTTCTGCACACTGTCAAGATTACAATTTTGAAATAAGTCAGAAGGTGGTCACCATTTATCAAGCCTAGAAGTGAATGCAGTAGGTATATTTCAATTATCAAACTCATTTGTCAGGTTTGAGCATATGGAAAGTCTTAATGTATCAAAGCAGTGTGAGCTTACTTGTGATGGGGCAATGCTAACATCCACTCAAGGTCTTGTCTGAAGAACTCTATCTGCTCAAGCCAGGCATCCAAGGCACCCGGGAGCTCCAAGCCGTGCTGGGGTGGGGGGCTGTACTTCATCAGCTCTCTTAATTCACACCAAGATTTGCTCTAGAGACATATACGGAATTACAATTCTTCATAATTAGGATAAGAGGTTTGCAAAATGTACTAATAAATATGATCTCTAACCAAACCACGCAACTAATATGATCATAGTAAATTACCTATTATCTAATTTAAAAAATACAGTTTAATAGAATATTTCAACCAAATATTTTAAATATATATAAGAAATCACAGACAATGAAAAAGTACTATTGAAGACATGGCCTAATGTATTTTAGTTGCTTATCTCTAAAATGATACTTTATATAGGTATACATTGCAAAAGAGTACATATATATACCAGTAATTAGACAAACAAATTGAGAATTCCTAGTTAAGCAGTTGGGAATTTTTCAACCAAACTAGAAAAAAATTTTTGATGCATGTTAAGGCTCACCAATGCTGGAATTTTGGTCTGAACTCCATTAGAACTGATGGTCAAGAGCTTGATGTCAAGAGGCTCAGATGCCTCCTGGCCAACCTGAATAAGGAAAAATGATGGAAAAAGAGAACTCATAAAATACACAAGAATATTGCATTCCACTAAAAAGCATAAGTTGTAAAAACTAGAGGTTACTTTTTCCTATGTAACCATGAGTCCAAGACTAGGTACTGTTCATGTTGATAACTTTACATCCTCACCAGCAGCCCTTAGGTTGCCAGCCTTCAATTGAAATGTTCCATTTTATAGATGAAACCAAACCATCTCTTTCTTGCATGATCAAAATAGCTTTGTAGTCATCATGTTGTTATCAAATTATACAAATCTTAATTTTGACAAGTGTTATATGGTTGAAACAGGTTTTGGCCAAACTGGACAATTGGGCAGTAGCCACCCATGATTTGGACAAAGACGACTGTGTATTTGGCCAATTTTACCTGTTCCTTAGGCCTTTTTCCCTCTATTTCTTCAGTTACCTATTTTCACCCAGACACAAGCAATTGTCAAATATTACCTGTGAAACAATTGCTTTAACCCATAATTTTAGGGAAGTTTTGCCCAGTATTCCAGATTGAGGTTTTGGTAATGGTAATGAGCAACAAAACAAGGTAGGTAAGGCCTATGCAGGCTATGTGCACTTGCATAGTGGCAAATCAGAGATTTTTTAGAATCAGTTCATTTTTAATTTTCTCATCTACTCAATATTTAAATAAATTTTTTTATCATAATGCTGGTAGGTATCAAATAAACTTACTGGTGCACTTATTCTTATAAGACTCCAAAATTAAGTTGAGGAACAGGAATGGCAGTAAAAATGTCCTCCTTTGCCACTGTGAATTATTAGTTCCATTTCTGCTGAGTGATGCTTATGTGGCATTGATGGACGATGGTAGATGAAATTTAGGGCTTAGGCTGATAAGAGTGTTAGAGTGGTATTATTTATAGCCATAGCCTTATAGGTAATTGAAGGACAAACTACTATTTTTGCCATAAATTTCTAAAAATTGAGTTTAAAATAGATTGTTAACTGGAGATTTTCAAAAATTGAAAGCAAACAGCCTAGGCTATGAGCTCTTGTTATTTTTACATGGTAGCTTTTGCTCAATTTTCCATATTTTATTAGATTGCTGTGTAGTGTGTGACTCAAGGTACTTTGACAGTTGACACCAGATAGGTATGAGTATGATGGAGGAAATTTGTTAAGATTATAAATTTTATATCTACACAGGAATGCAGCTTCTATTAGAACTGGATAGCTAGGTACATTCTTGATTTTTGTTTATGTGTTTCATAAAAGCCTTAGGCTTTTTAAATATAATCTAGCTACCTAGGCCTAGGTATACATAGGTATTCTCAGATTCATCAAAATTTATTTTAGAAGATAGGCCTACCTAAATCCTAAATTAAACTACCTAAATCAAATTTTATAGTAGTAGCTAGTAGGCTACCCACATTGGTATGAAAATACCTAAAGAATCAAAGCAAACTAATTTTGAATTAACTTCTAACTACTTACCAAAATTTGAACATCATGTGGCAGGGTTGTTGGGAATCCTGGGGGACTCTTTAAACTTGTCAAAGAAGAATTTGGAATCTTTTTCACGCGTGGAATAGCTCCAGTGCTGGACATGACGAGTTTAAGCGGCAGGAAAAATTTTATTTAACTAACAAAGATAATAAAAACTGGAGCCCTTCTTCAGACAAAGGAGTATTACGGGCGAGTCGTAACTTTAAAATTATTTAATTACTAGTTGCTGGGCAACATATAAGAGGCTGAATGCCAGTTGCCACTGCCGAATGTAGGAGTCAGCCGGACCGACTTCACTGCCATAACATTTCCCGTTGATTTTCGTTTCTGTTAAACTCGTTCAAAACGAGAAGTAGAAATTTTTGGCTCACCAGAAGAATTATAATTTAACGAGCTAGAATAATATATTCCTATCGTAATACAATACTTTTTGGATAAATTATAGTTTTTTATTTCCTCTGGAGAACGCTTTCAGAAATCACCCTATGACAAAAGTGTTAATATAAATGATGGCTTAAATGTCATAACGTGATGCAACACTGGTTCAGATAGAATTTTGCATTTTTATTGATTTTATGGAAACAGCAACAATTTTACTCTGCACGAACCTTCAAATTAACATGAATTCAATCATTGTATAGTTTTTTCTTATATTATTTTCAAAAAACGTGATATAAGAATTTTACGGGAATTTTTAGTGACGATATGATTAGGGCCAAGGGGCTGGTTTGGAGTCCCAATATGGATTGTGTCCTCATTTTATGATAAAAAATTGATTACGATAAGAAATGACTTAAAAACATAAAATATATAATTTCCGCGGTTCAAAATGTATGAATTTTCAATGTAACCTATGCCATTCCACGCATCGGGCGATGGACGATGGAAGTTCATTGAGGCGTGTTACTGAAAAAGATACACCCATGGATACACTGACTTCGAAGACTTGTCAAACTACTAAGCTTGCGAATGAAGCGTCAAAATTTCAAATATTTTCATTTATATATATGTTTGATGGTTCATTGTGGAATTTGTGGAAGACACAGTGATAATAGCCATCCGAAAGATTCAACGTGGGCATGATTCTCTCTTACAAAATAAAATTCTTCTGATGCACGTCGTGAATTTCTTCTGTACGTAGTTAAATGGAGCTCATGGACGCTACCGTATTCTTAATAATATCAGACAAGCATTACCTTGCTGAGGAAAACTTTCCTAGCGTGAAAGATTCATATTATTTCTGCATTACCAGCATCTTAGATAGTTCTATCGTAATTTGAAATTGCTGTCGATTTCCTGAATATCAAGAGAAAATTCCAAGCAACTGCAAGATCTGAATCCCTAAATCTTATAATCAATTGCTCCTACAAGTCACTAGATCCGCCTTGCCAAACTTCACACTTAGTTCATATTCCTTTCCATAGGTAAGAACGCTAGAGAGCATAACGGCCTATGAAGTCAAGTGCTCAAAGCCATAGCGCCGGATGTCCACAGCCACAAAATAAGCTTGCCAAAGGTAACCATGGCCATACTGCATCTGGCCAAACCTCCTCTGGCCTAACCTCTTCTGGCCTTACCTATACGAGCTGCAACCTTTCTCCACCCAAAACAAACCTGAGCGGACCTAACCTAACCTCATTGGCTGCAAGAAGTTAGGAAGGCGGTCCAAGTGTGTTGGAAGAGCCAGTCATTGACTGCAAGAAGGTTGTGAGCCGGGACAGCGTGAATAGGTTAGACCAGAAGAGGTTAGGTCGTAGTAGGTACAGCCGGATGAAGAACAGCCTGTTTATGAGCGAGCATGTTAAGCATTGGCTGAAGACTTACGGCGCACTTATCTTTCGGCAGTGTGTCTCTTGGCTGGATAACGGAGTTCAAGCGTAGTCTGCGGCTTCTAGTTCTGAGGCTGAGTAAAGTTAATGCATGGTGAAGCTAGGCGTTGGCTCCAGGGCTTATTTAAGAGTAAAATTTGTGGCCTACGGCTGCGCCCTCCTCCGAACACGCCTGCAGACTCAAACTCGCCTGCTCAACTTGCCCAGTCATAACTTCTTCAATTATGAACTGATTGGGTTTAAATTCTGAATTTAATTACTAGTGGTTGATAGGATAGTTCGTTGCCGGAGGAATTATCACAGATTTATAAAAATCTGTACAAATCTACAGACTTAACAAAAACTGTAATAATTCCTTCTGGAACGCATGGCTGGAAGCAGTTATGACTGGACAAGTTGAGCAGGAGAGTTCGGAGAAATTCCGAACCAGTCTGGTCACGGTCTTCGCTTAAGTAAATACTTGTGTCCTCATGCACTCCAATGTCTTTCTGTAATCATCTCTTGCATGTCAGCAGCTGTTCTACTGATCTCGTCTTTAAAAATGACAGCACCTCGTCGTTTGCTACTCCCATCCTTAACCTAGGTTAGTGTTTGACCATATGACTTGAAGTGATCTGTAGCTCAACCTTGCTGCTCTGCGTTTCATGTCTTTGCAGCTACTGGCATTGTACTCTCATAATCGTGTTGTGACTTCTGACATCACCGTACCTTGCCTCATGCTACTGCTTTTGGAAGTCCATGTTTGTTCCGCAAGTGTATTGACTCATATCCAGAGGGCGCTTAATAGGCTTTTCTAGATAAGTAGGCTTTTCTGGATAAGTTTTCTGGAGAAGTATTTTCCTGTTAGGTGTTTGAAAGAACTGCGTATTATGATCAAGACTCTGCCCTTAAATTACTCAGCAAGGTTCCTGAATAAAAAACAACAATCCGTCATCCCCCACTTGTCTCTCTCCACCTCAGTCTTGATTACGCCATGGATTCCATTTATCCTGATCTGTCGTTTTTTTGACAGCACCTCACACAACACAACACATTACAACACAACACAACACATTACAAAACAACACAACACATTACAACACAACACAACACAATCCTTGTGGCACGCCACTGCGCATTGATGCCCAGTCTGACACGGTTCCGTTAATACTGACACGTTGTCGTCTACCTACTAGAAAATCTCTGATCCATTGGAGTACGTTTCCCTCAATTCCCAAAGACTTCACTTTATGCAACAGCCGCTCATGCGTAATACTGTGAAATGCTTTGGTAAAATCGAGATACAATGCATCCACTGGCTCCCTTTCGTCCAGCAGGCGAGTCCAATCATTCGACGTAGATAATAAGTTTGTGGTGCAGTATCTGCCGGCAATAAATTCATGTTGACAATCTGACAGGAGATGCTGAGCAGTCAAGTGATCGATAATCCTATCCTTCACAACAGATTCCATTAACTTACAAACAACGCTTGTCAGACTGACAGGGCGATAATTACCGGGGCTACTTCTGTCACCTTTTTTGTACAATCGAGTTATATGAGCTTCTTTCCAGTCGGGCGGCAAAGTTCCTTCGTTCAAGGTGTTTTGAAAGAATACTGTCAATGGGCCGGCCAGAACGATTGCTAGTTCTTTGAGCAATCTGGGATGGAAGCCGTCTGGTACACATGACTTGCTGGGATTTAGAGCTACCAGGTGCTTGAGAACCTCTTCTTCGTGTATTTCAAAACCTGTTAACTTCGAGCCGACTGGGCGCTCCTCAACTGGTCTACTTTCAAATCAGATATACCGTCCTGTGACTTACACTTCGAACTAGCGTACAAAAAGAAGGCTTTCGGATTCTTTTTTGCATATTAGCAATATTTTTTTCAAATTTCACCGCTTTTCGACAAACTTTTTAGCTTGATTTCGAGCTCTTGCATACAGGTTATAATCGGAATCGCTGCGAGTTCGTAAATAACGCTTGTAGGCCTAAATTTTAAATTTTAGTTAACAGCTTTGTGTTTTCGGCATAGATGCAAATGTTGGCTACCACTTTCCATAGAAATTGTATATACAAGTAGACGTTCATAAATAATCATAGTCAAAGGTGAAGTACCACTTTCAGAGTGTACGAGTAATTGAGAATCGTAGGTACTAACTTCATATGGCTGTGTGGGATCTTCGATGCCGAGTATAAACAACGAGACAGACCTAATATTCAACGCTGACATCACCTTGCAATATTATACGAGTATTAAAACGCTCCATGCTCCAACGACCAGAACACCAAGTTTATTTCCGGCTATGAATTTGTTTCAGATGATCCATTAACGGTGCCATAGCCAATTTATGCATTAAATTGACATAGAATGCACTGCATAAATTAAAGCGGCTGGTATTAACTTTGCTGTGATATAAAAAAGTAATGCAAGTGAAGTTGAATTTTCTTCATCTATTCGTAAAGACTGAATATAACATGTCCTACATGCAATGCCGAGGACACTATTAATCATTTCATCTTGCATTGTTCTCTCTACACAAACCAGAGGAGAGAGTTTCGTTCCAACTTGGAAAATATTTACTTCCTTGGAACCTTGTATCAGCTCTTGGCGAAGGAGATATCCCTCAGAAAATACGCACAGCAGCAATTCGTCGGCTGGGACAATACCTGCTGAGCTGCAGCATGGTAAACACCCTATGGAGAAGCCCAGTAACTAATTCTTTTATCTCTTCTTTCACACAACAACCACCGGCTGGTGAGAGTGAGCTTGAAATTAAACTGTGAACGACTGGTGACAAGAGAAAGAAGGCTCAGAGAAAAATCAAGTTGTGCTCAGACTGGGAGGTGTGATCTCATCGTACCCGAAGTTTGAAAATCAATTATAAAAAACGAATATAATATACGCGTTGAAGAGATAATTTACCCTTCATTGGTTGATATCGGCATGAATTCAGTAATTTGTAGAATCAGAAATTAATCGCATTAAATACAATATCGCGTAGCCCCATAACAAATTAGTTATAGCACCATTTGCAAGCATTTCTGCTAAATTTTAATGGCTAGTTGTGCTTCCATTCTAGGTATCTTCATGACACTTGTTGATTAAGAAATCTTTGGAATACCGCGTCAGTGTTTCCATAGGTAACGAATGCGGTTCAAACAATAGAGCAGCAGCTGACGAAATGAAATTTAGTCTGTAAGACTCGAAAGGAGTTTCGTTTGGTAACTCGTTAAAGTAAGACGTGTGGTGTGTACTCTCTCTAAAAGCCGGCTGTGACGCAGAGCCCAAGAAACGGGTAGCTGTGTATTGAAGTGTGGTGTCGTGAAGTGAAGTAAAGTGTCGTGAAGTGAGGTGCAGTGTAGTGTCGTAAAGTGAAGTGTTGTTTGAGTGAAATGACTGCTATTATTCGAAGTGCAGATTCAGCCGACCTAATTGATCCCGGCGATTCTCATGGATTAACCAACTCACAATTGAGGCAATTTTGCGAAGATGATCTTACTAACTCTGAGAA